GAATTCCGAAGATGTTCTTAATCTCAGCACACAACCAAATGCATACGGTCTACTTAGCATACGGTACCTGCCAGTGAAAGATCGAGAGAAAGTGAGATGGTTGGATAGTTAAAGACGGAACACACAATTACTCTGGCTTAGCCACTTTGGGACTCACATATCCTGAGGCAGCGTTGAGTCATCAGTGCTTGCATAGAGAAACAGGGAACCTCCACTCTCAATACTAAGAAACTTGAGGGATGCCAAATCTGTGTACTCATTTGTAATGGCAAATAGATCAACACAAACACCTGATTGAACAGCGACAGCAGCCTGTAAAATTCATGTTAATTATCACATTTCTAATAGATTGTGATGAGGGAAGAAGACTGAGTCAAGCTAGATTACCAGTTCTTTGTAAAATGGTGTCTGTTCTGGGAGTAATGCCCTGTCCGCATCCTCACCTTTACTGGCATACTGTTCACCGTACCTCCTTGTATCTAATTGGCCAGCTCCATAATCAGGTGGACCAGAGATGAAGGCAAACACTCTAGCTGCATGATTTTTAAGCACCTCCAACTTTAATGCATGTTGGATAAAAAGATGAAGGAGAAAGCTTTTACAAAAGTCAGTAGCTGTGTTGCAGACCTAAAGCAAATGTGTTCCCGTATTCTGATCCCAGGTACTTAAACAGAGCTTCCATTGCCACACCAAATCCTCGCCCACCCATCAAAACGCCATCTATACCTTGTCCTGCACCCGAGGTTCTCTCCCACGAAGTTGTTGGCCGGAGAGTATCAAGTGCAACTGTGATACGATCCTTAAATGTATCCACCTAAGCATAAACCAATGAACTAGATGGTGAGAGCAATGAATACGTTAAATCAGTTACACCTAGTGAATTAACTAACTATTTCCGTGAGCTTTTGATCATTACATCTAGCTTGATTAACAAAAGACTGATAAAAAGTTTCTAAGGAACACAAATAAGATAAGAAAAAAATAACATACGGGGGCCAAGAATTGTAATAAAGGCATGACATCTTCAAGCTCAACTGGCAGGGTACCCTCTGCATCAGGAGGGATGAAAACATTCTTGACAATTGGGATGGGCCCTTGGACATCATATAACCCAATTTTATGGCTGAATGTAGCTAGACCAAATAGTGAACCAGGCGGCAAAGCTGCAATAACATTTAAGAAGAAGAAAAAATCACCTTAAAGACCATCTCTAAAGCTTGCACAAACTGTTCTTCTCATAAGGTATGAAGGAATTACTTATGACTATAGCATTTGATATAGGAAACATAAATGGAATGAAGGCTCAACCTTCCAGAGCAGCCTCCAGTGCACTCTTTGTAAGCTCCAAAAATTCTTCTGAAGCTGCAGTCGAATTCCGGATAAAATTAATAGTGACAATTAACAGCTTCCAGAAATGCTTTGTACTTCAAAATTGTAGACTGTTCAATAGAGTGCTTTGTACTTCAAAATATCCTCCACGAACAAGAGGATAAGCAGCACTCTAACATGAGATCGCTATCCCCCTTTTTTTGAATAACTGGACGCTAACACTATCATTGCATGTTACAGGGGACAAAATAACTGCCTAGGTTGAGATGAAGACATTGAGATTCTGCTAAATCGGAAAAGTGCAATATCAAATTCAAAGCTATCCTGAGTATCCAGGGCTTTCATTCTTCAGAACTCTTGCTACGCAAATAAAAAGACTAGTCAACCAGGGGCTACTCCACATTGAAGATTAGGGCAAGATAGCGGTAAAAAAGAACGACGCGACTTATAGAATAGATAGAAAAGGCTTACATGACAAATCAACAGCAGCAACATAGACTGGACGAGCTTGTGTCATTTCATCTTCTGCCCCCTCAACTATGACACCATAATGAAAATTCAGTCAGCCAATTCAACCCATAAGCCAAATGGAATACAAAATTCAAGCACCTCCGATCCTCCATTGCACAGTACACATACAATCGAAGTTCTTGATCCAGAAGATTACATAACAATTCCTATACCGCGTTCCACAATCACCGTCTCTCAGAATTCAAACCAAAACAGCAGAGAGGAATGCCTAGAAATCACACTCACCGGGTAATTCGAGATCTACAAACGAGGACATCATCTCGGGACAAGACTCCGGAAGCGAGTAACGAGCAATGGCCTCAGTGTGGAGTCCATTGAGCGTCCCGCAGAGCGCGCAGCTCCAGGCCCACTGATCCAGCTCGCAGTAGGTGCTGAAGTAGGCGTAGCAATTCTCGCATCGAGGCAGCAAATGGCCGTTGAATCCATACGCCGGCGGCTTGCCGTCCTCGTCCCTGGTGGCGAAGGGAGTGACCGTCAATCCCCAAGGGATCCCCGACGCCTCCTGAGCGTCCTGGTCCATCGGGAACCGGTTCACGGTCGCTCGAACCGCCATGTTGAATTCCGGTTTTCCCAGCCGCCGCCTCTTTCTGATTCTACCTCTGGGATTCTCGCGGGACCAACGGCGGTGGAGAAGAAACGATGTGTAGAGTATGAATGGCGCAGTTTAGCTCGGCGGAGCCGGGAAGGGGGAATTACGACGGATCAGCCAGTCAATTGACGCCACGTAGGATTTCCCTGTCTCGCTGGCTTTTGGAAGAAAAACTATTTTGGGTTATTTACCAAATACACCCCGTACTTTGCCTCTACTAACAAACGCACCTACCAACTTTGAAATTTCACTAACAGGCAACCATCCTTCTGAAGTTCTGAATAAGTATCCCATGGAAGATTGTAATTTATATTAGACCTTCTAATCACAATGTGTTCTTTTCCTTCATCATAGTATTCATAGATATTTTAGTTCTATTTTAATTGATAAATCAAGGTTCATTTGACTTGAGTTAAGTTGAATGTGCCTCTTTTCCTTTGGTCATTCAACATTTTGCAATTGGAGTTTTGGCAGTCAAAATTGGATGACGTACAAAAGGGTACTATATTCCTTGATGGTTTGTGTTTGGGCATGCCGTCCTAAGTTCCTATGTATAATATAACTCAAAGATAATAACCATCAGTTTAGTGAGGTATACTTGCACATTTTCATCTTGTTTTACCTTTGCTAGTTTAGTTTATTACAGCCGTTTGTCCTCTCCTTGGTATGACTTTTTTCATTTGTATTGAAACAATATCAATTGTTGTACGAGATGCAAAGATTTCTGACAATCGCAAACAAGACGTTGGAGTTTTCCAGGAACGAGATTCCTTCTCTTAAACATACTAGCTGATTACCCGGCCCTTGACCGGACGTAGTCATGGAGATTGATTCTTAATTCTTAGATTTTAATTGATATTACCCGTTAACATGTATGCGTTGATGGTCGAAGCTAGGTCAACAACACCATATATAATAATATGATGGGAAGTCATTATCTCATTGCATTACAAAAGAAAATAGTAAAACATAAACACCATAATGGACAATCCAAGCCATTAGCCTTAAATATAGCCACTATTGTCATGCACCATGATGCTCCAAGAGTGAACATGAAAAAATCAAAGGAATGTTTACCTGGCTTCAATTATCGATGGTAAAAATGGAAGCTACCAAGAAATCTCATAAGAAAAACCCAATCTGGATTGCCCTTAGACCAAAAACCACAACAACACCAAAGGCGATGAATCCCTGGTTGAGAAAACAAAAACCAGCAATGTCCAAATCAAGTCAATGGAATGCGTCAGCCAGTTTTTCTGATATATAGTTTTGTTAATTAAAATGATAGGAAAAAAAGATATGCAAAGCATGCAATCAGCTGTAGAAATCTCATATACAAACAAAAGAAACAGGCAAGCAATGTATGCGTGGAAGCACCAACACATAATAACTTTTGTCAATATCCCTATCACTGTGAAATCCTACCAAATCACTCCTAACCACAATGTTACACTAAACATACAAATGACTTACAACTCTATACTTTCTAACACTTCAATATGTATATGTCAATCGTCATGAACAATCCTCATTATCACGACCCTTATCTTTTTCGACGGCAAACACACTGATTGGTCCACTCTTACTCCTTCTGCTTGGCAGCTACATGGCAGCTTGCATAAGTGCACATTAATTCAAACGACCATTCCTTGCTGCAATTTATGGCTTGGGTAATATAACTTCAGTCATAATACAAATTTACATGAAATGAAAAGAATGATCATTATAATAGCCTTGTAAAATTTAGAGTACCAATGGTGATTCCTCTCTTCTCCTCGGTGGCTTCATCAATAAAATTTAGAGCACTACGGATTTAGAATGACCCGTGGTACTGTGGCGGCGGCGCTCCTTGATGGAAACAGAGGGACGGTGACGACGTGAGATTCGTTGCCTTTGGTTTTATAGAATAAATGAATGAGGAAACGGAGAATGATTCCAGTTGAGCCGTTTAGTAGACTCTGAAATTGGATCCACGACGGAGTCGCCGGAAGTCCATGAGAGTCTGCCGATGAAGGATGTGAATGACGACGAACAACTTTCTTTTGCTTCGCGTCCCTGTTTCTGGCGACAAAATTAACTTTATTTTTATGAATTACCAAATAAACTTGCGTTGAATTGAAGTGAAAAAGTTGAATGAAATAAAACATCTACCACAAACGGAACAAACGTAAAGAAGGAATTTGTTTGGTCAAGTGGGGTTCGGGGCATTTCTGATGGCTTAACGAATTTGAACTTCAATTTATTCAATCCAATCCATACCATATCATTTCTACGTGGACCAATCAAAACTTGCATCACCATCGGTGTCGCTTTTTTCAGCGACACGTAGTATTGGCCCACACCGTACCCTCAGTCGTAGGGGTGTGCAACGGTTCGGTTCGGTCCGGACCGGACCAAACTCATGAGAACCGCGGTCCATTAGTGAAAGACATGTTAGGACCAAGGACTAGACCATTCTTGCATTTGGTCTGGTTCGGTCCGATCCAAATATGAGCTCGGTCCACCATTTCTTCAGTAATTATAAAATTCATGAGGACCAAGGACCGGACCGCATTTTACTCGGTCTGATCCGGTCTGGTCTTAACAACGATTTGGTCCGTGTGGTCTGTACGGACCGGACCATTGCACACCCCTACTAGTCAGCCGAGTAAAAGGCCCGGCCCATTTAATACCAAACCGGTGGCCCAAGAACATCGAATCATCTTCGTCGATCAAAGCGCAAGTACGTTCTCTTCCTCCGAATTCAATCACCACCGTCAAAAGCATCCTGATCCCGATTCCTAAAACCCAATCGCAGGGCACTTACACTACACAGCGCCGCAGGAAATTTGGCAACCCCCGAAAACCGCTCTAATATACTTCAGCCACCAACGCGCAGTTCTCCCGTCGCTCACACACACTTTCCCTGTCAAACCAAGCTGCCTGCCTGACCTCCTCCCCAAGTCGGTTCGTCGCTGCATTTCTTGCTCAGGTAGAGCCATCGTTTTCCTCCCCCGAAAACCCTAATTTCTTTGCAATTATCATCGTCGCCATGGATGATGCTCTTCTGCTCCGATCTTAGCTTCTGCAATTTCTAGTGATTTTCTCTGCCGGGGTTTTGTCCCATTTCCTCGTTTTCCAGTGAGCTTGGTTAGCCGATGCGGATATTTTTGCTCTGTTTTGGCTCTGTAAACGTTTGCGATTGTTGATTTTCGTTCCATTTCTCGATTTTTTGTCGGTCCTTTCCGACGGCCGAAGTCCCGGTGACGAGAGTTCTCCGTGCGACTGAGATTCTCGGCCAGTTTTGTTGAACGCAGTTTGGGATGACGACCTGGTGAATGAACTAGCTAGATGCAGATTTTTTTTTTGCAGGCGAGGTGTTTTGTTTGGATTCACAGTTATTTTCGTCCAGACAAGCTTGTATCGTCTGCTTGGTTTTGGATTTTTGCTAGGCTAATTTGTGAGGAAGTATTTCCATTTTCCGTGGACTCTCTGTTTGGAAGAAGCATCCTAGGATCTCATTTTCATTGTATTTGAGATAGCATGTGTGATTATGGGTTGTGTTGATGTCCTGATTCTAAAGGGAGAAGCTAGGTTTTGCATTTCTTTTGTGCTGGTGCTTAAACATGGTTGTTTGATTCGAAAGGTCAGTATCTGACGATGTATTTGGCTGATGTAGGTATCATGGCGTTCAGGAGTTCTGCAATGAGGTTCATTAGCAGGAGGTTCTCCAGTGGTGGCAAAGTTCTGGGTGAAGAGGAGAAAGCTGCAGAGAATGTTTACATCAAGGTAACTTTGACTGCTTTGGCCATGTTTGGCTTGTGGGAACTTATACCGTGGAGTTTTCTCCTATTTGTTACTTGATTTGGTGTTTCTTTTGTTACGGGTTTGGATTTCTATAGCAATGTGGATACCATTAGTGAGATTTTGATGTTGGATGTTGTGTTGAATCATAGGAACTCGAAACTGCCTTCTTCTTTGGTTTCTTTTTTCCATCTTAATGATGATGTTGTGTGAAGTGTGAACTATGTGCATGCTGCGAATTTGGATTTCATTGTGGATCTTTATGTTTGTATGTGTTTATGGGGTCCTATCTACTTTTTTATGTTCATTTTAGTATCTTCCATTGATTTTGAGCTGATACTTGGAAAAAGCCTCGACAGAATTGATTGACTATGCGATCTTATAACACACTGAAAAGAACCCTATGTTTCTTCCAAATTAAGCTTTCAGAGCAATAAGTTGAATGTGCAGATGAAAACATTTCTGGTGGCATCGTTAGAATAAATATGAAGGACTGCCTTGAAGTGTTAGTTGAGTCAATGGTATATTCCTATCGATGGATGCTTGTAGTTTGGGTTTGATTATGGGTGGTGGAGGAATCTATGTTGTGGGCTCAGATTGCTTATGACCAAAAGCAGAAAGGGATAGATGCAACGTGATTGCCTTCACGTCAAATATATTCAGTATGTTGGGTCTGAGTTTTGTGTCTCCCTTTGTCTGCCCCACAAGTAGCAATGCCTTTTGTCCATATTTGACATACATACTATCAGGGAATTGGTTTACATTTCTCGACATCTTATCTCTTGATGGAGTGTATATCTGCTGCTGCTATAATTTTATTTGTATGTTTAATGACTTGTATGTCAATCAACTGCAGAAAAAGGAGCAGGAAAAGTTGGAGAAGCTCGCTCGCAAGGTATGTCAACAACACTTCTGATTTGATGAATCTTAGTTCATGCAAATGTTCTGGTTCAAACATAGGAGAGGAACCTTTTCGAACCTGTGAATCACTGAATTGATAGAGTGTTGATCTTGTTATCGGAATTGCCATGGGATTTTGTGGTGATTTGACTTACTCCAGTCATGCAGCTTCCCATTTATTATAAACTCTTAACAAGCTGTTCCGTTCATTGTGGAGGGTGAACATAAAACACCATCTGTGCTCTTACCAACACCCACCACCTTAAAGAGATGAGACTCTTAGTTAGCACCCTTGTTGTATTAACCAAGTGATGAATGTAATAGTGTATGGGTTACTGGAGAGTGGAGAATAATGATGATATCAAGCTGACTGTTCTATGTCCTCTCATTTCAGGGCCCCAGTCCAGGGGAGAAAGCCGGAGCAAGCTCTGCAGCAACTGATGCCACAGCTTCCGCTTCTACTTCTTCTGCTGCTGGAGGAGGCTCGACTCAGAAGGTCTCGACCGACACCTACCGCAACTATGCCGTGGTGGCTGGAGTGGTCACCATCGCTGCATCTATCGGGTGGTATCTGAAGTCTGGTGATTCGCAGAAGCAGGAAGTCCAGGAGTGATTGCTAGCCCGCCCTGGCTTGAAGTGTGGCAAGAGGAGGCGCGTCACTCTGTTTGACCCTCTTCTAGTCTTCTTTGCCATGCTTTTTTTCTTCTAATAAGCAGGATTTTACACTATTGGTTTCTGTTTTGGTTTAGGAAACTTTTTTCCTACCCCCACTTTGGCTACTCTCCTCTCTAGTGTCTACTTCACTTCACGCCTCAGCTCTCTAGTCAGCTGGTTGACTTTTGTTTCGCCTGAAAACTGAGAGGGCATTATTGACCTGAGTCTTACTGCGAAATTGTGAAAAGGTTGGTAGTAGTAGTAGTTGTGCTGTTTTCCCATGGGCTCATTCTCAGTTGGGCCTTTGCTTACTTTGGGCTCACTGTTGGGCTTGAGTCCCAAGTCTATAATTAGCTGTTTGTTTATGGTGCTAGACATGTTCCGAGTATTATTGATGCTTATAGATAGAACTAGTAGGATTATGTAGGAATTGCCGTGTTTAGGAGTTGTTTAGCTCAGAAGTTGTATTTGTAAGCATGATCTAATACACTATTACGAGAGAGGAGAAGGAGCAAAGCAAGAAAGCGTGTTGTCACGTGGCGGGTGGGCCCAAATAGTAGAGTCCCACATGTCTCTAAGCCCAACTACTCAATTACCTACTGATATTATAATAATAATATTATTATTATTATGGATTTAATTTAACCGCGAAAATAGAAATAAATAAGGGTGATATACTTTTGTTTTTATTACTGGAACTAATACTCGTTTTCTTTCTCTTATCATATTGTTTTGTTGGTTGGCTCAAAATTTCAATCAGCTGAGATCATTAATGAATTGTTTAAGATTAAGTGATTTGTTTAGTTTGGGGAATTAGTTGATGTTGAACCTTTGATTAACAATGAATTAATAGATACACAATATGTTATGACAAGTGCTGACTGGTATGTTATCAGCACTCAGTTTTTTTGGTAGTGGTCTTGTGGACCCTTTCTCTATACAGTTCATTAGAAAATTGCTCAAACAATGGGAATTTTAGGCGTAAAGCAAAATACACTGTTTTTTTTTCATACAAAAAAGAAATATATTCATTATTTTCCGAAACAAACTCGATTATCCACATGACATATGTAAGATGGAGTAACCATCAGGAACTTGTCCATATCTGCATGACATCAACATCCCCTTTCTCCTGGAAAGTCTTTTATCTTTTCCCCATTAATCTTTAACGGACGATTTCTCTCTCGTTTTAAGTCAAAATTTAATTTTTGCATAGATAAATCAGATTAAATATGCTCTTTAAAATCATATCCACTTTGATATATTTTTAATACAAAAAAAAAATTGAATAATTTTTTACCAGTCATTACCATATGGTATGCTCGTATTTAATATCATATGGTAAGAAAGCGTACCATGATGGTATGAGTTGAATACATGATAATAGGAGTATACTAACTGTCATTTACGACTTTCATCATTGTTTACCACAAGTTACCACCCACATACCATAGTGGTAAAGTATGGTAATTTTTGGTCCAGTATTTTTTTCGCCCAGAAATTTGTAGATCCAATATATCATGATGAACTCGTTCCTTCTGAGCAAACGTTTTCAAAAACGACTTAAAAACGAAGAAGTTACCATATGGTATGTAGTTGGTAAAAAAAAGTTTATCAAAATATATTGAAAATTGATCTCATTTTGTAGAGCACAACGAACTCGTTCCATGTGTGCAAAAAAATTGAAATCCGAGTTAAAACGAAGAAGATAAGAGTCGATTATGAAAACTATGGAAAATAAAATGTCTTTAATTGACAACCCTTAAGTCTGAATTTTCTTGGCCCACTTAGATCTAAAGGCTCAAATTTAGTTACTCATAGATCAGTAACCATTGGTTACTGACCCTATCCTAAGCCCTGTAGGTTACTTTAGATCATGGGTCAAGCAGAATGATTATTGATGATGATGATAGAGACTAGTTTCCAAAAAATTTTGAAACCGTAAATTGTGCGAATCAACGATTTTAATTAAGGCGTATGTGACCATCAATCTTAGTATTACTAGCGTAGGTTCCGGCCATTTGGCCGGAGGAAGGTGAGGTATGAAATTTGATAATGTAATAGGGTCTATAGCTTATTGTTGTATAGTTTTTTTTTTTTTTGAAACACGTGATAAAAATAGTGAATTTTAGTAGGAAAGAGACATGAATGATGCAACGAATCCAAAATCAGCCTTATGAACCAAAATCAAGTACCTGTTACCTTGTGAAACAATATTGTTTCTAGTAATACGATGAGGTGGAGTAAGTTTTGTAGAAACTGAATTCCAGAAAATCGAATAAAAAACCGTCTATCCCGCCGGTTTTCGGAAAATGAGCATCTCACAATCGTTGCTAGCTTTTACTCGGCCCGTTGGCCGATTAATTTGCTTTATAAACCTTTCATCTTGTCATCATTGTGCTTTCTGGTTTTTTGCCAAGCCATGATAAAATCTAAAGAAATCAAGAATGAACAACACGATTTGGGATAGGAACCACCGTTCCTGTATCCCTAGAAAATGGTGGTAAACACGGACTCACCTGCCAAACTGGTTTGGATTGAGATTTTTATCGGGTATCAGGGAACCATGTGATTATAAATTAGACTTGATCAAAATGGGCCAAAACTTGAAATTCAGCCTGTTTGACCGACCCATGCCAAACTCTAATTATTCTTTACTTTTAAACTTTCTATTTGAAAATAAAAAATAATGAAAAAAAAGAGATGACTGCAATTCGCCATTTGCACATCACTGATTCGAGAATAAAACTATAGAATTTCGAAAGGAAACTGAAAATGTTTAGGATCGTTTTAATGTTAAAAATAACCAAATAGATCTTTCTGTTTACTAACAAATGCCAAACGATTCCCTATAATATAAACTATAATTTAATCATTATGATATCAAGTAATTACATAATATATATTTGAAATGATAAAAATTGGACTAATCGGGTTGGTCAAGATTGAACCATTGAATAACTTTAAAATACATTATATTTTAGCCACTAAGATATAAAATAATAGTATTATATATATTATGCTAGAGAAAATAGCTTGTTTTAGAATGACAAACCCATGATGTTCATTTGTTTTACTTGATGGGCAAATCCCGTGTAGGTCAGGCCCATTCAACTCTTTTATTTTATGATATGATTAGCGGTTAGCCCATTAGAATCCATGCATTAGTTTATTGTTATTATTTTTTTTATTTTTAGCAATAAAAAGGAGTATTATTTTTGCCTTTTCATATATATTTTACCACCACGGAGAAATAAAAGGACTTAAAGAAGAAAATTGACACTCCTGGACCTGTGTTAAATCCGCATGTCTATGGTAAGTTGGCCCGTTCCACATAAGAAAAAGAAAAAAATTGACACTTCATATTCTATCCTTCCTACAAACGCTCATGGAGCAGGGAATTTGAAATGGGGGAAGAGTTTTTTCCTCTCTGCGATTATACGTTTTTAATTTGAAAAGATACAACAAATGTATTTAGTGTGATTGGTTATGATCTTTGCTTTTCTTTAAAGTGGTCATGGTTTGAATCCTAGTAACTGTCTTTTTAATGAATAAAAAAAGTAATTGTGAAGACCAAAATGTCCTTCTTACTTTCACTCTGGATACAGGAAATTTGAAATGGGACTTCAAGTTTTCTCATTTGGCTTTTATTTATTGTGTAGATTCTTTTGGCAAACAACGTCAGCGGGCATTTTTTTTAATAGACGAGATTGTACAATAACACATATAAGTCAAGATAACACATATAAGCGCGTTTGGAAAATTCCCCCTTTCCAACATCATTTTTTTTTGTCAAAAGATATCATGTATTGATCACAAAATAGACAGTTACACCCTGGAAACCAGCCAGGACTGGAAATCAAAGAAGCGACTCATAGTCGGCTACAAAGAAAGGGCTTTCCTAGCTACCAAATGAGCTACCCTATTGTTCTCCCGACCTACAAAACACACTAAAACCAGTCTGAGTACGAAAGTAATGACTAATCTCTTCCAGAAAAGCACCCAACCGGCTATCTCTCGTGTTGGCTTGAATAATTTTGTCAATAATCACCTTCGCATCGCCCTCAAACCGGACCTTCGACAAGCCTTGCTCCATACACCAAATAATAGCTTCCCGAAGCACAAGCAATTCCACCATTACCGGGTCATCCAAATGAGAAAACTGAACCCCTTTAGTCAGAAGAAGTGCCCGCGCTGGGTCAAAGAGAACCATCCAACCAGCCGAATGCGACCCACCCTTCGTAGCCCCGTCCCACATGCAAAACAAATGAGAATCACCCACTGGCGCAGTTGGTTGCATCATCGGGATAATCGTCCTCGGAGCTTGATCCGTTGGTAGACCCACCCATTCCTCATACTGTTGGTGGAACTGCCGCATGAGCGCCGGGATCCCAAATTGCTTGCCCTCAAAGACAACCCAATTCCGAGAACGCTAGATCCTCCAAAGGAAGGCAATAACAGCCATAACCAATGACGGTTGATGAATCATCGCCAACAAACGTTTGAGAAACAAAGGAAAAGTGTGTCGAGGCAAACTCTCCCCCATGTATTCTAGCCCTGAATAGTCCCAGAGAGCCCGCGCAACCAGACAGTAAAGGAAAAGGTGTTCCATCGTTTCCGGACCATCCCAACAAACTGGACACCGAGGGAGAACCTGAACCTTTTTCTCAATAAGCGCCTCTGTAGTTGGAAGAGCCCGATTAAGGATTCGCCATACAAAAACCTTCAACTTCAGAGGAATCTTCACCTCCCACACTCTTATCCAACTCGGCTTATCCATCCAGCTAACCGAGGATCGCCACCCACCCCTCCTCCTGTCTAAATCGACAGCCAAATGATAAGCCGACTTAACCGAGAACACCCCGTCAGTCGTAAAATGCCAAATAAGCTTATCAGGCACATCCCATCTAGGAAGAGGAATAACTTTGATAGCCCTACAGGTGGGTGGATCAAACCACTGACGGAGCCTCTCATCAGACCATCTCCCTTCCCCTTGACAAATGACCTCGACCACCAAAGGATCACCCCCCTCAGGCAAAATCCGCGGATTATAACATGGGGGATCGAGCTGGTACCTGGGGATCCAGTTCGAGTGAAGGAGGGATACCGATTGACCGTTACCAACCTGCCATCTCAATCCCTTCTCCAATAACTGACGCCCATGAAGGATACTCTGCCACCCAGTGGCGGGGCCAGGAAATTGGCCAAGGGGGTGTCTTTATCATATCATAAAAAAATCACCTATATAATAGAAAAGTCAACTTTAAATAAAAAATAAGTCAACAACGCAATACTCTAAATTCACACAATTACATTAAAATAGTTTCACGTACACCGGTTACAACATCAAACAAATAAGTTCAGTACACAAGACTTCCATTCATCAAATATTACAAATTAGAACTCAGAAGTACCTTGGAATTGATTTTGTGAAACAAACAAGTGAACTTCAATTGGTACTTCTTCACTTTCAACTTTGTTTAAACAAAAGAAGAGAAATTTCTCTGTTGTAGAGCTACAAAAAAAAAAAAAAAGAGCGAGTTTAAACAAAAGACAACAATTTATTACTATAAATAAAGACGAAAGTGCATCACATAACAAAACTCACTCGATCGAAATGATAAGAAATTCTTCCTGCAACTGAATGGTCATTGGTTCGAATTTGTATATACCCCTACTCGGAAATTTTTTCTCCAAACCCATGGGGGGTGCAAAGCACCCCCTCCTCTCCAAATGGCTCTGCCACTGCTGCCACCCCCAAGAGGGACGAGACCTAGCAGCCGCAGTCATGAAGGACCCTTGAGGAAAGTACTTGCCTTTATAAATCTTGGCAAGAAGCGAATGAGGTTCATTAAGAATACGGCAGCCTATCTTTGCCAGAAGAGCTTCATTGAAATGTTCAAATTGACGAAATCCCATCCCCCCATCATGCTTACTCCTGCACATGTTTCGCCAGGACACTCATCTGATCTTGGGACTACCTTCCTCAACCCCCCACCAAAAGCGGGCCACATGTCTATCAAGAAGCCGACAAAGAGCTAGGGGGAGACGAAAACAAGACATAACATGCAGGGGCAGGGCCAACTTTATGAATTTAATCAAAGTTTCCTTCGCCGCCCACGATAACGTCCTTTGTTTCCACCCCTGTAGTCTTTCACGAAGTTTATCCTCCAAATATCTGAACGTAACCATTTTGAATCGAGCGACCAACATGAAAAGCCCCAGTTAGACTAGACACATTTGTTCTTTGCAGTGAGCACATAGCGAACTATTCTTTCGCCTTTCCAACATCATTTGTCGCCTCAATATTTGGACAAAATTCCAGTTAAGCGCAATAACACTTCCCGCTAAATAAGGGCACAAGCAAACAAGCAAAGCATGCTGCAAAACCCGCTATGATGAAACATGTTTAGGCAATAAAGTAGTTCTTAATCAATGTTCCACTTAATGAATTAAAATATATATAGTGAGTTAGTTGAATGACAATTAATTACTAATCAGACCACCATTAGTGAATTAGCAACAACTACCTCTATCTTGACAACATATAGTTTTCACCCTTACATTTCGAAAAGGGTTATCCTTACTCCTTAGAGGGCATTAATGAATAATAAATAGTAACGGATGGGTAAATTACAACTATTACCCTCTATAAATGAAAAATGGAGAAATGTGCATTGGAATTGATGAGCGGCTGGACCAGTAGAATTATCAAACCAATTACAAATATCGATTTGGTAATTTGCTTTATCGGTTTGACATGAAACCATGTGAACCACCTCAGTTTGACCGGTCCTCTTGTTCACTATTTTAATCACTCAAAATTGAAGAAAAAAAAATATTATAATGCAAACTAAGATTATCCAACCTAAATTACTAATATTATTTATGCTTCGTGCTCTTTGTTTCGCAGCCTCCTTGTTGACTTTATGTGGTCCACTATGAACTAACTTGCCGCCTTGATTACTAGCTTGAATTTAGTAAAAGAATTTATTATTACTTTTTTTAGATAGTCTGAATGATTTGTTAGAACTTTTGGTCAAGGATGATACAAAGTTAAAATTGTTTATGGTTAATGATAGATTCAATTATAAATAAGTGTATTATATATGTCTTTAAAACACATGAACTAACCTATCAACTAAAGGTGCTATAACAGTTAGCCGTTGAACCATAAACTACTAACTTTTTTCATTTCAGCATCCGATCTGATTCTTAAAACAGAGAAACCATGTTCCAATGCTCCATTATTGCGTCACCCTATTGTTATGGTACTTCTAATCCATAACAATTATAGCTAATTAGTTTAATAGTTTCAGTATTGAGGGTGATATTAGAGCTAACAACAGCATAGTTTGGCTCTATAGTAGTAGTTACTCAATTTCTAAACGTGGTTAACTCCAGCATTGTTTGATTGCTTAAGAAACATTGTAATTTTGACTAATAAGTTACATGACAAAGAATATAGAGGAATGGAACAAAGGAAAATAAAAGCTGATATGTTGCCATCACCTGAAGGCTGAAACCATCTTGCTATCTAACTGCTAAAATAGTTCATGGCACACTTTGATTTCGTATAAGCTTAGCTACTAACAATTTTCGGTAAAGCCAAATTTCAGGAACAACACAACCAAGTATAGTAGTATCCTTAAATTTGTAGGAATTCATGGAGAGGGGTTCTGACCACTTTTTTTCCCCTTTAACCCTTTATAGGTGAATTCATACGAAAATGTAATGCTTGCTATATGAGACTCGATGACTTTCCAACATCAAGTTAGCACAAAAGAGAGGAGTATAATATTTTCGGCGAGAGTTGAGTGTACATCTCATACTTTTGAAGAAAATGATGTTGAAATGAGTTCTTTAGCTCCGCAATCTTTTGTTTCTTTATTTGAGATAAATGAAATTGAACAACCTTATCAGCGGTGGCTCAGAAGATAGATATAGCGAAATAGTTTGAATTCGAATTTGGGAGAGAGAAAAAGTGACGAAGACTCTAGATGGAGGATTTGAGCTTATGTAAAAGAAAAACCTGATTGATGCTGGGGCTAGGCTAGCCAAGTCCTAGACACACCCAAAGCTTGGGGCTATACCGCTACAATAACTCATGGGTCGATGACTTCTCAAATCTTTTAGTGGTGCATCTAGATATAGCTGAGAGCCGAAGAGAGTAATCGAGAATCCACGGGAGCTAACACGGGCTCTACATAATAATAAAAAAACCGTCAAATATCATAATATACATACTTTCCATAATAAATTACAAACCCTAATAAGTATATGTAAATCGTACAATCATAAATTTCAACTTTCCTTGGATGCATGAAAGTAGCCACTTTGAGTTATGGAAGCCACATTCTAGTCTAAGGTAAGAAATATTGTTGGCATATGAAATATCCCCAAAATAGATCACTTATTTCTCTACATTTCAGCGGATAAAGTTATTTATATTGTCCAAATTAACCTAAGCCGATCCAAATTAATCAATTAATTAATCTACAATGGTTCCCACTAATTTCAAGTTCTAGCTTAGCTAGCTTCGTCGCTGTTGTAAAGAAAAGGTAAAGTCACCTCCTTTTTTTACTCCGTTCCTTCCAAGAAAAAGATAAAGGAAAGAGAAAGCAACCGGCCGGCGGCGAAGAAAACACTGGAAAAGCGCGGTAACGGCGTCGCCACCGTCACCCCCGCGGAGAACTAACTCTTCACCTGCAAGTCTGACAACACCATTCCAAACCCCACACGGTAAATTAAATAAAAAGAAAATCTAATTTCTCATCATTCTTTTTTTTCCCACCAAATTCTCCGCCATAGTTTCGGTTGGGCTGCTTCAACGCCAGAAAACAACAAAAGAGAAGGAAAGATTCAGCCACAAGGGAGGAGGAGCTCAAAAGCTAGAGAGCTAGACAGAGAGCTAAGCTGAAAGTTAATGATTCTCACGTCCATTTGCGAGAAAGACAAAAATAACCCAACCAACAATCACTCTCTTCCTTCCCACCATTGTTCCGATTCCTTCAATCCAACTCCATCTCCCCCCCAAATCTTCCCATCTAAAACCAAAAGCTCCAATCTTTTCTTCTTTTTTAATTCACAACCCAATTGGGTGGAAAAAAACAAAAATCATTAGAAAAGGAGGGTAAAGCCACGCCCTTTTCGTTTGCCAGCAATGACCCAAGTCCAGGTCCTTCACCAATCTCCTTCCCATTTCCCCCCTTCCTCCCCAACCACCACTACTTCTAATCCTTCTTCTGCCCTTTCTTCTTCTTCTCTTGGGAATAATGTGGAGCGGGTTGCGGACGAGTGTGATTTGCTGAAGGAGAGTGAGAAGAGGCGAAGGGATCAGCTCTCGCTGTTGGCTCTGCTGGTGACTCTGTTCAGGAAGTCTGTGGTGGCTTGTAAGAGCGAAAGGAGGGAGCTTTGTGCGATGGAGATCAGTTGGCCTAGTAATGTGCGCCATGTGGCTCATGTTACCTTTGATAGGTTTAATGGGTTCTTGGGTTTGCCTGTTGAATTTGAACCTGAAGTGCCCAGAAGAGCTCCCAGTGCTAGGTACATTGCTTCCTTTGTGTTTTGTGGATTTGAGATTTGTTACCTAGGTACATTGCTTCCTTTGTGTTTTGTGGATTTGAGATTTGTTACCGTGGATCGTTCTGTTTTTGGCACTAGCTGGTTTTATTAGGTGTCGAAGGAATTTCATGTGTGTTTGTCAATTGAAGGTGAACTTGGTGCTGGTTACAGATTTGGTAATTCTCCTCTGACATATTGTTGGGGGATTCTTCTCTGGTGTGATTTCAGTGGAGGGATTTCTAGATTTTCTATTGCTATTTCATTGAGAGTCTTTGTTTGTTGCATATGTGACCTGCTAAAGATGGGCATGTTATGAATGATTACAATGAATGTGGGAAGTATTCATGGATTTAGATGTTAGTCACAGTTTGGGAATTGATTAATCAAATTGACACTGAATGTGAGCTGATCTTCTCGAAAGATAATTTATAATTGTTCCGGATTTGCTTGAGCATCTCTTGTTTATGTTTCATAGATCCTTTGGAAATGCTATCACTCCTTGGAACCAAGCCTTGTCTACCCAGAACTGGAATTTATGAATGTAATGAAATTAGGTTGAACTAGGTTGTGAATTTGTGATACAGAAAGATTCCCTAATAATGGTCTTAAATGCCACGGTTGATGTATTTGGTTGTTAAGCTGAGATTTAGATTTCTTGCTCCACAGTCAGGGAAATATTATCTCTCTCTTTTACACATTTCCTTGTTTGTGCTTTATATGCCAACTTGCAACCTGATCTTTCAGATTACACTCAGCTATTGATGAAGTTTCAACCTTTTATAGTATGTGCCTTTGCTAATTCTCTTCCGCTCTTCACCATTTGATTATGCAGTGCTACTGTCTTTGGAGTTTCCACAGAATCGATGCAATTGTCATATGACTCTAGAGGGAATAGCGTGCCAACTATACTCTTGTTAATGCAACGGCACCTGTATGGCCTGGGCGGTTTGCAGGTACACATTGCATAATTTGCATTGCTAATTTCTTTGCTTGGTTCATCTTGCTCCTCTCTCAGGAAAAAAGGAACATGAAACAAATGGGCAAAGCCTCTTAGCTGGGAAATGCTTACTTGTTTGGACCATTTAACCATTACTCCATTACGTCTGGCTGTAATTTCTCAATCTGCCTTTTTCCAGGCTGAAGGAATTTTCAGAATTAATGCGGAAAACAGCCAAGAAGAGTACGTTAGGGATCAGCTAAATGGTGGAGTTGTACCTGAAGGTGTTGATGTGCACTGTTTGGCTGGACTTATCAAGGTAACGGAAATTCAATTAAGTCTCTGAAAGGTGAAATTAAAATGAAGAGTTGTATAACTTGTGACTCACGAGTAGAGTGGTTCTTGAATCTTGTTCTGGAAAGTGTCCAAACAGAAGGAAACAAATGACATTGCAAAAGAAACATTTTACCGGTGTGATTCAGCTAATGTTTCAGATAGATCATACCGCTTCATTTTGCAACAAGACTTCGGTTAATCTAAACTCTGGGTAATGATTATTGCTTTCTCCAGGCTTGGTTTAGAGAACTTCCAACTGGGGTTCTGGACTCTTTGCAACCCGAACAAGTTATGCAATCCCAAACCGAAGAAGAGTGTGCTGAGCTTGTGAGGCATCTGCCTCCAACTGAATCAGCTCTCTTGGATTGGGCCATCAACTTGATGGCAGACGTTGTTGAACAAGAACATCACAACAAGATGAATGCACGCAACATAGCCATGGTGTTTGCACCAAACATGACTCAGGTGTGTATGGCTCTCTTTTTTTATGACACAAATTGGTCAATGTGATATATGGCCTATTAATGCCAGCATATTTTTACATTTTGGAGACGCAAAAAGTCTCTTAAAATTGTATTAAGGGAAAAATACATATAATAGCAGAAAATGATAATCATGATGCAATCTAGAGAATCAAATGTTCACACAAAATCCCCAAGAATTAGGCTTTGCATGATTTATGGTGTAAGCCACGTCTATTAATGGCTAATGTAGGTTGGTGAATGGTGGATTATTATGTTGTTTGAGATAAAATATGGAGTATTAATCGTGGGTTGGCGAGATAACTGCATCACCGCAGTTTTAACAATCCTACGTTCTATCTATTGCAGATGGCGGATCCTTTGACAGCACTAATGTATGCAGTCCAGGTGATGAACTTTCTAAAGACACTCATCATAAGAACACTGCGAGAGAGGCAAGATTCTGTGGTGGAACCCACTTCGGCTTCACTGCTCGGCCCATTCGATGGGAGTGGTCACCAAAGCCCCTCCCAGCCCTTCTGTTTACACACTGGCCAAGACAATGAAACAACCCAAAGCTTGAGTGAGGATGATGCACCTGTCATGGAACAAGGCTCTAGCCACTGGACTCAAGAAGATACCGGTGTTAAACATGACGAAGAAGACTGCAGTTTAATTAATCATGGTGAGCAGTCGAGTGAGGGTCTTCCTAATGTGGCCGACGAAACTCCCATCGTCGAGACTGAAGCTGACCAGGAAGAAAGTGGTCGAAGATCTAGAATTGTTGGCCAGTCAAGCAACTCGAACCCCAGAAAGAGATCTGGCAAAATGACTAGGGAGCAGCAACAAGCAGTGCTTCATCTGACACCGCCACACGACTCCGTTCTTCATTTAGCCTCATTGGTTGAGAAGACGCGGGAGATGAGCAATTTGAGCCGTATAGACTCGAGGACAGAACGCATTGAGGCCTGGCGATAAATGCAATTCGAGAGAGGACCGAGACTGGGAGACAGTCATTCTTCAGGCAGGCCAGTAGGCCACCATCATCATCTTGGTGGCTCTATGTTTATTCTGGGAACACATATTCTCTGTTTTGTTTCTATGTAATGTTGGGTGGTTTGCTTGCTTCCTAAGTTTCATGCATATATGCATAGTGTGTGTGGGGAATCTAACAGCTTCTTCTTCTCCCCTCTAGTGTGTGCCATTCGTAATACACCCTCTCTAACACGGTGTGATTTTCCATCGATCACAGTATCGATGCTCTCGATCTTACTCTTGTGTGCTATGATCAATGTCATAATCATGTTGATAAAGATTCAAGCTTTGGTTTGCAGACCATGCATATTGTATTAGATGGTGATGGTGAGTGAGACACAAGAAACCAGAGTGCAGATGGGGGGAAATGTAGTGGTACAGAGCTATCATACGACAATGGTACTTTGCCTACAGAAGCACTAGTGACTACAGGAGGCTGGTGCTTCCCTAAGAGTTGCTTTCATTATCTTCTGGGGATTGTTTGGTTGGATACCTGGATTCTTTTTACCCACCATTGGCCATTGACAAGCTTTCTGTCAATTTCCTTGGGGAAGAACAATGGTGGAAGAATGGGGAAAAAGGAGTGGACAACTGATGAGGGTGTACTTGGAAGGGAGAATATTCCAAGATCTGATGGGCACCTTAGTGGGAACAAAGCCAGCAAGGTCGACTTTGAATTTGTGGGTGACGACGATTTCACTTCATTTCATGCAGTTTCAGATAACGTAAATATTGGTAATGGGGGAATCCCATTGATTTGCAGATCAGATGGTACACAACACAATCGTCACGTTCTCATGCCAACAAGTTGTCCCTTGACATTGTGTTTGCCAAGATCATTGGTTGCAACTTGCAAGTGATGAATGTGGTATTAGGAACAAGTATTATCGGCCAGTAATATTGGTGATATTAGGAAATATATTTTACCAATCATATATATCGTTATACAACACTTAACTTATTGTTTCTAGTTTTCTAATATGATTACTCTGCTGGGCGACCTTTTTCACTGGAATTATCATAAAAGAAAAGATCAGTGTTTTCCTTTTGCAGATTCTCGACTCAACAGCCAGCACACAAGAGGGAGAGATTCATACCTTCCACTTGGAACAAAGGTAATCAATCCTTAGCCACTCCCATACACATGTTTGAGTTGAAAATTTACAAATCTAAAGGGCATGAGATAAGCTGATAAAGCTAGTGAAGAAAAGTGGGTGCAAATATTCTGGATGTTGCTGATATTTTTGAAGGCCTTGGAAAATCTACAATCTCCATCCCTACCCAACAAATCAAATTTCAAATCCTTCCATTTCCAAAAGACAAAAAGAGGCATAAGGAAGAAAAAAGAATGACAGTGGCAACTGTAAGAGTATGGTATAAGATCCAGCAGAACCTTCTCCCAACAACTCGAGTTATTGGAAACAATTGGTTCTTGACATGGTATCAGAGCCTAGAACCGAAAGGTCATGTGTTCGAATCTCCACGACATCCAATATTAACAGTTTATATTAAAGCACAAGGTATGATGGGCCTGTGCAAACTTCAAGCCCATGGGTTGACTTTCGTTTGAGAAATGGTCACTTTATTTTTTCTTCTCAAAAACATTATGTAAGTTTCAAAATTGGTAACAAAATGGTTATTCTCGAACACCACTATCCCAAAATTGCGCTCACTTAATAAGCGAACAACAAAATCCATCTATTCATCTGAACCAATCCATCATACTTCAGAGTCGTATATACCAATCCAACAAAAAACCACACCAAATTGCTTATTGGATGCTGATTTTCTTTTCAACGACGATATAGATAGCTTATGATTATAATGATAATACAACTTGGGTACTAAGATGGGATTTTGTGTGTTTTTTCTATTAATTTAACAAGTCTAACATTTTAAATGGAGATAGGACAAAAGTGACCATTTAATTGCAAAGTTTCAAAGGCATATTATTATTTTGGGAAGAATAAAATTTATCCAACCATTTTGTACAAATGCCAAAACCAATGTTACCATGTTGGATAACTATCATACATTTGTGACTACCTCTAAGAAAACCCTCAAACCTTGTAGCTACCTCTAAAAATCCCCCAAACCTAATGCCCACCTCCAAAAATCAACCCTAGTCACGAAAATTAGAAGCAATTATATTAAGATTGCATGAAAAACTCTAATGCTACTATCTCAACTAGTTGCTTTAATCCCAAAAATAAAAATCCCCAACAGAAAGAAGGTCCTTCTGCTCTTATATATCCTCCCCCCATTCTTCCTTCCCTAGTTAACAACAGCATCATCCTTCTGATTTTGTCCAAACTTTCCTCTTCACACCTACTTCACGTGTCACCCTTCATTTCTCTCCTTCTGTAAAGCCACTCACCCTTCCCAAGAGCACTAACATTAGCCTGGCAGAAAGATAGAAACTTTCATCCATTTCCATTACCAAGAACCACAGATTCAGCAGCTATAACTCCCCCAAAACAAAGCCATGGCTGCCTGTGGGAGTCTCCAACACATCTTTGACAAACCATTGCCTGAAAAGACTCCATCATCATCTATCCTTGATTCCCTTTCTTCTTCCTGGAACCAACTCAAGCCTGTGGTCAAACCTCCAATTGACCATTCCTCCTTCACCGAGCTATTCGGTGAGCTTCATTTCAAGGACACCTCTTTCTCAGGCAACCTGAAGAATCCCTACCCTCTATCAGGTTCGAAGCTCGGCGGCAGCTTGCAGCTGTGCACGGAAGGGCTCGGTTCTGAGAGCTCTGCTGATCTTGAGGACCTGAACAACAATGATATATCGTCGAAGACAGGATGGCAACATCAAGAAAAAGAAGAAGCGATTGAGAAGAGAACAACAACACCACCAACAACAAGAGCCATCATAGCAAAGCATTCTTCAGAATTGGAGAATCAAAGTAGAGGTGGGGAAGACAGGAGATCGTCGAGGTCTTTTGGTGATAGAGGGGTTTCTTTCCCGCCACCCATTTCCTGCATAGGAAAGACAGGCAAGCCTTGGGTTTGCTTCAAGTCTTACAGGGAGGATGGCAGGTTTGTTCTGAAAGAAGTAAGGATCCCTACTCAGGAGCTTCTACATGCTTGCAGAGAAGATGGGAGGTTAAAGCTGCAATTTGTCCAGCCTGACAATGAAATCATTGAAGAAGTGGAAGATGAAGAGGAGGAAGATGATAGTTTTGTGGAGCATGATGGTGGAGATGGGAATGATGATGATGAATGCATGGATGTTGACAATGCCAAGCAATGATGGATGAAGGGCATATACAAAGAAAAGAAAGCAGCCTGCTTCAGGTTGGGAAATCAACCTTCTTGGCTTGCCCTGCTGGAAAAAGTCAACAGAGATCCTGTGTTTACTTGCCAATTCAACATGGCTAGACACAGAAAAAAGCAGCTCCAATGTTTATTGTTTAGGCTAAATCTTCCCTTCCATTCTCATTTTTCTTTTTGCCCCTTTCACCTACCTAGATCCTATGTTACTTCATGCACTCAAAGAAAATGTGTAAAGAACAAGCATGCAAGTGTACTGTGCCTATGTAAGCATCAGGAAACTTCGATATGACCTCCAGGGAGTCCAAAATCTACAGTACATGGCAGTACAATCGATGGAAGAGGTAAAAAAAACATGTCAAAACAAGACAAGTCACCTTAAATGGAAGAAGTTTGAAGTATCAACATCTGCTTCCATATCAATCGCCTAAAAAAGAAGTGGGCAACAAGTTCATGGTCCAGACTTCACCACGTCTCAATCCCTCCTACTAAAACATGAACCCTAAATGTCATTTTACTGCAGTTCTTTGGCACAGAGTACCTTAAGTACTAACGAAAATCATACTTCAAAATTTGTCATCAGAGTCAAAACTGATAAATTAGGCATTAGATGATGCAAAAAGTAGCCCAGAAAATATCAGCCGATCTTTTGGGTCAAACAAAGGCAACCAAGGCCAGACTAGTAGTATATGATCAAACACGTGTTTTGCCAACCAGAGAACTGCACGTGTAAGCAAGACACCTCATATTGCTTCAAAACATGTGATGCTACCAACTAGTATGTATAGTTGTCAATTTGAGAGTAGAATTGTGGTCAGGTTTCACTTGTATTCATCACCTAACATTAAGCTGGGAGAAGAAAAAATTGCAACTCTGAGGTCAATACTTGAGGAAAAGGCCTAGTGAGGCTCATAGAAGCAGCACTGTGCTAAGTCAGAATGAGGCTTGGCATTCTCTAATTCAATTATCTAAAATATAATCAAATGATTATGACAATGATTGCCATGCAGCTAAGAGGATTGGAGAAAGCAAATATGGAAGATGCCATATCTCTGGTGATAAAACATTTTGGCTCCATAAACATCAATTCCTGTCAGAGAAAAAAGTTATGTGCAGCGACATTTGAAAGAGAAAAGACAGTTTCTGGAAACTGAAGATATTCCCAGAGGAGCTAAAGTATCCATCTAACCTATAACCAGACACATGGCAAGACATTGATCCCACATCTAAACCAATTGTAGCTATCACCTTAAAAGCTACCATCATTAGGAAATTTGCTCGCCACTGAGGAGAACCAAGTAAAAGAGATGAATGGAGTGGATAAGAAGAAAATATTACCTGGACGATGTTGCTTCACTTTGGCTTTATGCTAATACATAATACAGTGGACAGAGTAATCTCCCAGCAAGGGCTAACCTACTGGGTGGTTGTGGACCAGAAAACATAACACAAGAAACTCATGTTCCTACCTTCTGAAACAGTGAAACCATGCAGATATCAATGGAACTAGGAATTTTTTTATTTATTATAGATGGTCTACAGCAAACCATAGAATAGATTTGGGGCTCATATGCAACCAGCCCAATTCATTTTATATATTGAGCAGAAGCTCCAATTCATGTAAGAAATACACACTTTTAACTGTAAGAGATAACCTCTGAAATAAATAGTTATGATAAATTCATAATGAAGCATCACCAAATTACAGAGATGGGTTACTGCCATCTAAAGTCAGAAGCACCTTGTATAGATCTGGACGCCGATCACGGAATACTCCCCAACTATGTCTCTTGGACTTGATTTTATCGAGATCAAACTTTGCCACAAGAACAGCTTCATCTTTGTCATTGGCACCTTCAACTATTTCTCCGGTCGGCCCTGTCCATCAATCAATGGTTAGTCATTATCTGTTTGAAGTTTCCTTTCACCACACTTAGGAAGTAGTAAATAGAGAAAAAAGTACCTGCTATGAATGAGTTCCCGTAAAATGTAATCTCACTTTTCCCATGCTCAGTCTCTATTATTTCCTTTCCAATGCGGTTTGATGCCACTAAAGGTACCTGAGTTTGTCAAATCTAGAAGTTACTTACAGACACAGATCATGGAAAGCCATGACAACAACAATGCTTGTATGTAAGAACTTGCTGCGAATCACGAATAACAGAAATCATAAGCCAACAGTTACTCATGGGTTCATGTCTGAAATGGGTTAATCCTATCTTGAAAAGATAATGGAGGAAAGGCCTCCTTAAAAAGATTCACTTCAAAGTAATTGCAGTGTCCAAATGAATGTATTGAGTTACCAAATTGGCTCCAGCATGGCCTTGCATCACTCGCTTCCAGTGATCACGAGAATCAAGCCCATCATCTTGAGGTTCAGAACCAATTGCAGTGGGGTAGAACAGTATCTCGGCACCTTGTAGAGCCATAGCCCGGGCTGCCTCGGGAAACCATTGATCCCAACATATAGCTAGCAATATCACATACAAATGGAGGACCAACCTCCTTCAGTTGTCTTCACCAATGATTCAGTTGAAGGACAGAAATAAAAGGGACAAAAGATTGCATAGTTCAGTTCTTGAGGGAGGCAAATATATTTAACACTGCTTAAGTGAATGATGCTGACTACATCTTCATGGGTGCCATACGAGAAGCAAGAATCTTTCCTTTCAAGCACTGGTTGGTGAGCGGGAACTAGTAAGTTGCTTACCTACTCCGATCTTTGCAAACTTTGTTTGGAAAACCTGTTCGCCAAAACGAGCCAACGGTCAGCTTCAAACTATGTATGGTCATAAAGAGGAAAACAAGTAAATCCAGCTAAAAGATTTCACCTTGAAGCCAGTATCTCCTGGATTGAAGTAAAACTTCTCCTGGTAACCTGCATTCAGTTGTAACCAGTGGTGAGTTGTGCACCAAACATATATGAAGAATATCAAAGTGGAAAGCAAGCAACGTGAACAAACCTGGTCCATCAGGAATGTGAGACTTTCTGTAGATCCCAAGGTCAGTCCCGTCAGCATCAATTATGGCTATGGTATTGTAATGGGCATTGTTGGCCTCTTCAAAGAAGCTAACCGGTATTACAACCCCTAGTTCTTTAGCAAGCTTTTGCATTCTGTATAGTTAGGTCAAAAGAGAAAGAATTACAGCTAAATACTTTGCATAAAAAAGATCAATGGTACTCCCTTTATCAGGATAGAAAATATGATCAATCAAAAGTAAGAACCAGCATAACTACGATCTAGTGATTTGTCTCCTACCTCAGAATAGTAGGGTGATCTTTATACGGCTTAGCTCGCTGGAAATGGTCTTCACTTTGTGCTTGACAGAAGTAATACCCCTCAAACAATTCCTGAAAAGCATGGAAGAGCTTAAAGCCTTGAAGAAAAGAAAAGACACTAGTTTTATCTTTCAGTATGGGGTTGTTATAGACTCGTTTCAGACCATCCAGGTAATGTTAGGTGATACAGAAATCCACCCAGATCACAAGTCTCTCTACCGAGGCAGCGAGGCCTCATCAATTTCATCAATCTACTCCTCTCTCTTTTATCAAGGCTATTAAATCATTAACCTTCGAAGGAATACTAATGATAAGCAGGGAAATTAAAGCTCACTGATCCAAGCATCAAAAGGAACTTTTAGGTATTATTTGGAAAGAGGCACCACAGCAACAGACCTGAATAAGAATAATGTTTGCACCCTTCGAATGAGCCGTTCTCACCAACCTGTACAAAATTAGCAGCACCGATACCATTTCATCAAGTGAGAACCAGATGGTGAGAGTCACTAACTTTGTTCAAGCCGCATGGCCTAGAAGAAGAATCCAGGCAGTAATCACTTATTGAAATGGCGCAAACAAATCCACAGCCAGCGGCAACAAGAATCAGAAAGGAAATTGGGACGGAAGAGAATCAGTTCTAATCAAAGCATCCAATAATTATCTTCTCAGCCAGGATGTCCAATCCTTACTACAAACGACAAAACTGCAACACCAATGGAGTAACATTCAGATAGCTTTTCAAGTATGTAGGAGAAGACGGGAGCAGCACCATTCAGAGATTGGAGCAATTCAGCTAAGCCCACAATAAGTCGCACATCTAGGATCTGGGGTTCGTTCAATACAATAAGAAATGAAATGGGAAAGTTGCAAAATCGAAAATTGTGATCTCCACAAGTAAAGCTTAAGCGATCAGCTACTGCAGGAATCATGGGGGAAAATATGATCAAAAGGGAATAAGTTGAGGTGGCGTGACCTCTCAGCGGTGGCGACATTAGTGGAGACGTCATCTGTGCAGGCGAACTGCAGAGCTGAGACGGTCACTTCCCTGCTCTTTCCCTTCTCCATCGCTTCCCTAAAAATCGCACAAAACGGTTTTTGATTATGCGCAGCGGCCCTCGCTCTCCTTCTCTGTGTCTTCTTTCTATCGCCTACGTCGAGTTACGCAGAACAGAAGCAGCGAGGCGGCGGCTAATGGAGACGAGGTTGGAGCGACTTTTATGAGTTGCGACTTCAAACGGTCAAATTCATATCCTAGTGACGGGTTTCTATAAGAGAGTGGTATATTCTCCAGTATAACCTTCTCTCAATAACTCGAGTTATTGGAAGCAACTGGTTGTTAACATGGTATTAGAGCATAGAAACGAAATGTCATGTGTTCGAATTTCTACAACCCTCGAATTTCCTCCTTGCAAAATGAGAATTCCAAATTCCAATCTTTTTGTGACAAGAGATTTCTTTACAATTGTATCAACTACCAACCAACAACACAAAGCTAACGACTAACTAAGCAGGTAAAAGATCAATCTTGGACTTGTTCTCCTGATCGACCACGTCCAGCAACAGCGGATCGACGGTCACTTTGCTTTCCACGTGGACGGCAAACCGGTGGTCCCACCACCACAGCACCTTGGCGGTCCCACCGACGTCCACCCTGGCATCCAGCACCATCTCCCTCGAAGCGACGTCGTTGAGGAACCGCTTCGCGTGTTGGGCCAGCTCCAGCCCGTCGAGCCGGCCGGGGAGCCGGATCAGCCGGCAGGACCGGGCCGGCTGCGACCCGGACTCGACCCGGGCCGACCCGAGTAGGGACCCGTCGTAGTAGATCGACAGCGTGGCGGCGGAGTAGTGGACGGGGACGATGTTGGGGTTGGTGACGTGGACGGTGAGGGTCAGATCGGCGTCGAGGACGGGGAAGTTGAGCTTGAAGGAGCCGAGGTTGATGGAGATCAGGTGGAACGTCGGGTCCTGGGGCTTGGCCCGGAGGAGGGCGGCGGCGGCGACGGCGGATGCTCCGCCGGCGAGGAATGAGGCCCAGCTCCATCGGGGGAGTTTTCGGGTGCCCATTTGAAGGAAGGCCGGCGGTGGCGGTTTTCCGGGGAAGGTGGGGGGAATTGGGTTCTTTGAGTGGCTGATTCGAATTGGGGGAAAGAGGAAGCGGGGCAGTGAAGTAATCGGAGATTCGTTGGGGGTAGGTTTTGTTCGGCGGAGCAATGTTGAATTACGGATTTAGCCTGGGCGTTGTAGGTGGGATTTGTGAGTGGCGGTGATTTTTTTTTTTTTTTACCAAAGATGAACTTTATTCCACTCTGGTGAAACCAAAACCGGCGGTTACAAGGCTAAAGGAAATCGGAAATTAGATCAAGAATACTAATCCAGTCATCTGGGAGTGAATTTTTTTAGTGCGTTGAATCCAAAGCAGACTGCCAGTCTTTGTGAGTCGCCCAAGAAGTCAAGAATCGTTTTGGACAAAACTAAACATGGGCTAAATTACACGTTTTGTTCACTCAAATTACATAAATGTTTCATGTTTGCCATCCGAATTAGTTTTCTTTTTTATTCGCCACTAACTTTACTAATCGTTTCAACATTAGTCACCGACCGTTAGTCTCCGTTAAATTCCGTTAATTCCGTCAGTTTTGTGATGACGTGGCAACCATAAAGCTAACTGGACTATTAATTTAATGACATGTCAATTTAAAAAATAAAAAATAAAAATAGGAGTGGCTCCACCTACCCATCGTCTTCTCCGCTTTCCCCACCCCCAGCCTTGAACTGGAAAACACAAACCCTCAAATTGAGAAGAATTAAAGCACAACACATACAACAATTAATTGAAGCATAAGAAGCCGAAATTCATTATAATCAAAATCCCCAAACACGAACCCTAAGAACCCAGAAAGTAAAAGACAATTGTCAATGAACCTATAAGCTGTAAAGACACAAACTCTCTCCCGCCGATGGATTTATGAAGCCGCATCCCAATCTCCACGACGTCGACCTTATTCTTAGTCGCCCCTATATCCACTACTCCGACAGCGACTATGTTCCCCTCACCGTCGCCGGGATCTCTCTCGACTTCGCCCAAGTCTCCACCGACCTCCCTAACGACGTCGTCTTGCTCCATCCTCTTCTCCCCAAAAGCCTTTTCCTTGAACATCGGCGACCCTCCCTCCATCAACCTATAGCACTCACACCGGAGGAAGGCGATTGGCGACTCATTCCCTTCCCTCAATCGACAACAACAAAAACTGACGGAGTTAACTGAGTCTGACGGAGACTAACGGCCGGTGACTAACGGTGAAACGATTTGTAAAGTTAGTGGCGAATTAGAAAGAAAAGTAATTCGAGTGGCAAACATAAAAAATTTATGTAATTTGAGTGACCAAACGTGTAATTTAGCCCTAAACATGGACTTCGGAGTTTGGACATATGTTTTTTTTTAATAAATAATAATATAACAATTATATGTTCTTTCAATAATCAAGTATTAATTAGATACTAAAACTTTCATTATCTCTCAAAGTGCAACATTCATTCAATATGACAATATCTGAGTATTCATATAAGAAAAAACACAATGTTATAGTTTATCTTAAACAAACTCTATATTATTTTGTCAGATTTCTTTAGATTGTTGATATGATTTGAATCAGATTGTCTGACGTCGATTGAAAGTCACGGAGTTCAAGTGTGAATAGGCTTATACACGTTTGAGTTTTTGCTATTGGTCTAATATGTCACCTCATTTATTACCGGATTAGATTAGAGTTACACCACGTGAAAAAGTACTATACTTTTACTTTTCGATTCCTCTGTATTCTATCATCTCGTAAAGTATAGTGTAACTGACTCTCTCATGTGTCGTGGACCAACTGACAAACATTATTTTAGTGAACCGCGTTAATCTATATCATTACTGTCTTGCATGGCTGATTATCCCAATCTGTTCTTGACATATACTAATCAAATTGAATTGTGGATTGAATACCCATCCCCACCAGTCATTTGCTAACAATATACCATCAACTTGACATGTTAGTTCTTCAAGTACTATGGAATTACAAGTATCAACCGGTCACAAAATTCACAAACTCCTCACTAGAAAAAGCTACTGCACAGTTGCACTGCATCATCTATGCAAAGTTATTGAACAGCAAGGGAAGAGCCAACATCACAGCAAGACCCAGATTGTGTATTGGATTAGGCTTCCCGCGATACAGGGCTGCGCCATTGTCGTGGCTACGAGCTCCGGCCCCAGCCGCTCCCCCGGCATACAGTGGAATCATGGTCCCGGACCCACCTCTTCGTCCTCCTCCTTCCTCGCCGCCGCGGCCTCGCCCACTCCCACCGCGACCTACGCCTCCGTGGCCTCCACCGCCATGACCTCCACCGCCACGCCTGTTTACAGAGGAGGCCGCTCCAGTCTTGATCGCCATCGACAAGGGTAACTTCCCTGTAAAGAAAAGAACAGATTCCCAAATGTCAACTGCATCGGCTCGTCAATGAGGGCCACGCACACAAGGTGTTTGTGAAAATTCGTAGCTGAGGAAACTGAACTATCTGGCATTAACGGCTTGATGGGTCCCAACAGGAATGCGAGATTAGGCCAAGAAACCATCAGGAAGAGTGAAAAAGATCATAACTTCGACAAGATTTACCTTCAGGGGCGTGATTGCTCTCCGGGATGAAGCTTGGAGCAGCAAGAACAGAGGGGAGGGTATCCTGGTAATGAAGAAGACACAGCGTCGCAAGAAGCAGCAGCAAGAGAACACGCCTGGAGTCCAGTGAGAAACCCATCATTCTGGTTTGGATAAAACTTCTGCGCCGGAATATGGTAGTTGGTGGAGATGGAAGAACGGGGCAATTAAAGGAGTTTGCCAGACGGAGAAAGGGATAAAGCGGATTGCAGTGGCGCTTGCCGTTGAAGACCTGCTAAACCGACGAATGAGGGGAAACTACGGCCTGTGAAGGAACCTTCGAGGGCCACAGCGAAATGTCGAAAAGTTATTCGATTTCTCGACAAGTCGGATTGAGTAGGAAAGCGAGTCGTGCTTGGGTGTTCTCACTTCTCAGAATTCATCATCAACAGCTATAGTGGATTTGCCTTTTGGGGCGCAATTCCTAGTTAAGAAAAAAGCAACTTGTTCTTAGACGAGATGCAACACTCGTACAGTAGCAGGAAAGTGTGTGCTACAACAGATATTGCAGAATAATGTCATTCAACAGTCTTTCTTTATCATAAGTTGACCCACTAACTTCCATTTTGATTGCAATTAGTCATTGATTATTTGATTAGGATGGAATATATAAATGAAATATATGGTTATGGAAAATGAGACATCTTAGCTACTTGATTGTGGTGTCTAATTTATTATCTACGAAGTTCGAATCGAAGTTGAATGATTATGTACACCGTCAATGATACTACGTACTATATTAATCGTCCATCTGATAATTGAGATATGTTCGCGTTGAAACACCACTTTTTATCTTTGTAAGTACACTGATTTAGTCTAAGGGGTAACAAGCCAAACTGAACTTAAAGCTAAAATTAGCAGACAAGTAAAGCAGCAGCCAGGATTACTGCGAGGGCCAGATGTCCCGTTAGGCTCGCACCAGTCAGCTCAGCTCCACCGCTATGCCTGTGCCGCCCAAAATGGAACCCAAAGCCTCCTCCGCGCCCGCCGCCACCTCCTCCCCGCCCGCCGCCGCCGCCTTTCATGCTTACGGAGGACAGCTCCCGGCGTTTGATCGACTCGCATAAGCGCAACTCTCCTGCAGGGATCAATAGAATACGAGTGCCCACAAGGTGTTTGAAGAAATTCCTAGCTCAGAGAAAGCAGGGGGGAAAACAGGGCAGCAAATACGTACCTTCAGGGGCTACCGCATTGTGATCACGAGAACAGGGAGTCCGATCAGCAGCAGCAGCAGCAGCAAGAACAGAGACGTGGGCGAGATGAATGCACAGTGAAATCACGACCAGAAGCAGCAGCAACGGACGAAACCCAGATGATCTTCGTGATCCCATGATACACCTTCCGGCCGGCGGACTACAGTAAATGCTATTTACTTCCCGAGCTGAACACAGTGCTCTTTATATATGGTTGTTTGGCGGGGTGAGAGACGGGGTAAAACTGTAAAAGAAGCTTGGTCGCTAGCAAGCACTCGGAAGCTGGTGGCATTATTTACTACCATACCAGAAGAGGGAAAAAGGGATTGCGAAGCAGTTGAAGACCTGCAGAAGCCATGGTTAAAGCTAGCTGAATGGGGAAGCCTATGGCCAGCCTACTGCGGTGCGAAATTTCGTCGAACCACACTGGATAGCAAAAGGCTGTTCCATGTCTATATTTGGTGCTTGCTTTTAACTTCCGTGCGACTGGTAGAATGGTTGAAAGAGGGCTATGTCCAGATTTGTGCTAGAGTTGATGGCTGGCGTTCGAGCTAATCAGGAGTTGTCCTTCTCTCGGAGTTGAGGGTCAACAACTATGAATGGCAGTGATGCACAAACAGTCTCAATTAAGGCATTGATGACTCTAGAATGGGGGGGAAAAGCAAAGGAAAGCTAGAAGATTTGATGAGGTATTTTATTAAGTTAAGATTTTGGCGTTAATGGTGTTGCCATCGTAGCTAGAGCCAATAACTTATGGCAATTTGAACACGCTTTGCTAATCTGCAGACTGCAGTAGTGTGGGGAGAAAGCATGTATCCTACTTCCATCTCGCTATCTTCTTGACCTGTTCTGTTTGCATTGTCTCAACATTTGTTTTTATTTCTCATATTTTCATATCTATTAACTCATATTTTCTCTCAATAATATTTAAAAGAATCTCAATATTTCATCTTTCCACTAATTAAACTCAATTAATTTAGTTATCATCTCTATTTTCATTTATGAACTATTTTCTCTTTGTTTTATCGTTAAATAATAAATATTTTATATAAATAATATAAGAAAAAAGTAAACCTGCCTCAATATATACCCACACGGATATTGTCGACCAGATCCGTGTTTGATGCGAGACGAGTATATGTATTGAGATACTCGCTCCGGTCCGTCCAGCCTCATTGTCATCACTAGAGCTGATGCCCTTGAGAGGAAAATGAGATCTCACTAAACAAGTTGTTGAGGGTGCAATACTAAAGACTAAATAGCTATGTTGTGACTATAGTCATTATATTTTTTTCGGTTCTCGAAAGTGAGATTGTACATGTGATGATTATGATCCCGAATTTTGAACCAAAAAAATCATAATTTGGTCTAGTGATCATAGGGTTGAACTTTGAATGCAAAGACTATGGAATCAGAATTCTACCACTCCTATCTCTTTCCACTTACAAATCGATCATATAATACCAATTCGATTAACCAGCCTCAAAACATAATTCCTCTACAGTTGATGAATCACAATAAGCATCCATAGATAAGAAACCCAAAGCTTCCTACCTACATTCACAAATTCACGATTACATCTCGTAGCAACGGAACTCCTAACACAACCCCACATCTATCATCCCTATGCAAAATGCTTGAAGAACAGAGCAACCGCCAAAAGGACTGCAAGTGGCAGAGTGCGGCCGGGCTTCCCACCGTTCGAGGCTGCGCCATTGCGGCGGTGAGATCCAGTTGCAGCAATCCCGGTAGCAGCTGCGGCAGCTCCAGCCGCCCCTCCAGCTGCATATAGTGGAACTCTCCCTCCACCACCTTTCCCCCCTTTTCCGCCTCCGGCTCCCCTTCCACCTCCGGCTTTCCTGTTGACGGACGACAGTACTGGTCCAGTCTTGATCCACGACCACAAGGGCGACTTCTCTGCAAACAAAACAGAGAAATTTAGCGATTGCTGTAACCAATAGGTCAATTGCCAGCAGAATCACCCGAAAGGTTGCTGTGCACACAAGGTGTTTGTGGAATTTCGTGACTGAGGAATCTGAGCGGGAGTCAGGAGAGGTGCGAATTTGTTGTTTTTAGGACCAATAGCGTAATGGGTATTGAACCAAAGGCGCGAAATCGGTCCAAGAACCATTGGGGTAAGAAAAAGATTCGGGATTTATGAGTTTATACCGTCAGCAGCGAGATTGTGCTGGGAACTTGGAGCAGCCAGAATGTGGCGATGATGATGAAGAAACAACACAGAGAGAAGCAGCAACAGAGGAAACGAAGGTTTCAACGAAAACCCATTCATCTTTTCTTTTTTGGGTGCCGAGGATTCTGTTTGTTTACATCAGAGAAATGCCAAGCTCTATATGTGGGAGTGGTTTCTTCCTCTGGAACTCACTATGGAAATATGCTGCAAGAATGGTGGGGCGGGGACCGGTGAGAGAGACTGGACGATGGAAGGTTTGGAATCATATACAAACCTTCGACACTGGGTTTTTCGATTCGACAGGGAGTCTTTCTTGGAGCCTTGTGCTTGTGCATTCTAATCTTGGTCTTGTAGATTCCAGTTAAGCCCAAAATGATGGTTCTATAGTTTCTACAAATTGAATGTTTGTACAGAGCTTAGTTGTAAAAGCAAAGGCTTGATTATGGAAAGCTCTGTGTCTAAGGAATTTGCGGTTTGCAGCTTTCTCTGATAAAAAATATTAGGATTTGGGTTGGGCTTTTGTTTTTGTTTTCATTTGCTTACCAGAATTAGAAACTTTGAAGCCTTAATTCGGTTCTTAACAATGGAAAAGTTAAGACAAAGTTAGGTGAATGGAAAGAAAGATGCTTTTTCCCCAGGTCCTTGTCGTGCTGCTGGCAGTGCCAGTCCATCTCTTCTCACGAGTCCCACCCACTCACACCCACCGATCAAGTGCCATCACATGGCAAAAATATGAGCTAAGAGTAAGGTTGTTAAATCGGTTTATGTCATTATTGATTTGTCAAATGGTATGGTCTGATCGGTGGTATGATTGATTTGTGCCGATTCATGTCGATTTCTTACAAATTATGTAGGAAAGTGAGAAATTATTAACAGTAAATGAATTTTAGGCGCATATATATAATATATTCGGAGACAATCACATTAAAATCTATATCCATAGTTAAATAAAATACAACATTCCAAACATAACGGGAAAAAATCATCATAATTTTGAAATACAATATTAAATTCAAACATCCAAAAATTTATAGTTGAATTCAACAAACAACTTAAATATCTAAACGTTCATACGTGAGCCCAACTGAGTGATATGCAGAATGTTGAAGATGATGATGACAAAGGAAAGAGGTGGGTCCGTGGTTGGTCGACAATTGATTTTTTTCTGATTGGAGTTTCATACCGAGGTCTGGAAATTCAGCGGCTCAAGTCATGGCCCATCTAATTTCGGATCGGGGACAAACATCTTTGTTGGGCTTTTAAGGCCCCCTATGGCATCAAGGCTGGTTTTCTGTAGAACTATACAGTTCTGTTACCAACTTACCATAATAAGGCCTTCGTCAAAATGGCTGATTAGTTAGGAATGGCAATGGGCAGGTCTGGGGCGGGTTTCTTGGTACTCAGATTCGTCACGTGACAGGTCGGGTTAAGGTCGGGTAATTTATTACAGGTCATGGGTCGGGGCAGGTCGATCCAATGGGTAAGCAATTTATATGAAAAGTATTAGAAATGTTCGTTATTTTTATAGACCATGGAAACAAACAATATTATGATAAATATAGTTAAATTATTGGAGAAATTGAGGTTTTCACTAATTTACAACTTTATTATAGCTAAAATTTGATGTAATAAAAGGAAAATTCTAAGTAATTTGACTAAAATTACGTGTAATTTAGGCAAGAACGGGTCGAGAATGGGGCGGGTCAGGACAGGTCGGGTCGATGAGAGTATCCATGCCCGCCCGCCCCGCCTACGGGGCGGGTCGGACCCACCCCAAAACAGGTCAAACAAATCGGGTAAAACGGGTCAGGTCGAAATTATCATCCTATGATTAGTCTTAGTCTTGTTTCCCGTTTATCTCCGCAACCCAAAACCTGGGTTGGTAAGTCATCCACTTGCAGTGGTGGGTAAACAACTGGTTTAAAGTTAATTGGGAAGCTGGGGAAATGCTGTTAGAGCACAAGGGTGGAATGCATGCATGGTTGCCTAAAAATGTGTTAATAACTTAATATTGTAATATAGCACCTAATAGAGCCCTTCCACTATCCTTCTGTTATGCTCCAGAGTCTAGAGTAATGGTGTTTCGAGTTATAAATTAAACTTGTACTATGATGTTAATGGTACAATTTGGCTTGTATTATAAACGAATTTGTATATTTGCATAATGGTGCAAGTTCAGCTCGGTACAAATTCAGTCAGACCTTATGTTATGGTACAAATTCAGTTTGTAACATAACATTTTTCTAACAAAACGGTAAAGGTGTGAACTGAACTTGTACCCAAACGTCAAATGTACAAATTCATTGTAAAAATTAAGTGCATAAGGTTAAAACTAAGTCTATATTGGCCTTTATATGGACATCTACAGAATGGAGTAAGTCGGGTGAGTATCTCGATACTTTTACTCGTTCTATAACAGGTCGAGTTTAAGTCTAGTAATTTGTTATTGGTTGGGTTGGGACTGATTGACCTATTAGGCATGTAATTTAATGGGAACATATAAGCAATAATATGATAAATGTTGTTAAAGTATTCTGTAAATTGAAGTTCTCACCTATTTGCAACTTTATTATAGCTGAAAGATAATAAAAGTAAAATCCTAAACAATTTGAATTAAATAACACATAATTTAGCCAAAAACATATCAAGAATCACCGAGTAAGCAGTGGCGAAGCCACGTTGCTTGATGTGGGGTCAGTGGACCCCACTTGGTAAAGAAGCTCATGTTATAAAAAAAGGAATACCAAGGTAGGGGACTAGGGAATTCGAGCTTTGGATCCCAGCTCTCCCCGAGATAGCTAAACCGCCAGGACTTCCTAGTTCTTTGTAATCTTTGGACCCCACTAATGCATTTAGCTGGCTACGCCAATGCGAGTAAGTACAAATCAGATCAAGCGGAGTACACTCATACGCACATCGCCCCATCTAACAAAGCAAATATTACCCACTCCAAAATAGATCAAATTGTTCAAATAAAAATTGTCGTCCTAATCTACACCAACCAATTTAACCTTCCATTTTTTTTTTCCTTCTCCCCCCACTTCACTTTAAATTTCACCACCACAACATCCCTCAACACTTCCAACTACCCTTTTCTCAACACAACTCTAAACCCATGGCCGCCCTCAAACTCCTTCCTCTCCTACTCTCCTCCCTCGCCGCCCTCCAACCCTCCATCTCCGGCGACCCCGACACTCTCACCGACTTCCCCCTCCCACCGCCAAACTCAAACAACAACAACAACATCAGCGGAGATCACTTCACGTTCACCGGAATCCGCCCGCTCTTCCACCAGCGCCCCACCACCCTCACGATCTCCACCGCAACCCTCGCCGAGTTCCCGTCCCTCGCCGGCCAGGGCGTCTCCTACGCCGTCCTCCAGTTCCCTTCCGGCGCCGCCAACCCTCCCCACACCCACCCACGCGCCTCTGAGCTCCTCCTCGTGGCACGTGGCGTCCTCGAGGTCGGCTTCGTCGACACGAACAACAACCTCTACGCGCAGCGGCGGCTGCAGTCGGGGGACGCGTTCGTTTTCCCCAAGGGTTTGGTTCACTTCCAGAGGAATGTCGGGAGGAAGACCGCCGTCGCGTTTTCGGCGTTTGGAAGCGCGAGTGGTGGGACCGTTTCGATTCCGATGGCGGTTTTTGCGTCGGGGATTGATGATGACGTGCTGGCGAGAGGGTTTAGGACGGATGAGGATACGGTTCGAGGGATCAAGGCTGGTGTTATGGGGTATAGCAGATGAGTGATGTTGAGGGTTCTTGTTCAATCTTGTGTTTGTTTTTTTTTTTTTTTGTGTTGTTGTTGTTGTTGTTTTGGTATGGTTGGTGTTGTTGTCTTGTAACTTGGTTTTTCTTGTTTTGAATTCTGGTTTTTTCACTTGTTCCTTTTTTCTTTATTGTTTCTTTTGTGTTCATGGGAATGGCATGCCTTACTTTCCACTAGTGATGGCAATGAGTTCGGGTGTGATGGGTATCTTAATGTCCTATCTCATGCTACTGCGGATTGGGGCGGATATGTGGCGGGGTGGGTCGATCCACTAAAAAAAGAATAGTACATGCAAATTTTACTTTTACGATAAAATGAAGAGAAAATCACTATACGGATGGGAAATAGTGATAATAGAATGATTAATTGAGTCTGACAAGTTGAAAGATTGATTCTAAGTAGTTACGTTGAAGAAAAGTCAAAATAGGGAAAATGTGTTTAAATTTTGTATGAAATTTGATAGATGTGCCAAGAACGGGACAGGGCTGGGGGCGTCGGAAGTAGATACCCATGCCCCGCCCTACGCTACTGCGGGTCGGATAATATCGGTCTCATCGCGGATTAGGTCGGATAATACCCGTCGGGCGGGTTCAAATTGTCATCACTACTTTCCACACTTGGTCTTTTATCCAAAGGATTGATTGAACCGCTTTATATTCGGTTCAATTATATTCAATCCAAATGGCAAATTTTTTTTTACCATAAATATACCCAAAGGGAAGAGAAGATACATATTACAATAAATAGGAACTTTGCAGGTCAAACCAACAATAAGAAAGGAAAAGACATTTTCGGGTTTTGACGATAATAGGACCTTGATGTCACAAAATGGACAGTCCTATAATTATCTTTACGTAATAAGCATAATCCATAACTAAACTACTATCGTTTGCAGGGAGAAAGCCATGGATCGAGCTTATCGAAACTGAAGCAGAGCAACAAATCCAAATAGCAAACCCATAAGTACTGCTTGGGTAACATCGCCAAAGATACCTGCGAAAATAACAAACAAGACCTAGCTAGACCGGCCACTTTGCAGCATGTCCAAAGATGTCAAACTATCCGGAAAGAGGCCACCTAGAAAAGGCACAACAAAAGGTCACCTACAAAAATAAAAACACTGCGCGAAATGAAATGATACACGGTGGAGAGATGAGCTAAGAACAAGGACTTCCTGGAGTATGGCACCACCCAAGATGTATGACGTGTTCTTATACAATTTTATACCAACCAAACTATTGCACATCCCCTACTCCTCCCAAGAAATTAGTGATGGTAATGGGGCGGGGCGAGTACCTCAATACCCATGTCTGCCCTCACGCTATTTCGGATCGGGGTGGGTAATACCCGTACGGGTACGAGGCAGGGCTGGTTGACCCACTCTTACATGTTATTTGAATAAAATACACACACAATTTTACTTTTTACAATAAAATGAAGTAGAAAACACGTATGAATGAAAATAGTGATGATGGAATAGGTAATTGAGTCTAACTAGGAAAAATCGACCCTACCTAGTTGAAGAACAGTCAAAATAGTCAAAATAAAAATGGATACTATAAGAAATTGAGATAAAATGCGACATGAACGAGGCGGGGCGAGGCAGGACAGGTCGGAAGTAGATACCCAGGCCCCACCCCAAACTACTACGGGATACCCGCCCCATCACAAGTCAGATCGGATAATACCCATCGGCCGGGTTCAAATTGTCATCCTACAAGAAATAATGGGCTGGGCATCGACATATATCTGTTGCTGTAGGCTCTAGGAGGTAAGCCTTCTTTTTCTGGAGGCCGCAGGCCGGTGCAAGGGGTTCTACAGTGTGTGTAATGGGCTTTCGGAACTTGTGTTTGGGCTTCAGTCTTCTGAGCTTCGGGCCTATTTCTAACTAATGGGCTTTATTATACGGTTTCCTTTGTACCACTCTGACAAGTCACAAGTCAAAACTAACCCAAATCTATCTACACATAGGAGTAGAGAATCACTCCCCCTCGTTTTGTGCACTGATCTTTCAGCCACGTCGCCCAAATCCATGGAAAATGACGGAGATTCGGTTATGTCTTCCACACGCGCTTCAACTTCCACACGCGCTTTATTATACGGTTTCCTTTGTACCACTCTGACAAGTCACAAGTCAAAACTAACCCAAATCTATACACACATAGGAGTAGAGAATCACTCCCCCTCGTTTTGTGCACTGATCTTTCAGCCACGTCGCCCAAATCCATGGAAAAAAGACGGAGATTCGGTTATGTCTTCCACACGCGCTTCAACTTCCACACGCGCTTTATTATACGGTTTCCTTTGTACCACTCTGACAAGTCACAAGTCAAAACTAACCCAAATCTATCTACACATAGGAGTAGAGAATCACTCCCCCTCGTTTTGTGCACTGATCTTTCAGCCACGTCGCCCAAATCCATGGAAAAAAGACGGAGATTCGGTTATGTCTTCCACACGCGCTTCAACTTCCACACGCGCTTTATTATACGGTTTCCTTTGTACCACTCTGACAAGTCACAAGTCAAAACTAACCCAAATCTATCTACACATAGGAATAGAGAATCACTCCCTCTCGTTTTGTCCACTGATCTTTCAGCCACGTCGCCCAAATCCATGGAAAAAAGACGGAGATTCGGTTATGTCTTCCACACGCGCTTCAACTTTCCCCTTTCCAAGGAAATATCCAAATCGGCCTTTCCTTTCCTCTGCTAGTGGACGGCACCAATCACAGCTTACTGACCTGACCCGACCCGCCGCCCCGCCAAATGGACATCCACGGATCTACACGCTTCCGCCACCGGAAATCCCCTCCTTCCTCCGACCGCTTCCTCGACGCCTTCTTCTCTCCGCCGCTCCACCACGAAAAGGACAGCATCCTCGCCGCCGCCGCCGCCGAGGACAGCGAGCTCAACGAGGACGACATCTTCTCCACCGGCTACTTCTCCTCCGATTCCTCCCGAAATCAACAACAGCAAAGACACCACTACCTTCGCAGCTCTCCCTCGACATCGCCGCGCCACAAGGCCTTCCCCGGTTCGTTCGGAATCCTCGCGGCGTTGCCGGAGAACATCTCCACCGCCGGGCATCACCATCACTTGTACCAGAAAACCGCTCTCTCCTCTCCTCCTCCTCCTTCCTCCTCCGCCGCCTCGCCCTCATCGAATTTGCCCTCCTCCTCTCGCCTCATCCCCAAACCACCGCAGGATAGGTTGTCGTCGGCCTCCTCCTTCTCCAGGCACCAGCACCCGCAGTCGGCGCCAATCAACGTTCCCATCCTCGCGTCCGCGATGGCGAGGAGGCGGAACAGGGAATTCAACGAGATTGATGAGCTGCTGGACGAGGATGAAGGCTACGGCGGCGAGATGCTTCCCCCGCACGAGATCGTGGCCAGGACGCAGTCCCCGATTCTGTCCTGCCCGGTCATGGAAGGCGCCGGGAGGACGCTTAAGGGGAGGGACCTTAAACAGGTAAGGAATGCAATTTGGCGGAAAACTGGCTTTCTGGATTGATTGATTCATTGAAGATCGAAAATTGTTTGTTTATCTTTAGGGCTGTAATTAAGAAATTGGTTTGTTGATCAAGAGAAATTTGTTAAATGGGAAATTTTGTACATCTCTATTTCACTCTCAATGAAATTGGTCTTCCCCTATGTTCTGATTTCGCACTACTAGCAGCACAGTAAACCCGAATCTCGGTAGGTTTCGTCGGATGTTCATGATTCGAGTCGTGTAGGCTTGAATGTATGCACCAGGTCGCGTCATAAGAATCAGATGACGCATTCACGACAGCAATCTTCCCTGGAAACCAGAGCTTATCCCGACTGCAGTAGGCACTAATCAAATTCGGAGCATCGATTTCGAGCTCCTGCACTTTCCTCTGCCGGCATTCCAACTGGAGCACCCGGAGCCGATGGCTCCAAATCCTTATCTTGCTCGTTTCGGTGCTGCTGCTGCTACAACGAATGAAGTGCAAGGAAAGAGACTCCAGAAATGGCAAGTGTGAAATCATGTTAAGATGGCTCTGCCTAAGTTCCACGGGGGCAGAAAGTTTCAAATCTTTGAGGCTGAACGTCTTCAGGGAAAACGGCTGAAGTAAACTGGCGTTCCATCCGGAAGCCAACCTTCCACACCATGGGAAACACCTGCAGAACCTGGAGAGATGGCAACTTGGTGATGAAGTCGTCGAGATATCCCCCTGCGATTTCCCCCACTGCAGAAGCTGATGATTGTCACACTCTTTGAGATTCGGAGCCGAAGACTAGGGATGGCAAATTACCTACCCATGGGTAATTATACCCAAACCCAAGTAGACCCATTGATAATGGGTTGGGTATGGGTGAAGTGCATATGGATTTGGGAGTTTATAGATGGGTTTGGGTTTGGGGCTTCCATAATCTAAATGGGTATGGGTTGGATATGGATATCCATTTACTTGAGGGTGTTTTAACTACACATGCAAAAATTGGACCTATTTGCAAAACTTGAAAAGTTTAGGTACCAAAATGTAAGACCAAAAAAATTTAGGTACCAAAACGTAATTTTCCATCAATATTTTGAGGACTTATATGCAAAAAAATTAAATTTAGGTACTAAATATGTATGTCTATTAAGTTTGGGTACCAAACTGTAATTTGTATTTGGGCATGGGTACAAACCCAAATCCATTTGATATAAACCCAACTCAACCCAAAGAAAATGGGTATGGGTACAAACTACAAACCCATCAAATTCTACCCATATCCATCTATTTGGATTTCATACCCAACCCAATTGGGTTGGATAGAAACCCATGGGTATGGGCAAAGTTGCCATCCCTACGGAAGACAATGACAATGATCTCAACATACATGGCTTCTCCCCCCTCAACCAATCCGAGCTGCTCTAGGAAAGGTGCTGTAGTGAGCTGGAGTTCATATATCGGAGCCCGGACCAGATCCTGATGTTCGAATTACTGGGTTTTTCAATTTGGGGAAATTGCTGGCAGAGATCTCAAGCCTCTCAATTCCCATAACACGATTCCAGACAGAAACGCCCGAGATTACCTGCATTACCCATGAGATTGTAGACCGATTGTTCTGTAATTCGGACCGATTTGAGATGAAGGAACTGAAGGCGTGTTGCAGAGAGATTCTTCTTCCCAGTCCGTTCAAATCACAGCCTTGGGAGCCTGAGAACTTTCGTCCGGCTGCAATTGGCCAGCAATCCTGCCGGAAACAAGTGTAGCCATCCGGTCCTGACCACGATCTCGAGCGGCGATCCGCTTCTGCCCCCCCGGCGCCTTGGCTAGCAACATGTCCAAGGCTTTTCTCACGTGCAGGGGACAGGATAGGGGGAAGTACATCAGCGACAGTTTGAACGAATCCAATGCCATCTGGGGATTCTTGTGGCAGAGAGAGAGAGAGAGTCTTCGGGACGAGGCGACGGCGAATCGGGCGAATTTCCGTTACTCTGCGGCGGAGGCCTTTGATGGCTCGTCGCCGCCGCGAAACTCCAGCACCGGATAAGATCGCCAGAGATGGAGCCATCTTCTGGACAACGTGCTGGTTCTCGCCGCTTGTTGTGCATCGTCGAGGCTGGAGATGATGGTGTGTATGATCTCGTCCGGTAGTGCTGATATCCGGTCGCTTCTCCGTTGCCATTTGCTCCGTCGCCCTGACTGGTTTTGCCTTTTCACACTCCTCCGGTTTTCTCTCTTTACGAGAAGAGAGAGGGACTGGGCAGGGCCTAGGGCCCAATTGAAAATGAGCCCAAATATAGAAAAACCAAAGACCGGTCCAACAGCCCGTATCTACGAAAGGGTGCAACTGTAATTTCAAATCGTGAAATCGAAAAAAACCCGTTGAAGACTTGTTATCCCGCCCATGGCAATGCTTCGAAATTTTGAACCGCCAACACACACACGTGCCAAACCAAAACCAGCTCCCCTCGAATTCGCCACTGAAATAGCTCTGCTTCCCCCTGACTTCGCCTGCTCGCCGTCGCCATTTCCTCAAGCTTCCTTTCCTCCTCCTGAACCCACAGAGCACTACAGAGGCCTAGACCATCCTCCTCGCTTTATCTTCCTCCCGGCGAAAGTAAGTTCCCTTTTTCCCGTCGCGAAGCTCTGTACGGAATCACCCCAATCTTCTCCGCAGGTAAACTACTGCAACCCAATCGCTTTCTTGCCATTCGGTCTAATCATGTTTAATTCTAGGTTCAAGAATAAACGATTCTCGAAATTGATCTTGGGTTGTGGTTTGTGTTTGCTCCGATTGAAGCCCACTGAGAGATAGTGTGAGAGGAGGAAAGATGCCGGAATCCAGGGATAGATTGGTTAGGGAAGTGGACTTCGCCGACGTTTATGCTCGCAGTCGTTCAATCGGGGTTCACACAGACGAGTTGGACAGGGCGCTGTTTGGATCTCGAGTGTCGGAGCCGGTTCCGGTGGAGCGACCCGGGACAGTGTTCGGGCCTGGGTTTCGTCCCGGTTCGGCCGGAAGTCGTCGTCGTCGAGATATTCAGATGAGGAGAAGAAGGTACGCTTCTAGATCGAGGGGAATCGAGAATGCGAGTGCTGCGAGGAGTGGTGAGAGAAGAAGCGACCTGCCTTCTTGGTATCCAAGAACCCCTCTCCAGGACATATCCGCCATTCTCAGGGTAAAACCCCCAAATTCAGTTTCTGTTTCTCCGTTCTCTGTGTGCTTTCTTTCTCTGATTCGATTGATTCTAGGGATGCTTGTTTGTTTGAATGGGGGTGCTTTTTAGGAGTCTTGTGGGTTATTTCGATCTGTTTCTCAGTCCCGCCTGGAAAAGAAGTTGAATTTCGATTTTGGGAATTTGGGCAGAGAGTATCAGGTTCTTCGTTTGCTATCTGGAGTGGAGACCGCTCTTGGGTTTTTCCTGGTTTAAGTTATTCAGTTGCAATGGCCTCTTTCCTGCTTGATGAATTGAAGTAAAGGGTTGGGTGTTCGTTGGTTTTGTGTTCGACCCTCGGTTTTTGAATTGGATTAACTTTTCTTGACGCAGGCCATTGAAAGGAGGAGGGGAAGGCAGGGAGAAGTGCAAGGCCATGAAATTGGGACACCGGCTGTTCAAGGTCCGAGAGTTGCTGTTGACTCTTTTAAAACTCCCAACCCAGTTCATCTCAAGCAAGGAAAGTTCAAGTCTCCATATCCAGCAAGCAGCAGCAGGGTCAAAAGCAATCCTCGTCCTAAGCTCGGTAAGGTGCAGAAGCTGATCCACGAGATTGCAAATCAACCATCTCCAGGGGCAGAGTGCTTAACACCAGAGAAAAAGCTACTCAACTCGATTGACAAAGTTGGGGAAGTAGTGAAGCAGGAATTGGATAAGCTTAAGCGTACCCCTGCTGCTAAGAGGGAAGAAAGGGAGAAAAGGGTTCGCACACTGATGTCAATGCGGTGAGTTCTGGATGGATGGTTGGTTCGTTGGAGCTTGGTTTGGATATATTGATCATCACCTTCTGGTGATGAATGTGCAGTAGGGTTAGGGTTGTTCGATCACCTTCTGGTGATCACCTTCGAGTTATGATCATCTTCTGGTGATCCAATGAGTCATGATCATCTTCTGATGATACCCTTTTGGTGGCTCTCGGAATTTCCTTTCAGCTTGATGGCTCCCAATCAAAACTTTTGATTGCTTAGTGTAGATTTAGGAGGTATCATTCTGTCTTCAGTCTGTTGAAGATCTTTTGATTGCTTAGTGTAGATTTAGGAGGTATCATTCTGTCTTCAGTCTGTTGAAGATCTTTTGCTCCATGTCTTCATTCTTTTGAAGGCTTTGTTGAATTGAATGTATATCGGCATGCTGGTGAGTTTTTTCATCTAGTGTATATAACTAATCTCCATAGATGATAGAGACCTAAAGGACCAAATGCGTGATTCTCGATTTGTATTCTTGGTATGGCTAATGAACAGTATGGTTTAGTTGTTCTTCTTGCATACATGTTTGTGAATGGTGAAGGTGGGTAAGGTGAGTTAAAAGCCGTTTTCTTCTATGACAGAAAAATGAAAATGCCTTCGTTATTTTATTGAATCATGAAAATTAGAACTAAAATCCATTTCCACAAGTAAATGGAATGGCAAAATTAACCAATCACATGGATACCCAGGAGACAGCTTATGTTATCGTTCTCGTCAACAATCATGGATAGGTTCACAATGGGGAGCTGAACCAGTTCTTTGTTCATCACCGTTTGAAGTAGAAGCATAATCTCTACTTGAAGGTTGGAAATTAGCTCATGGAAGTCATGTTAAATGCGTCTTTGATTGCAAAGTGCTCGCTAGGCCGATCTCTTCTCCTCCTGAGACGTGGCCTTGGAGATGCTCATCGACGATCGCAAACAATGTGCCAGCTCATTGGAATGAAGAAGTTAATCGAGGTTAAGCTTCACCGAAGAGACATGAATGCTCGAGTGGATTTTAGAGCCGTGGTTCAGGAACAGCATATAGGAAAACCAGCCCCATCCCAATCTGTTGCCATCCCTACTGAAGTGTACGTATGGGTAGTTAACACCACGTAAACTCAAACCAAACCTTCGAATGCATTACTGTCTCCATCTTCACATTCCTAAGTTGATGTCGCCAACACTTAGAGCCATAACAACAATTAGCAATGTCTTTGTTCTGAAGTTGCTCTTGAATAAGCTGTTTCAGTACAAACAAAAAGTCATATTATTGAACTGATAGCAAGGAGGACAAACGGTCGCAAGCAGAAAAGGGTGCATTTACCTCAGGCAAGACGGGGATCCCATCATAACACTCAGATACAGATACGAGTTTAGGGCGGCAAGCCCAGAACAAACCATCGAGAAAAGTAGCACCATACCGAACTTTGGTCCATCTCCGTAATGAGATCTCAATACGCAAATATTGAATTATCAGAGGAGAGGATGTACTTTCAGCTCGACTCAGATCGAAAGAAACCTGAATTCAACAGAAAGGGGTGACACATATGAATGAAGGTGTAAGTATCGATATGTACTGAAAACTACCGTTGCAAAGGAAGACAGACAATGATTCTTCGGAAGTATCGATACCTCTTGTGACAGATCTAAGCCACGCAACAGCAGAACCAGGTGAAATCGACTCAATGCTGAGAGAGAATGCCGCAATCCAAGAAACGATTCGTGTGTCAAGCGTGTTTCAGCAATATGGTCACAATGCCCTTCAACTATGAATTGACAATCAGATGGCACATGTAGAACATTAATCTTCTCAGGAAACCTGAACCCACTTCCACTGTACCTGGCACGAACCAAATTAGGAGCATCAATTTCAAGCTCCTCCAATGCCTCTGCCCCGTAGTAATCATGCAACTCCAACACTCGAAGCCGCCGATGAGGCGAAACCCTCATCTTAGTCATTCCCCTGCTGCTGCTGCCATCATGGTTGATCTCCAAGTAAAGAGACTCAAGAGATGGCAAATTGGAAACCAAACCATCAAGTTGGCTCTGCGTAAATCCCAAGGGGACGCCAAGTTTCAAAACTCTGAGATTGGGAGCTGCAGATGGTGATTCTATATTCAAGTTACATCTCCCACGAATATCTATAACCTTCAAACTGTTCAGGCAAGGGGATGAACTAAGGCGGAGTTCCATACGAGAATCAAATCCCAAAACAATGCGAAGGATTTCCAAGTTAGAAAGAAACGGCAACTGGGTAATGAACCCATCAAGATCCACCTCCGTCCATTCTCTGGAGCTAACAATTCTCACAAATTTAAGATTCGGAGCTGAACATAACGATTCTGCTCTCAACTTACATGGCTGCCCTGACCCGTGAAAGACCAAACTCTCCAGGAAAGGAGCTGTAGTGAGCTGCAGTTCAAGCCCGGAATCAGACTCTCCTGTTCGAATGTCTAGGGTTTTCAATGTGGGAAAATCTCTAGCGGAGACCTCCAGCCTCCCAATTCCACTACACATTTGCAGGCTCAAAGAATCGAGATTAGGAGCATTACCCACGAAATCGTAGAGCCATTGTTCCCTGAGCGTGACGTTTACGAGATGAAGAGCCTGGAGACCCTGCAGAGAAACCTCCCCCAATCCATCCAAGCAACAGCCGACGAGCTCGAGAACTTTCGTGCGGCTGAAATTGGAGAACGATCCCTTCGGCAAAATTTGGGCGCGTTCGGTTCTGATCACGACCTCGAGCGGCGATCCGTAATCGGCGCGGTCCAGCGCCGACCTCAGCACCACGGCCAAGTCTTCACCGCGAGTGTGTTTGGTCATCGTTAGCAACGATAACCTGAACGATTCCAGAGGCGTCTTATTATTCTCGTAGTAGAGAGAAAGCCTCGAGGACAGGGCGGCTAATAGGTCGGCGATTTTTCTATAGGATCGGTAGGAGAAGTCGAACTCCTCGCCGTGAAACTCCACCACCGGGTAAGTTCGCCAGAGATGGAGCCATCTCCGGGAGAGCGCGCTGGTCCTCGCCGCCTGTTTTGCAGCGTCTAGACGGTAAAGGATCTTGTGGATGATTTCGTCGGGGAGGGATGATATTCGGTCGATCGGAGATCGTTCCTCCATCGTTCTACGATTCCGACATTCACTTTCTTTCGATAATCAACCTGATTCCATTCTTCAATCAACCATCCAGAAAAATCGAGTCCTCAAATCTCAAACAAGGGGAAAAAAAAGTAGATGGAGAGGAGGACAAGTCGTTGCTACAGAAGAGTTCCCAACTCCCAACTGGTAAATTTCGTGGGCCGAATAGTGGGCTTCACAATTGCAGGCCCGATGTGTAAAAGCCCACTCAACCCCTGGCAACCGGACGGGGTTGGAATTTGATGGATCCAAATTGAGTTTCTCTGTACTCGTAAGTATGCAAGAATCAAAATTAAGTAGTGAGAGACACTTGTGAAATCACTTTTTCACATGTTGCAATTTTTTTTTCTTCCATTTATAACAAGAGAAAACAAGGAAGGATACATTTGTGTTATTAAATAGGTGTAAGAAATGCATGCTCGGCAGCTTTCTATAGCGCACTCTGTAGCTGGCCTCGTAAGTATACATTCCTTACATTCCATGTCGTCTAACATACAATGAGAAAGGCAAAAAAATGCTCCTACTATGAACTATTGGTAGGAGCAAAAACATAGAGAGCTAAAGGATATTGAAAATAGTAAAGTAAAACAAGCGACCATAATGGAAAAAAAGTTAAATCGGACCGCCACCCTCAATCCCCTGCGCAATGCAACAATTGACACTCTCCCAGTTCTGCTCATTTCTCGGCTCCGACGAGCATCGAGGCTAGACAACGAGGAGAGTGTAGTTGCAAAGCCAAACTTCTGTTCTCTGTCTTTTTTTTTTAGTTTCTCCTTTACATTTTTAATAGTAAGTCGCCGGCTATCGTCGCAACCGCTTCTCGTTTCTCTGCCTCGGCACTGTTGCCATCATCATCGACGACTCTGACTAGCCTCTGGTTCTCCCTCGCTCCGACCGTGACCGGTGGACAACAACACTTCTGTCCACCGATCACGGTCGTTAATAGCTAATGTAGAGACCGTGGAGAAAGGGAGGTGGGTGAGAAATGAGAGGAAGAAGAGGCAGTAGAGAATAGAGATTGGATGGCAATGGTGTGGGGAGAAACCGAGAAACAAGAGGGTCATATATGAAGGCGACCGGGACTAGCTTTCCTGTTAGTGGGGTTTTTCTTTTTCAACCCTGTTTTTTTCCTGTCTTTCTGTTTTTTGTTTTTACTTTTTTTTTTTACTCACTTTCTTCAAAAGTGATGGTTGAAAATTGGGGACAAGGCATGCAAATTGCAAGGGCATGTTTGTGATGTGGGGAATGAAAATAACTCCACTAACCCGGTTTCCGAGGCTCTTGGACTTTTCACATGGACCAAAACTAGAACGGAGGTAAAAAAAGAAAACAATGCCAACTGCCCATGAGATAGCCATTCGTGTTCGTCGGATGATTCGGATCGAAGAAGGATGTTCTTATACTCATTGAATGGATGCGATGCTCTTTTCATTAATCGTCACTGCGCATCATTGTGATTGTTGTGGATCGTCCGCCATCGGTTCGACGGGAGCAGAACGTTGTGAGCACTTTTAGTTTTTTACCGAACACGATTGCGCGAAATTGATTTGTTTGAGAGATAGCACAATAATTGATGTGTGTGACTGCTCGCCTCCCTCCCTGTTACTATTGGAGAGGAAATTCCTGAGCTTGAGGGACGGTTGTCTGTTTGTTTGTTGGAAAATGAGTGGATGAAGTTGCACGTACCTTTCGTTCGGGCCGGGCCGGGCCCGGGCCCAAATGTTTTGGTTCTCCACAAATTCTCATTCTCATTCTCATGCACCTCTTTCTATGTAAATGCTCCCAACTCTTGCCTCTCTCCTCAATAATTTGGCAATTATTCTCAAAAGTTGCCCATCAGTGCACTTTCATTTACCCTTTTTTTTTTCTGTCTCGAGCTCAGTGATCCATTTCCTCTGCCACTCCTTTTTTTTTTTCTCGTAAATTGCAAGGTTGGTCATTAAAATTATAAAAAAAACATTCATGTTTGGTCACTAAAAATATTTAATATCGTTCGTAATCACTAAAATTAGTTAAGTATGTCAAATTTGATCACTCTCCGTCCAACTCCGTTAACTTTTACTTGTGTGGCAGTCAACTTTTATAGTTGACCGTTAAATGTATGACATGGCAATTAAAAAATAATTGAATAATGTGAAGAGAGTGGCCAAACTATAAAAGTTGACTGCTACATAAGCAAAAGTTAACGGAGTTGGACGGAGAGTGACCAAACTTGACATACTTAACTAATAGTAGTGACTACGAACGAAATTAAATATTTCTAGTGACCAAACATGAAAGTTTTTTGTAATCTTAGTGACCAACCTTGCAATTTACCCCATTTTTTTCTAAACCACGATAATATATAACTTTCCTAAAACGAGCTAAAAGTACAGAAAAAATGGTGATGGTATAATGATATCATACTAGCTAGCAATAAGGCGTGAATGAGCCGAGTTGCTCATGAGTGGTTCATCATTTTGACTCGTAAAAAAAACGTTTGAAACTCGTATTGTTAGTAAATGAGTTGAGTTTGAACTATGTCTTATACTCTTAATCAACTCACAAGGTCAAAGACCCAGGTTGACTCGATGATTGTTGGTTTCGGGTCAACTTTGTTGTGTAAACAACTGTTGAGCTCAGCTAGCGAACTGCCTTGTTTTGAAACCCCTAAGCTTACTCATCTCACTGCTCCTGCCATTGGCCATCACCGAACATATAGATTCTCAAGAGATGGAAACTTGGAAACCAACTCATCAAGATGGATTTGTGTAAATCCACTGGGAACACTAAGGGGTCGTTTGGAGAACAAGATTTAGGTCGTGGATTCACTGAATCCATAGATTTTGTAGAATGTTATATTTTTTTTGTATGATGTATTTTAGCGTTAGAGATTTCAAATCTCTAAAATTCGTGGATATCATATCTCTCATAATCAGAGAGATTTTATATCTTGATTCGTGATATTTTCTTTCTCCTACTTTAGCTCTTCCTTTTATTTATTTATCACATTAAATATATTTATCAAGAAAGTTTTCAATATTTCTCGAACCACTCTAATTTTTTTATTATGGATAAATATGTTATTTAATATAAAGTTATAATTTTTTATTATTGAATGTTAACGATCAAAGTTACCAAACAATAAACTTTTTAAAATCTATTTTCAACAATCCGAAGAGTTGAAATTTTTTGATTGGTGACAATCTATAGATTTAGACTCATATTTTTAAAACGAGGCTTAAGTTTTGAAACTCTGATATTGGGAGCCGAAGATGGTGATTGTGGAAACTGGAAAGAGGCAAAGAGCTGGTTCTAAATTCTAATTCTAAGGGCGACCTCGACGGGCGATCCGCAAAGGCAGGCCCATAAGAAATCATTATTAAGAAGCCCAGCCCGCTGTCTACCAATTCAAGTCAATTTAAGATTTCGAGAAGTATCTTGCTTTGGGCCGAACAGGTGATCTTCTGGACATCAGGCAATGATTATATCGGCCTATTCGATCCGCTTTGATCCGATACAAATGTCAATTCAGTATATATTTCTTCTGTATTTATAAAATTCATGAGATCAAGAATCGAACCATATTATATACAGTTGGGTGTGATCCGGTCCGGTCTAAGAGTCATTTTGGTCTGATGCGCCATTGCAAATCCCTACCTCTAATTAGTCTTTGTGTTTGACATCTAACGACTACAAACATATACATGGGGAACGGCATAATGATATAAAATCGCACAAATTATCTCATATTTGCGGTCGAAATCTCAAGCCTTGTAAGTATAAGTGGGACAATGTTTGATAAGTACGTTATGAAAACAAACTTTTCTCGACTAGATGTCTTCATCGTTGATCTCTATCAGAATAATCACGTACTCAAATTCAACCAAACTAGCTCGCGAGGCTTTCTCGTCTTTTTATCGTACTGGTCCGGTGACACTAAACGGGAACAGCTGGCATCCATACACGGAGAAGACTTCGCTTCCATCATTTGTGTTGGGATTCTTGAAGACCAAGGGAGCTAGCTAGCATGGAGTTTGAAGGGTCAAATAGAAGTCAAGGAAACCTTCAACACAACCCCAAATGAAAAGACAAGACGCCATGGGAACGCGGCATGAACAAAAACTGAAGAGGTAGAAAAGGCACAATGACGATTGATAAGTGTAATATATGTGTGTTGCCATTTGGATGGTAAGGTTTTTGGATCTTTGCGAATTGGAAACGAATAAAGATGCCTCTAACTTTATACACAGATACAAATTGGAAAGGGAACAGATTTTGTGGGAGGGGGGCAAAAAAGACTCATCGAGGTTAACTGTCTTCTATTAAAAAAAAAAAAAAAAGAGGTTAACTGTCTTTTGCCCTTTTCATATGTTTCCTTGAACATGTAACAACGTGAGACTTGGCCTCCTGATCACGACCAATACAGTTAAAATCGCGCTTTAAAACGTAAAAGCTTACGTTTTTACCTTTTTAGGTCACCTAAACGCTTCTACATAGAATCGTGATTTTCCTTTACAAATGTAGTCAAAATCTACGTTTTAAAACTTAAAAGCTTGCGATTTTACGCTTATAGGTCACCCAACCACTTCTAGGTAAAATCGCGCTTTTGACTGCATTGATCACGACACCGACCACTATATAGGGTATCGGAAAGGAATAACTATTGATGTACTATTAGAAACATCATTAATTTAGATATCAACTAAAATACTAGTACGTATATTTTATACGTAACTTAATAGTACCATATTTTACTGATTACGTGGGGAATATATAGATCCTCGAAATGTCATACATGGTCGAGAAAATTACAATGAGTCAAATAGTCGCCCTTAAAAGATTTACTTACAGGTGAACATTCCGCACTCTCTCGCTGGAGAAAATTACACTTGGTAGTGCAACGATTCCTTTGCCACTTCCGAAAATGGAGAAGATCCCCTTGGTATTTTTTTTTATTTTTTTTTGCCTAGCTAGCTATTGGCATCGGCGTCACTTGATTGCGGTGGTAGAAAGAAAAATCAAATACCAGCTTGCAGTTCTCTTTCTTCGTCAACGAGGAAGAAGTAAACTGACAAAAAAGAAGAAAAAAAAAAGTCATTTATAGCATTTAATAGGAATACTTCATGACTCACCGACTCACTCACGTCCATATATATCCAAATCAAGTCGAGTGGATCGTCGTAGCCAAGCAGTCCCACTAGTGTTTATTACCATTCCTGCCGCGTTAAAATTAAATAATTAATTAAATAAATAAACTCGTGGGTTACGTTATTGGGGAGAATTAATTAAGAGTTAAAGACAAATTCATGCATTAGAAATAAGCGAGAAAGCCAGCGAGAACAAATTTGACACCTACCTTGTGGAATAAGTTGAACCTACGCTACGTACGGACGGTGGCAGTAAAACCAATTAAGCAAGGTGCGTCATTTTCCTTCTTCGGTTGCGTTTGCATTTTCGCTACCTAGCTGCCCTGCCTGCCCTTAGGAATGTCAATGTGGCAGGTTCGGGCCGGATATCTCGATACTCATATCCAGATCGGGTAATTTATTATGGGGTGCGGGTCGGGGCAGGTCGACCCAATGGGTATGTAATTTATGTGAAAAACATTAGAAATATTCATTATTCTCATTAAAAGACCAAGAAAGAAACCATAATATGATAAAATCTAGTTAAATTATTGAAGAAATTGAGGTTTTCACTTAATTGCAACTTTATTATAGCTAAAATATAATGTAATAAGAGGAAAATTCTAAGTAATTTGACTGAGATTATATGTAATTTAGACAAGAATGGGTCGAGAATGGGGCGGGTCAAGGCAAGTCGGGTCGATGAGAGGTACCCATGTCCGCCCCGTTCCTGCCTACGAACAGTGTCTGACTCGCCCCAAAACAGACCAAACAGGTCAGATAAATCGAGTCAGGTCAAAATTGTCATCCCTACATGCCATGGATTCTCGCTTATCACCTCTAAGGGCAGAGATTTCTGGGCTTTTTAAAAAGCCCGTACTCCCGCAAGTAGGCCCAGCCCAGTATCGCTTAAAACTATCTTTCACATTCAATATCTTTCACATCCAACGGTGTACAACAGTAATTAGTAATAGAACGATCAACGACGGAGAGTAATTATCTTGTGTGAGGGGGTACAGGAGAATCACCTGGGGAGACATCCGAGAAACAAGACCGGTTCCGTCAGGGACAAACCAGTAATTTTCCCCTCCTCCCGGAGCAACCGCGTGGAAGTTTTTCCACATAACCCAAAGATGCGCCATTTTTTTCCAATACCACTCGGCTTTGTTCCCTTCTTCTTCTTCTTCTTCCTCTTCACCTTCACTCCCTCCCGCCATTTTCACAACATCTATATATAAACAAACACCAACCTCCTCCACCTGAGGAAAAAAATAAAAAACCAAAAACTGCAAACAAGCAGTAGCAACAATGGAGGAGCTGCCGCCTGGCTTCCGCTTCTACCCAACGGAGGAAGAATTGGTCTCCTTCTACCTCCACAACCAGCTTCAAGGAACCAGACATGACCTCCATCAAGTCATCCCTGTCGTCTACATTTACGAGCTCGACCCCTGGCACCTTCCAAGTATGTACACATATATGTATGTCTAGTTATCGTTAACAACTCGAGTTATTGGGACCAACTGATTTTTGTACGTTGTTGCAGGCGCAGCAGGGGAGATGTGCCGAGGGGATACGGAGCAGTGGTTCTTCTTCGCGCCGAGGCAGGAGCGTGAGGCACGCGGAGGGAGGCCGAACCGGACCACCGGGTCGGGTTACTGGAAGGCGACCGGGTCTCCGAGCTACGTGTACACCGCCGGCGGTAGAGTGATCGGTGTTAAGAAGACGATGGTCTTCTACAAGGGGAGAGCTCCCGCCGGAAGGAAGACCAAGTGGAAGATGAACGAGTACAGAGCCATACAAGGAGCAAGGCACGGCAACTCCTCGTCGTCTAGTCGTTATGATCAGCCTCCCGTTCCTCAGGTAACTCCATAAATGCAATTTTTAATAACTCGCGAGTTGTTGAGAGAGGTTCAGTAGTTACGCGTATTATTATTTACCTGAAAATGCATGCATGCAATGCAGTTGAGGAACGAATACAGCCTGTGCCGGATCTACGTGGTGTCGGGAACCTTTGGAGCGTTTGATCGGCGGCCGCTGGAAGACGTGATGATGATGATGGGAGAAACACAACGGCGGCCACAACAGCAGATTCTTCCACCGAGTGACGTGCCTTCTTCCTCTTCGTCACATGCTCAAGCAAGCTCGTGTGGAGTTGCAGACATGGAGATGGACGTTGATGATCATCTAGAGCAGCCATTCTTTGACTGGCCGGAAGAATTCAACTGGCAGTGATCTTTTTATTTTTATTATTATCGTAATTAAAGATATTTATATATATAGAGGTATTCATCAATTAATGGTTAGTGATTTACGATCATCGGGTTATAAGTGAATCGAGCTATAGGTTGATTGGGTTTAGTTAAGTTGATTGTATGAGTAAATTTGTCGAGTTATTTGTCAATACTATCAATAGGGTCACATACGGATCGGATTATTAGTTGATCGATCGAGCTGTTGTCAACGACTATTGACCGACTCAAATTCTGCAAGGGTTAAGTATTAATCAGGTGCGACCAAATCTTGATCATTCCACACAGTGAAAAGTTTTTAAAGTGTGAATATCAAATTTTGATTTGGATTAATTACATTTGGATTTGATCGAGTTGCAAATCAGTTGGATTGACGGACTAACAGGTCAATCAGTAATGGCATAATTGGGATAAACTTTGTTTTGGTGTAACAAGACAATCACGTTAAGGGTTCATTGAGAATTGGCGTTTTGGCAACACGGGTTGTGTGCAGGCTGGGGTTAGATGGATTAATTAATCAATCTTCGATCATGAAAATCGGGTGTGTTTAGTATTACGGTTAGTAGAGTTTCGGGTCAATATATAAGATCTTTAATTCACCAGATCACGAGTTAGTAAGACTGCAACCTTCATACCTTGTAAGCAATATTACCGGGTTAAAACTTTCCGACGAGGATTATTACTATAGACAGCTAACGTAATAAACCATTTTCTTGTTTCTAACTTCAGGGTAACAGCTTACAACTATGCTTCCTATTCAACTTCATGGTTCAAACAGGCGTAATCCCGCGTATAACTTTAGGGTAGACGTGAAGGAAGCCCAACGACTGAATTTTTGACGCGAACAGCAGAAGCTGGACGCCGCCGGTTGAGTCATGGCGGCGGCACCACCGGCGGTGGATGCAAGGCATGCAAGAAAAACAAAATGCATGGCAATTTGAGTTTTTGTTTGATGAATTTGAGTTTTTTATTCATCGCGCAGGGGAGATGGATTGCTTTTAATCTTCACGTAGGAGTAATAATGAATAGTGAGGTGTAAAGAATAACGTTGCCCATTCAAAGAAATTGCTTCATTTTAGTTTCCGATTAGTGAAAAAGTCAAGGCAAGACTAGAGAGCTTGGTTTGGTGCAAGGATACTGATTATTGATCTCAAATGTGCTATGAGTTGTTGAAGCAGAGACGAAGAAGGCTGTGTTGATCCAAATTAATAAAGCAAACAGGAAATTATGAGGTTATCTTATTGTTTGAGTCGTATAACAACGTTCTGGATCACAAAATTGAATTATTAGCAGGAAGACAACAGAACTAGTATAAAGAGTTTCAAACATTTCGTACAAAATTGTCATTGCGTCCATTCAACAAACGTGAAGAATCCAATATCATTGGCGGATCCAGGGGGTGGGTGGCCCCTGGCCCAGCCCTCTTCTGGATCCGGAGTTAGAATAATCATTATAAATTTGTCGGTTTTAGTCATTCAGCCCAGTGTTATTTTATAATATGATTGTGTATAATTAGAAAAATGATTCAGATGAACATATTCAATTCACTACTCTAAATTATCCTAGAAATTCTAGCCCCAAAGGTTTTTCGTCTAAAAAAAACAATGAAACTAAAAATCCTAAAGTCTAAAGCATAAAAGACTAAAAGAAATATGAGGTTTGTTCCCTTAAAATTTTACTAGAGCAGCATGGTGGATATAGGGATGGACACACAGTGCAAATTGATTAGTCAATTGATTTGTCTAGTGTTGATGCTTCTCGTTTCAACAACTACCACGCAGAGAACCTATTCAACAATGAAACATGTGAAAAATGATTTGCGCAACAAAATGAGCGATGAATTTCTCACTGATTGCTCAAGTATTTTATTTGAAACATAGTTGGTATGAATGTAGATTTCATTATTGATGCATTCGCTAAATTAAAAGACCGTCGTGTACAATTGACATTGTAAAAAAAAACTATAATCATAATATTTTTTTTACGATACCGAATTTTCTAATGAAGTGCGACCCAGTGCTCTGCTGTGTTCTGGATCCACCACTGTCCAATACGTTATTGTTCCTCTACCCCTATAAAGTCATTTTCACATATAATTGTGAACACCAATACACCATAGCAAAACACTATGGTGAGTATGTTGCGATCCTTTCTCCATAAAGATCAATGATGGTCATCATTTCGTTAAATTCGTTTGAGCACCAAATAAGGGGTCGTTTGCTTCAAGGATTTTATAACGAGGGTTTTGTCATGGATTTGCTAGTTAAAAACCTTGGGATTTATTAGGGATTTTAAGCATTATGGATTTGAGGAAATCCTTTGTTTGTTGAGCTATTTTTATCATGGATTTGATGGTTTTTCAGCTTGTCTCCAAATCCCAGGGTATGAGGTGGGATTTATAAAACCGTGGGGCCCAAGGATTTGGAGCAAAAATAAAACCCAAATCCGTGGGGCCCACAGATTTATCTAAACATTTTTTGACAAAGCAAACAACGGATTGTGTGTAAATCCATGATGATTAATTTTTTTTGTACCAAATCCATGATGCAAATCCTTGAAGCAAACGACCCTAAAAGACACTTTCTCCTACAAAAAATGGTATAACTCACAAGAACATAGCAGAGGCTGGACTAAGCCGGTGAAGTCGCTTCGCTTCGCTGGCCTGCTCTGTTCCCCCTAACCCCTTCTCGTTGGCCGTAAGCTTTTGTTCGCCTGCCGCGACTCCATTATTCGTCAGCCTAAATTCCTAATCCCAATCCAATCAAATAAAACTAACAACTCCAGTTCACCAATTCCCAACCGGAAACTGGAAAATCCATGCCACCGCGATCGAATTAGTTTCAGCGCGCAGAATCACGAAGGAAAGAGTAATTTGTTTCTACAGAGGTTAAGGGGGGTGTTGAGAGTTGGATGGCGATTCTCTACGCGGTGGTTGCTCGAGGGACGGTGGTGCTGGCGGAGTTCAGCGCCGTCACGGGGAACACGGGCGCGGTGGCGCGGCGAATCCTGGAGAAGCTGCCAGCCGACGGCGACACCAGGATATGCTTCTCGCAGGACCGTTTCATATTCCACATACTCAGATCCGACGGCCTCAGCTTCCTCTGTATGGCTAACGACGCCTTTGGGAGTACGTATTACTGACGCCCGATCCCCTTTCTTTTTCTGCTGCTGATCTCAATTGTTTCGTTTCGTTTTCTTTGAATTGAATTGTTCCTATGGCCGTGAACTGCACTTGGTGAAGGGATAAAAACTGGTTCCTTGCTTCGAATTTAGCTTTCTATTTTTGGGGCTTTCTGCTGGATCAATTACTAGGAGGATGGGAAATTGGACTCCCTGGTGAACTTGTGCCTGCGACTGATTCAGTGATGTCTTCATAGCAGTTCATCGAAGCTGAAGTTGATAGCTTTATGTACTTCTGGGTAAACAAAACTGAGGTGGATTACTTAGTTGGACTCTAGAAGCTGTAGTGTTAGGAAACAATTCTTGTGATGGCTCTGAAGCCCGGGAACTTGGGGATTTCCTTGGTGAAGTGGTTTACTGTGTCCGATCATTTCGGTTTGTAAAGATGAAAGAAAGATGATGTTTTTTTTGTGTGTGTGTAAGTTTGCTGGCTTGTTCACAAGGGGAGTAAGGAATATTAGAGCTCTGCCATGTTAAAAGAGTCTAGATACCGCTTTCATCAGTTGTTGAATATCATTTGTGCCCATGTAGGGGTCCAGTGATATATGGTGGTATCCTCATATTTTGTTCCTCGAGCTATGCTTTTGGGTTTGTTCTTAATTTCTGCTGTAGTAGAGTAGTCTTGAAATTTCACGTGGGGAACAAAAGGTTTATGACAATTCATTGTTTGTCAGTAAGAACCCATATAAAACCTCTTACTGGAAGAAGGATTTAGAACAGTCCTCTATCTTGTGTTTTAGTTGGTTATGTAGGTTGAGCTGTTTAGAATAGTCCTCTATCCAAATTCACATACCTTAGAACTGTTTCGGACTTCCATTATCTTTAGGTTCCAGGTTTTTCAATATTCTAAAAAGATTGAACTGTTTAGCACATATGAAATCTGTTGTTTCGGTATGCGATTTGTAGTTTTAGACAGCCTCTAGTAACTTATTCGGGAAGGTAACTTGATTCTTCAGTCCTACGCATTGGGACGGAGTACATGTGGCAATGTTGTGAAGCGATGTTATACACCTGGGCACTGACGTTAAACCAAATGTGTATTGCTCCATAGTTATTCTGATATACGTGGAGATGCTGAGCACTCCTTCCCTCGTATTTGGAGGAACTTGTCATTTACTTAAGTACTTGCACGTAACTGGGACTTTTTTCATACATGTGATAATGCGTCTTAAAAGGAGCACTCATGTCTTCTGTTTTGACTGCATATTGGCACCTGATATCCAATAACTATGCATCTAAAATACTGTGTCCTCTTAGGCCCCTGTCCTCTATAAATGGGCGTGATAGCTGACCGGATAATATAATAAGGTTCTGTTACTTAGCAGTCAAACTGAATTCCATATTCCTCCAGAAGTTTCATTGATAAAATTTCCACTCAATTTAATTAGATCATATGATTGTTACTTGACCAGGGAGAATCCCATTTTCGTACTTGGAAGACATTCACATGAGATTCATGAAGAACTATGGCAGAGTAGCCCCGTATGCTCCTGCATATGCAATGAATGATGAGTTCTCAAGGGTGTTGCATCAGCAAATGGAATTCTTCTCTAGTAACCCAAGTGCTGATACTTTGAGTCGTGTCAGAGGTGAAGTGAGTGAGGTAATTATTTCCGGTTTGTTACATTTTCCTTAAAGCATCTGCCTTATACACTGCATTACCCTGTCTCCGCAGTGGTAATCTTGTTTGACCTAACCTGCCTTTCTCACTCTCTACTTCCGCTAACTTAGCACTTGCGAGTTTGAGAGTCAACTTATTCAATTGATGTTCTGACCACCACTTCAAAGGTTGACTCAACCTATAAATATTATTTGATCATCATTGTTTGGTTGTCAGTTGCTTCAGCTTGAATCTTTTTGTGTTCTTCAAGGGCATACAGTTAGTTTTAGTACAAAGCAGATGTGGGTTAGTGGTTGGTACAAAGCTAGTCAGATTTGGCATGATGCCGTACATTTTTTCTGTTTTGTTCATACATTAATTTGGAGTCACCTTCTGCAGCTCCGGACAGTGATGGTCGATAACATTGAGAAGATACTGGAGAGAGGTGACCGGATCGAGCTTCTTGTCGATAAAACCGCAACCATGCAAGATGGATCGTTCCACTTCAGGAAACAGTCTAAACGCCTTCGCAGAGCTCTTTGGATGAAGAATGCCAAACTTTTGTACGTCTCGACAAATTTCCTTTTCTTTGGTAATCCTGAAAGATCATTGTGCAACTTGCTAACTTTTGGCTTTGCAGGGCGCTGTTGACGGTCTTGATAGTCGTGTTACTGTACTTCCTAATTGCTGCTTTCTGCGGAGGCATCACTTTACCCTCGTGCAGATCTTGAGCAGAGGTATGCCGTGTCCTTAGATTTCTTGCCATGATCATCTTCAGGGCTCTCTTTTCTTTTAATCTCAAACGAAAAGCGATCTCGTGAAAACGAATGGACAATAAACACGAAGACTTTGAAGTCGGAACAATGCTGGCTTCTTCGGTTGTGATAGGCGGTATATGATTGTGTTCACACCATTTTACTCCCTTTCTTGTAAATTCCTGGTCTCCTGGAGTCCTGGTGTTGCAGTAGCTGCTGAATGGTTCTGATTCTGGTTTGGGGTTTGCTTCATTTCATACATGGGTGTTTCCTGCTATCTTTGTAAATACCCAATAAAGTTGTTCTCGGTGGTGGAGATTCAGATGCCTATGGGACTCTCTGCGTCTTCTTCCTTTAGTTTCTTAAACATGTATATATCTATCCAGTCATTTCAGTTGTGTTGGACGCCCAGAAAGGGATTGTTTTATTGTACTTGGTTTGTTGGAGCACTGGACTTATAGGATGGGAAATTTGTTTTTCTTTAATATGGTTTTATTAAACGTCAAATAGGTTATAAAATAACTGGCATTTTAGTTAATTTGTTGATATTTGATATTATAGAATACAAGTATTATTTTATGAGATTGTGATTGAATTTCAAGTGTTATTTAGCATTAGAAATTATGGGATTGAGATCGGTATGTACTGAAATATAAGTTAATGTTATTTTATTCCTCCCAATTATAGTCTCATTCCCTCATTATTTGACAATTAATACCAAGCTCATTTTGTTACTTGTAGTATGTTTATGGAATATTCAGTCGTTCCCTGTTTTAGTTTGTTATCACCCAGGTGTACAGAGATACGTCGATGGTTTGCTCGAGATTGGCATGTTCATACATATCAATCACGTGTACAAGGGAGCGAATGTCGTCGCCGACTAGTCCGCTAACCTCGGTCATTCTTTGCCTAATGGGGTCCCATGTTATGGATTGTTTAGTCGTTCCCTATTTTAGTTTGGTGTTTTAGTTTTTTTACCACTCATGTTTTCAGAGATTCGTCGATGGCTTGCTCGAAATTGGCATGTTCGTATCAATCACGTATACAAGGGATCGAATGTCTGTCGCTGACTATTTGGCAAACCTCGGTCATTCTCTGCCTATTGGGTCCCATGTTATTATTGTAGTAGAGGCCACTTTGTCAAACTTGTTATACCATATGACGTTATCAGGGTTTAAACAGCCCAGTTTGTTTATGAAAAAAAGTTGGAGCGCCCTTTAAACACTCCGATTTGGGGGACCTATTTGTTTAATCAAAATTCCAAATCAATTTCACATAATTGAGCTTGCCAATTTGCTTTCCCCGGCTAACATTTTGTTACATTAATCTCGAAAGCACATAATTTGGCCGCTTCGCAACAACACAAGATAAACATAATCATTTTTTTTTCTCATTACATCACTTAGATCTCGGGCACAGCGGTTCCCCGAAGATAAGAATATTCACTCGCCGGCGGGGGGAACTGAATACGATGGTGATGCCCGTGCGGGCAAGCTGCGGCGACGGCGGCTCCGTCGGTGGGGACCTCGGACTTGATGCTGGAGCAGGACTCTGCGGCTTACCTGGCGTCTGACTCATTGGTGGCACCGCCGGGGATTTCGTAAAACGGTGGTGGCGGTGGTGATGGTGGTGGCGATGGGGCGGCGGCGAGATGATTGGAGGCTGCGATGGGGGAGCTGACGGTGCATGACTTGGTGGCTGCGTGAAGATCGGGAAAAGACGGTGGTGGCGATGACGAGGAGGAGAAGTGATCATCCCACGCGGTGGTGGCGCGTGATGGTGGGGAGGAGGGTGTTTAGGGAGCAGCGGTGTAGGGACGGGAGGAGCGGAGGTGGGAGACGGCTGAGTTGGCGGTGGTGGTGGAAGTTGTTGGAAATTTGGTTGAACCGGACTAATCAAGTTAAACCGGTTTGGAGTGGGTGAAGTCATGCTGACCGGTGAAGGAGCCGGAGCATCACTATAAAGTGGCGGGAGGAGGAAGAAGTAGCGATGGTGTTTGTGGTGGTGCAGCCACCACCACCACCAGAAAAAGCAGGGTGCGTATCCTGCTGGTGGTGGTGATCCGTTTTCACTGCTGGTTGCTGCTGTTGCAGCAACTGCAGTGAAGAGGCAGGGGTGTTGATCGATTGTGGCAATGGCGGAGGAAGCGAGGACATGAGTCTGGCTGAGGTGGGATAATAGTAGAAGGAAAATGAAGAGCAGGATCATCATTACTAGGAGGGGTTTGGGGCTCTAATGGCTAAAGTTGAGCATAATTAGCTTACTAATCTTCTTGTATTTTTGGCTTTGGTGGGGTTTGAAGTGAAGATTTTGTGAATGGGGTTTATATGGAGGGAGTAACGGCGGTTACAAAATTATCAAGGTTGGGAAGAGGTTAAAAATCATTTACTATGCTGAGGAGGCCAATCCATGTTTTTGCATGGACTTTTTTTTTCTTCCCCTTTTTGACAAAATAACATATTATTTGTGGGGTACTCAATTGGTTATGAATTGGTTTGACAAGAAAAAATTCAATTAATAATTTGGGTGAATTCTCACCACAAAGAGGGTAATATGTTTGGTATTTTAAGTATATGTACAAAGTCATTCGAATACGTGTTATAATTATGCTTCATATATTCTCACTAACTTCAACATTTTAGCGATTCATATCTCCCAACGTGTCGCCTTACACCGTCGATGCGTATTAGATACTTAATTCGCTGTGCGAAACTCCTAGCTAGGCGAGGCGCGATTTGACGTTGCCTAACACCAAAGCACTCCTAAGCGCGTAAGGTTAAGCATGTCTTTCTGAACTATAAGAGCGGTAAGGTTTCAACAAAAGGTGAAAGATATAAAAGAGTAACGGGTTGCTAGATTATAATTTTTCAAATAGAATAGTACTACGTAACTCATCATAACTTTTTTAATTTGTCCCACTTTGCTTAAGTAACGGTTTTTTGTCTGTCAATAAGAATCTGAAATTGGATTTTGGTAACCTTTTTTATGGGCCATGCAGTGCATGAACAACTGCTGCGAAAACCGAATGCAAAGTGTTGGATGAAAATCCAAGATGAAGCCATGCACTGTACCAGCTATGGAGATTAACCATTGGGGAGAATATATGGTTTGTGCAGGTGCGTGATTTTATTGCTCAATTAATATACAGATTTTTAAGTCAAACTTGAAACTGATGAAGGGTTTGTTTTTGTGTATTACCCTTTGACTTGCACCGAATCCCGCAGATAACCATAATTAATTTCTTGCTAGTGATCGTCGTTGCTACTTAGATCATGTGTTCGTAATATATTTCGATCGTAAATATACTTTGATGCGCTATTTGTGAAATATGACGATACATAGATTTAGTTGGAGATCGATTATGAGATAACAACAGTGTACATTGACGCTTGCCGTCCTCAATTGTTGTATTAAAATTCCAGGGTTAATTGCATGGTTGGTCACCGAGATTACAAAAAACGTTCATGTTTGGTCACTGGAAATATTTAAATCCAATCTTGGTCACTCAAATTAGTCAAATGGTTCAAGTTTGGTCACTCTCCGTCCAACTCTGTTAAATTTGTCTGATGTGACAGTCAACCCTCAAAGTTGATCGTTAACTCAATGACGTGGCAATTAAAAAATAATAAATAAAATAAATTTTAATCTTCTACCATTTTCAACTCATATTCACAATAAAGTAAAAAAAAAAAAATTATTATAGTCACAAATTAAAAGAGTAGCTTTCTCCTCCTCCACCACATCCCTTCCCCGCAACCAAATCAGCTTCCAATTCCTCATCCTAGCTCCGCCCCCTGCCGTCGTCCCAGCCCGCTCTCCGCCTACTGCACGACCCTTCGATTGCTCGCGACAGCGCAGGTGAGATCTCGAAGCTACGGTGACTACTGGCCATCAAATAATCGACCGAAACAACATCATCCCCTGTTTTGTCGTCGTTCCAGGATCTACATCGAACCTTCCATATACAAAATCAGGGCTCAACATCTCTCGCTCGCTGTGACCCACTATTCTGTCAAGATGAAGGGATCTGGGAATAGATACGACCTCCGGCCACTTCTGTGACCGTTGTCATAGGATCCAAGCAGCGACAACTGTTTTTTTTATTACACAGAGGTAAGGACGAGAAGTTTTTGGACGAAGAAGTCATGTTCCATGTCGCGAGGTCCAGATTCCTCTGACTGAACAAGGGATTTGGTCGAGGGAAACGAGATTTGGAGGGTTCGCAGCCGTCATAATCCCATGCCCTCATTTTCCACTGCCATTTGGTTCTGCAATTGGTTCCATCAATTACGCTGCTTCGTTTAGCAATTTCGCCTGCAATTCGTTCCATAGGTCAAAGGAGGTGATGCAAGAAGATGAGGGTGAAGTATATATGTTTGTCTCAAACAGATGAAGAAGACAAGGGGAAAGGTCGAGAGAAGAGGAGACAAGAAGGGTCTTGGTTCACTGGGAGAAATTCGTATGATGAGGGTGAAGTATACCCTTCGATTGCTCGCGACAGTGCAGGTGATTATGATCGGGGAGCGGCGGGGACGGCGGCAGCGGACGGATCTAGGGATGGGAATTGGGAGATGGTTTGGTTGCGGGGAAGGGATCTGGTGGCGGAGGAGAAAGCTACCCTTTCAATTTGTAACTATAATAATTTTTTGTTTTATTTATTTTACGTTATTGTGAAAATGGGTTGGAAATGGTAGAAGATTAAAATTTATTTTATTTATTATTTTTTAATTGTCACGTCACCGAGTTAATGGTCAACTTTGAGGGTTGACTGTCACATCATACAAATTTAACGGAGTTGGACGGAGAGTGACCAAACTTGAACCATTTAACTAATTTAAGTAACCAAAATTGGATTTAAATATTTTCAGTGACCAAACATGAACGTTTTTTGTAATCTTAGTGACCAACCATACAATTAACCCTAAAATTCCACATTATAGGTAGTGACATGAATAGTTGGTTACAAGAAATAACAAATAGTAACGGATTTGAGATGACAGGATCATAATTGGATCTAAAGTCCATGGGCTGTATGTCGGCTTTGACAAGGTTAGGGCCGTGATCAAACTCGGCCCAAGTAAAGACATCTCAATCGAAACCAGAACACGAAACGTGGGCACCAAAATGGAAAAGAAGCGGACCAGAAACGTGGAGTGAGGAAGAAACTGGGAAACGAAAAGGTCAGTTCAGTGGAGGGCTGGAGGCTGTTCTGGTCAGGTTTTGCTTCCTTCCCCAGTCAGCCAACCTCCCAACATTTTCGCTTACTTTCTTCTGATACCGGAAATCGATTACAGAAAGAACAACCAATCGGAGCGTTTTCTAGGGATTCACCACTGTTGCGAATTCCGGCCCTGAGTACTTGATGAAGCCTATACGATTACCGCAGCCGGACAGCCCCACCGCCGCTGGCGTCCCAGAGATCTTCGAAGGCGGCGCTCACAGCGTCGTCAGGCGCGCTGTTGTGATTGGAAACGGGTTCGCCGGTTCGGAGAACCAGAGCCTCGGCTTGGTTCGCGCACTCGGGCTCTACGACCAGCATGTACTTTATGTGAGTTCCCATGCGCCCTCTCATCAGTTTATATCATTTGCCTGAACTGGATTGGTGCTTCTGCTGGTAGGGATTGCAATTAGACTAGGATGAATGGATTGTTTCGTTTATGAATTGATTGAGAGCTCTCGATGGTAGTCGCGTGAGCTTGTTTGACTTGTGCTGAGGATCTGGAGCTGCTCTTGAATTTTGAGTGCGATACAGTCGTAGTGATTGCCGTGTGAAGGGGTGTTTGAATTGAGTTCCTCGTGTTTCTCTTGTAGGAAGTGGACGGAATTTGGAAGTGAGAAGAAAAGTAGTTCTGATTCTTAATTCTTTGATAGGATGTAGATGGAAGTGATGCTGATTATGCTTTTTCGTGTCATTTCCTTTCATTTCGATCACCTTGACTGATCAACCTAGCTTATTTGAAAGCAGTAGTAATTGGCACTAGGTTGATAACTATGCCTCTTTGGACGATACATGGTGTGTTTAAGAGCCATTAGGAGGCATGCGGTTTTGGTTCATAGTGGAATTGGTTTTCATCAAGATGGAAGCTGATTATCGAAAACTTATGATGGTGGATGTTGTGTTTCTTTCTCGCCTTATGATCTTTTATCTTGCAACTGTTTAAGAGCCATTAGGAGGCATGCGGTTTTGGTTCATTGTGGAATTGTTTTTTCATCAAGATGGAAGCTGATTCTCGAAAACTTATGATGGTGGATGTTGTGTTTCTTTCTCGCCTTATGATCTTTTATCTTGCAACTGTTTGCAGCGGGTTACAAGACCAAGGGGAGGAATAAATGAGTGGCTGCACTGGCTGCCAGTTTGGCTTCACAAAATTCTATATTATGTCGTGACGAAGTTAAGCATCTGCTCGCGAATTACAAGGGCCAATAAACTTTCACCTTTCCCTTCAGAAAATGGCGGTAGTGCTGGATTGGCTTCAATTTTAGAAGCTGATGTGAAGCATATCGTGAATCTGGCACGTGATGCATATGAAAAGTACTTTCTCTTGTTTAGTCACTTCACTTATTGTTACAGTTCTTGGCGCCTAAAGAGGGGCTATGTTTTCTATTTTTTAATCTCTCAGACTAATCTTGTCTATGCACATACAATCGGAACTTTCAGGGATGGTCCTCTTTTGGTTGTTGCATCTGGAAGAGATACTATTTCTGTGGCAAGCTCTATAAAACGTTTAGCGTCTGAGAAAGTTTTTGTTATTCAGGTTCGTTGCTGATGCCTTAAAGTTGTATTCCACTTCTCCCTTGCCCTAAAGGTGCAAATTGCGTTATTTAATTGATCAAAGCTAAATACTGCTCTCTTTTTTCTTGTTAAGATATAATGGTAGTTTGATAAGTCGATTAGACTTCTGGGTGTGTGAAATGACAATCTGAAGTAATGGAATCTATGAATATTTATCAGTTATTTAAATAAAAAAGAATTGCTTGATAAATTTGTGTGAAATTGAACTAGTTATTTTGAGTCAGAGTTAGCCATCTTGCTTCTGTCTCATGGAGAGTTTATCCAGAGAAATGACATGTCAAATCTGTTCTGTACGGCTCCCGACTCATAACCCAAATATTCAACACCAGCTTCTAAAACGGTTTTGTAACTCATAGCGCAGTGGGGTTATTCTTACAATCAGTAGCACCACCACACTTGATCTTTTCTAGAGATGCAGTTCTTAAAGTATCTTTTCTGTTGGTTGTTCATAACCTTCTGACCTTGTTTTCCCTTTTGTGTTCTTGCACAGATTCAACATCCTAGGTCACATCTTAATAGATTTGACTTGGTGATTACCCCACGTCATGATTATTATGTTCTGACTCCTGAAGGACAGAAGCAGGTCCCAAATTTTATGTTGAGATGGATAACTCCGCAGGAGCCTCCAGATGAGCATGTGGTAAGATATTGTTAGTGGAAATCTCCCCTGTGGAGTTGGTTTAGGTTTTGACAGTTGTTGGCTTTTTACTCTTTTCTGTCCAAAAATTGTGGCTTACATTATGGACTATAAAATTAGGTACTGACAACAGGAGCTTTGCATCAAATTGATTTTTCCACGCTCCGCAGTGCAGCTAGTGCTTGGCATGATGAACTTGCCCCTCTGCCGAAGCCATTGCTAGTGGTTAATGTTGGAGGACCTGCAAGTAAGTCGATTCCCATTCATTTTCTTTGTGTCTCTTTCTTTTTTATGGGTTTGTGTAGGAGGTGAATACATGAATAGATTTCAATGCGAATATACTTTAGATATAAGCTGTCCTGAATTTGATCTGAAAGATACTTGCACATAAAATGATGGGGCTGATCTTCTTCCAAATGAATAGCAGGTAATCATGAGAGTTTATAGAATCATAGGAACCTATAACTGAAATAAGCTTCTGTGCTGGGAGTTTTCGAATTAATAGTGTATACAATTAGTTATTTTGCACTTAGTTGTCGCTCCTACTGATGTCTTGAACATGTTTGTATGCTTCGCTTTGAAATTCTCTCAAGGATATTGTCGCTATGGAGCTGATCTTGCAAAGCAGTTGAGTGACTTTCTTCTTAGTGTTCTTGCTACCTGCGGCAGTGTGAGAATATCCTTTTCGGAGAAAACGCCTCTAAAGGTAAAAGGCCTGCGTATTCAGTAATCATTGTGAATTTGAGCATATATAATGACAAGTCCATAACATGCATTCATTTTTTACTCTCTAACTCACACAGGTGTCTTCTGTAATAGTCAAAGAATTCGCACAGAACCCCAAGGTTTACATCTGGGATGGTGAAGGTATGTTGCGGTCATTTTAAGTTAAAAGCTGATATCAAGTTATCAACCCTGAGACCATCCTATTAATCCTGATTCTTGCTACTACATCAGAGCCAAATCCGTACATGGGGCATTTGGCTTGGGCAGATGCATTTGTGGTTACAGCAGATTCAGTCAGCATGGTCAGCGAGGCTTGCACCACTGGGTATGCATGAGAAACGTTTTCTAATCATCAGCGATGTTCACATGTTGGTTTCTCAGGATTGTATTTATTGATATATGATATATGATTAACATGTGCAAACTATTTCTTGCAGGAAACCTGTCTATGTTATGGGAGCCGAGCGTTGCACATGGAAGTTGTCAGAGTTCCACAAATCCTTGAAAGAGCGAGGCGTGGTTCGACCATTCACTGGCTCTGAGGATGTAAGCAAACAGTCAATTTAATGAACTTGAGAAAATGGTTATTAGATCACCTGGAGACACCGACAGGGTTAGCCAATCGAATGAACCGGATTCATAATATTTCGTTTGATGGCCCTATTTTCAGTTTGTAGCATTTCTAGCCCCCCATATGATCTTGTGTCTCCTTAGCCTTCTCAATCACCTTTTGTTTTTAGTCTCTACAAATTGAAAATTCCCCCCATCTTGTATATACTACATTCGTTGAAATACCTCCATGACATGTTTCTTACTTCTGTGCGTGGTTTCAGATCTCGGAAAGCTGGAGCTACCCTCCCCTGAACGACACAGCCGAAGCTGCACGTCGAGTAGTTGAAGCTCTCGCTCAACGTGATCTCACATTGCGCCCGTAGGAAGCTTTTGTCCAAATGCTGTTGTTGTAAGCAAATTCCTGAACTGGGTTTTCGGTGTTCAACATTAGGTCCGTTTCTCCATACCTTCATACACAACACGTAATTGTCGTAACGAGAACCTCATTCACAGACACAGATCAAATTCATTCTTCTGCCCTTGGAAGAGAAAGAGGGAAGGAGGGTTTCAGGCTTTCATGTCGTAAGATTTTGTGTGTACAATGATCAAAGACTATTATAGCTCCATGATAGCTCGGCTTTGTAACTAAGGAAGAGAGGCTTCAAATGTTCAGAGTGTACTTGAGATCTAATAAGAAAAAAGTGAATAGCTGTGAAGTGCAATTTTTTTTTTCCGGCATATACCGTCGGCCGGCGGTGCACGTAGCGTTCCTTTTACCTTTGTGCCGCCAACTCAGCAACTATACGGTTTTAACAGTAATTTTCCAGCGATTTTCCGATTCTGTGTCTGCAACTCTAGTCTCCTTTTCCTCTGCTGCAGCCGTTGTCCAATAACGGCAATCTTTCTTTTGCTGACGTGTCTCCCGAGGAACAGTCCGTATTTAGGGAATTTACGGAGAGAGAGCCATTGCTCTAGCAGTCAAGGAGATGGTGAGATACAAACTGTTTTTCGGGACTTTCGCTGGCACGTTTGTGTCCGTCAACGAGATAATTACCGCCTTGGGAGGTCATCGGAGGCAAGTATTGCTCTCTACTTGTCATTAATGCAAGATCATGAACACTTTCAAAACCTCTCCTGAGGAAAGGCTCCGATAGGAACTCTCTTGTACAACAATGTAGACAATCTACCGGTTCATGTCGCCGGAATTTGGAAGAACGGCATGGCAACGGCGAGGAAAAGGACAAAAACATAGATGAAGCGTGTCGTGTCGGAGTTACTCTTGACGTGAAGAATCTAACATGGGCCCGGATCCATGATGGGAAGCCTGACAAGCGAGTAGCAAACAAACAGCTAATGTCCTGGCCTGCCATTGCCCTATCAAATCTATGGAGTAGTTTTCTTGGCCCACAAAACAACTTGCTTTTCCATTTTAAACCGATGAATTTTACAATACTATATAGTATTGGTGCTATAAGTTTTTGTCTTTATGGTACAACTTGAAATTGTACTTTTAACGTTATGGTATAACTTCAGATTGTACCTATATTTTTTGTACAAATTCTTTTATGGTACAACTTAAACTTGTACATTTATGTGATGGTACAACTTCAAGTTGTAAAGTTGTACCATAACATAATGATACAAATTCCTTTATGGTACAACCTAAATTTATACATTTAATGTTATGACACAACTTCAAATTGTACATTAAAGCACCAATACTATATAGCATAGTAGTAGCGCTCACCTGTAGCCTGTTTTTACTCTCGGGAGTTACATTAAGAAATTAGGTGTGGAATGAGGATCGTGAATTTGACGAGAGAATTTTACATGATCTATTTTTATATTTGCAAAATAAAGTTTAGGAATCGTTCTATAGATTGATTTACGGCTTCAATTGCATTGATTCTCAATCAGTTTCATTTTTCTTATATGCTCGTGATTATTATTTGGTGTCAAAAGATGTTCTGCTAAAACATATATATAAAAAAGCTAGCTTTGGACGAAGATCACATGTCATGTAGATGCTACTACATATAGTTGTTGTGAATGATACTTTTATTTATTGGATCGAAACCTATCGATTTACTCATTTAAAATTTTACTACTTCAAAGATGATATATATATATAAGTACAAATTAATACCAACAAATCACCCCCCGCCTTCGACACATTAATTCAATTTTTCATTTATATACAAGTAATTTTTTTTTTAAAGTTTGAATAGAAAAATAAAAGATTTCTGTCTAGCTTAGCTTTGTGTTGTTCCACTTATGTTACTACTTACTACAGAAGACAGCTAGAGGTACATAGTCATGGATAATGCTGAGGAACATGGATGACTTTTCTCTATTGACCTCCTGTCCAGTGATCGATCCGTAGTCATGGATAATGCTGAGGATGTTGTCAGCCTCCCTAACTGATGCTTCTCCAAAGATGACGGTATCATCCGCGAACAGGCAGTGAGTAAGAATAGGGCATTCTCTGTTCAATTTGATGCCCTTAATAAATTGTCTTTGTGCAGCCTTTTCTATCATGAATGACAGAGAGTTGGACATCAGGATGAAGAGGAGCGGGGACAATGGATCCCCCTGCCGGATGCCTCGTGAAGGAGTAAAATCAGTCGAAGGGGCTCCATTGAACAGGAGTCTGAACTTCACTGTGGAGATGCATGCTTGCACCCATCCGCACCATGTATCATTGAAACCATAAGCCTTGAGAAGGTTTATGAGGAAGTCCCATTCCACCAGATCGTACGCCTTCTTCATATCAAGTTTCAGCATCATTTCTTTCTTTTTCTTCTTCTTGTTCTTCTTAAACTGGTTCAAGACTTCATGGACAATAACAATGTTATCTTGGATTTGTCTTCCCCCTGTAAAAGCAGCTTGAAGTTCATTCACCAGATTTGGCAGCCATGGTTGTAGTCTAATGGTCATAATCTTCGTAATGACTTTATAACGGAAATTGCAGCAGCTTATTGGTCTAAACTGGCCAATCATCTCGGGATGGTCCACTTTAGGAATGAGAGTGATGAAGGTATCATTCCAGCCCTCTGTCATAATCCCTGTCCTGAAAAAATCGAAGATCTCTTTGCAGAAGATATCCTCAATGCATGACCAGTAGGTCCGAAAAAAGTGGCCTGGGAACCCATCAGGGCCCGGGGCCTTGTTTGCCCCCAACTGGAAAACAGCCTTGCGAACTTCCTCCTTTGTGATTTGAGCAGTGAGGGTATTGTTGATCTCATCAGTGACCAGCGCAGGGAACCCCGTTAACAGTGAATGGTCAAAGCTCCCTCTTCTACTCTCAAACAGATGTCGATAGAAGTCGTTGACGTGATGATCCAACTCATCTGGTTTATCCAACCAGTTCCCAAGCGCATCTCTTAGCTTCAGAATTCTGTTCCTGTGTTTTCTTCGAATTGTAGATGCATGGAAGAATCCAGTGTTCTGGTCTCCTTCTTGGAGCCAACCATTTCTTGATCTCTGAGCCCAGAAGGATTCTTCTGAGGTCCACCACTTGTCAAGTTCCCAAAGCAGAAAACTTTCTTCCTCAATAATATCCTGGGTCCTTATCGGACCCTGAAGCTCTTGTAATCTTTGTCTCAATTCCTTTTCTCTTTTCAGTTTCTGCGTTCTGTCCATTTTTGCCCAGGCCATGATGTTTCTTTGGCAATCACTCAAGATCCCCTGAACTGGACCTCCGGTGCCCCATCGGTCACTGACAATCCGCTTGCACTCCTCATTTTCCTTCCATCGCTTATCAAAGCGAAACGGAGTGCAGGTAACTGGTTTGTAGTGGTGGAGATCCACTCTGATCGGGCAATGATCCGAGTTCACAAAGTCTTCATGGACGACTCTTGCTTTCTCAAAGGTTCTGAGCCAGCTAGAGGTACATAGAGCACGATCAAGCCTTTCCCTGATCAAATCCCCCCCTGCTGGTTGTTGGTCCAGATGAAAGCCTCCCCCGAGAAGCCAAGATCAATGAGAACATTGCTGTCGATAAAACTTTTGAACGGGATTACATTTTCATTTCTTAGGGGACAACGCCCCTGCTTTTCATGGGGGAACATGGCCACATTCAAATCGCCAACAATGAGCCATGACTCGTCTTGAGTCTCCCTCAGGCTCGAAAGTCGATCCCAAAAAGTCCTTCTCTCCACCGCCGTGGCAGGAGCATGGACTAAGGTACAAAAGAAAACCACTCCATTCTGACTAACGCTAATGTCCATAAAGGACTTATACCTATCAATCACACACACTTCAACATCATCTTTCCACCAAACCGCTAAACCACTACCTTCGTTTTCTGGACAAACATATTCTCCATGGTCAAACCTCATTCCTCTCCTCTTGTCTTCCAAGAATGATTCATCTTTCTTCGTCTCCATAAGGAAGAGAATTGAGGGGCCGAATTTTTTTTGGCCCACAAAGCAACTTGCTTTTCCCATTTTTAATCCTATCGGTAACCTGTTTTTTACTCTTGGGAGCAAGGTTGTCAAACCGGTTTATACCGTTGTGCCAGTTTAGCAAGTGAAATGGTACGACCGGTGGTATAACCAGTTTGTGCTGGTTCATGCCGGTTTAAAAAATGTGAAAAAATTAATATTTAACGCATTTAAACATATATAAAACATATTTGTGGACAATTTAGTTACAAGGAATAATAAATTAATTTTTTTATTCATTAAATTCATTAAAATGATGTCATTTTACTTAGAATGCGTAAGTCGATCATACCGGCTATACCGGTGGTGTCATGCTGGTTTCATGACCGGCACAAGTTAAACCAGGTTCAACCAGGTGGCATGCCACCGGCATGACAACCATGCTCGGGAGTTACATTACGAAATTAGGTGGGGAATGGGGATCGTGAATTTGACGAGAATTTTACATGATCTATTTTTTAATTTGCAAAAGAAAGTTTAGGAATAGTTCTTTAGATTGATTTACGGCTTCAATTGTATTGATTCTCAATCAGTTTCATTTTTTCTTATATGCTCGTGATTATTATTTGGTGTCAAAAGATGTTATGCTAAAACATGTATATAAAAAAGCTAGCTTTGGACGAAGATCTCATGTCATATAGATGCTACTACATATAGTTGTTGTGAATGATACTTCTATTAATTGGATCGAAACCTATCGATTTACTCATTTAAAATTTTACTAACTTCAAAGATGATATATATCAGTACAAATTAATACCAACAAATCACCCCCCGCCTTCGTCGACACATTAATTCAATTTTTCATTTATATACAAGTAATTATTTTTTTAAAGTTTGAATAGAAAAATAAAAGATTTTTGTCTAGCTTAGCTTTGTTTTGTTCCACTTATGTTACTACTTACTACATAAGACAGCAAAAAGTGAACTCGCCACGTGTACGACTGTGGAACTCCCGGCTCCCAGACGTCTGCAAGCGATGGTAGAGTCCACGTCACCACGGCAAAGCCTCCCATTTTTAATTTATTTTATTATTGATTGTTTCGTGCCAATTATCTATTCAATTTTTTTAATTCCTTTTTTCCCCCTCCTTTTCCGCCAAGTCTTTTTTTATTTTTATTTTCTCCTTTCATGCTTTTTGTATTTTTAATTTCCCCCTTTCCCGTTTTCTTCGTCTTCTTATTCTTCTCATCGTTCTCTCCAGAGAAACCCTAAATAAATAAATAAATAAAAAAACCGAACTCAAATTTCCCCTCTCTGTTTCTATATATATCGCCAATCGGTGAGGCGTTGGCCTTTTCCCACAGATCCCGACGACGAGGACGACGAAGAAGAAAGAGCGCTTTTTCCCTTGACGGTGCTCGTCTTTCAGGTCAGTCTCTTGGCTCGGCCTGAGTCAACTCGGGGGCTTCTTTCTATTTTCGTCGCTGTTCTGAGTTTCATCATCTTTGGAATTTTCCGCACCAGTGCCGTGCAATGCTTCGGGTTTCTAGCTCCTCGTTAGGATGTCTGATCAGCTTGTTTGTGTTATATATTGGTAGATTCGATTATGGGGTCTGTTTGGTTTCTGAGAAATTGGTGGGGGATGAGAGGCGATACTGAAGAAAGTGGGATTTTTTGGTGTCCTTTTGTTTCTTGTGAGTGTGGGGTGAGTTTCGGTTAAGTTAGTTAATTGTGGGTTTTGTTCTTAAGTAAGCTGGTCGGTTAAAAGGTGAGAATTTTACCTTTCAATCAGTGTTTTTTCCGCTTCCTTTTGGTTGATTACAGTCTTCTTTTCTGTCTGATTAAGTCAATAAACATGATTATCTCTGGGGTTCTTTGGTCTGATTGTGCAATAAATGTTGGAGTTAAATTATTTTTGGATGGTTTCTGCTGTCGCTTTGTCCATGATGAGCAGCTTGTCTCATTTCTCTGGTTCTTTTTTTACCTTCCGTTCTTCCGTTGATTTTTAGTTTCGGGTGTCACTTAAGTTATTGTGGTGAATTAAGCATGGCTTGATCTTGAAAAAGAATGAATCTTTCCAGAGTTTGGTGTTTCAATAGAGAATGTTTGTTGATTTTCTTGGACTGGGTTCTCTTGGTTGCAGCTTGAACCATTGAAGGGTGTAGTTTGGGATTCAGTACTCAGGGTTTAAATTTAAACTACGTAGAGAAGGTTATAATTGCTTTCCGTTGGACGTTTGGGGTCTCATGAGAATTGTCAGGGGAATGCAGAGATCCTTCGTTTGCGGCGAGGAGCTTAACACACTTTGTTGGAAGAAATCCTTCTGCCAAGGAATAGGGATCACTGCGCCCAAGGCTAGAACACGCGATAAACACATGTCAGCTGGTATCTTTTTATGCCTCTAAGTTTTGTTCATCTGGGAGAGTAGTGAAGACGGTCCCTGAACTTGAATAAGTACTTCAAATAATATAATTTCACAAGCGAGATGACTCGGATTTTGGTCCAGCGAGGCAGTAGCTCTTCTTCTTCTTCTTCTTCTTCTTCTTCTTCTTCTTCTTCTTCTTCAAACCAGAGCAGAGCAGGGTCTTCATCGGCTGCTCGTCCTGAAACCCAGGCTACTGCTACTACCAACCAAGTTCTTCCGGCTGCGAAAGATGAGGAAATAATTGATGAGGTGCAGGAGCAGATTTGTGTAGGTGAAATCTCCCAGGAGCAATGTGGAATTAGTGAAAATAAAGCAGTGAAGAATGACGATCTTCCAGAATGTGAATATGGTGAGAGAAATAAATGTTTGAGTGACGATGCTGGTGATTGTGGGGGAGCACTCAGTGATGATATTCTAGGGTGTGGAGACACAATAAAAGGAGAAGAGATGGCAATTGGAAGGTCTGAGGTAGAGGGCGAAAGTTCAAGTAGTGTTCTTTCACCTGCGATTGCTGTACGTAGTCAACCACCTCCTCCACCTGTCCCACCTCCCAAACTGTCAACAGCAAACAATAATACAAGGAGATGCTTATCTGGGAGTCCTGATGCTGTTCGAACTGGATCATCGAGAAGGGCACATGCTTGGCCAGTTGTTTCTGCCAGGAGTTCACCAACTGGATCTAGGCCATCGTCTCCGAGGTCTCACGTGGAAAATGAGGGGTATAATAGTGCTGATGAGCAAAATCCATGTTTGGCTTCCTCCTACGGTGATTTGGTAAGTTTCTGAGAGCTCTAAAATAGCTAAGTGGGGTAAATCATGTCTGCTTGTGTTTCAGAAATAAGACACTGCATTCTGTGATTCATCCACTTTAGTATTGTAGTTTCAGAAAGTGATTCACGTTACATGTGCTATTGTTGTTGGTAGATCATCAGTGTGTTGATGGCTGTTTTGGTGTACCTTCAGCAGTTCGTATGTCTTATCTTGATCATTAGGTTTGGATTGAAAGCTAGATTTTGATGATGATAAACCATCTTTCCTTTATGTTAAATTTAAGGCAACCATCTAAACCTTTTGGCAATTTGCCAAAAGGTATCATCGTCTGAAAGTGTTAAGTATCTCCTCCGGGAAACAAAAAAACCAATCTTATACAACCCCTCATTGAATCTGTACACTTTGGTGATCTATCTAGGTTATTCTATCCCAGTTTTACGGTCCATCTTGAACTTCCATGAGTTCGGTCAATCTATTGTTAGCATGTGTCCACTATGGTAGCTCTTATGGCTTCCTGTAGTCATGTTCTTGTATGTTGTTTTTACAACATGATGACATCCCTTAATGATACTGCTTAGCTGCTCCATTTTTATAGTAGATTTACTAGTCGAATATTGAATATCATTACCGATCCAGGAAAGGGAGCGCCAATTTGAGATCGACATCAGGAGATCTAAAGGATTAGAAGTCAAAAGAATGTTGGAGGATGGAAATTGTCTTTTTCGTGCTGTGGCTGATCAAGTATATGGGGATTCGGAAGCGTATGATTTAGTTAGGCAAATGTGCATTGACTATATGGTAAGAGTATCTCCTTTTTCTGACTTGTCCATCAAATTTGTTGTCTATATTGATTGTTTTGTGGCACGTCATTGTTGAGTAACGTTGAGATAAGAGTTAGATAAGTAGACTGTGTTCTTCTGGTGTTGTATTGGGTGAAATTTCATGCGAATTGGTGGCTGCTAGAAGTCTGTGCCTCCTGCTCTGAACCTGGGTATCGTTTTTGGCTATACCCTTATGGTGGTTTTTGATTTTGATGTAGGAACGAGAGAGGGACCACTTTTCTCAATTTATTACAGAAGGGTTTTCCTCATACTGTAAGAGGAAGAGAAGAGACAAGGTACATTCTCTGTTAGTGCTTCTATTCATTAGCAACTTGTAAAGTACAATTAAATGTAGACTGCATCCCATTAATTTCTTTTGCTTAGTACATAGTCTACTTTTTAATCTTGTTGATAACAGGTTTATGGTAATAACGTGGAGATTCAAGCAATGTCAGAAATGTATAATCGTCCAATCCATATCTATTCGTATAGCACGGGTACATGTCTGCACAAAATGAACTGGTGGATTTTCCAAATTCTTTTCTCTTCAATCGTGTATGCTGATTGTTAACTAAATTTGTTATGCAGAGCCTATCAATATATTTCATGGCAACTACAACACTGACACGCCACCCGTACGGCTGAGTTATCATCATGGCAACCATTACAACTCTCTTGTTGATCCACGGCGATTGACTGTTGGTGCTGGACTTGGTTTTGGCTCTCTTCGAGGGGTATGTTCCCTAGTTTCTGTGGTACCTATCCCTTCAAGTGGATTTTTAAAGAGTTACATACCTTCTAACACTTTTTGGTAACTTGTTTGATACGGCAGAGAAATGTGGACAAGGATCAAGTCAAAGCTGCTATCAAGGCTCAGCAGGACCAGCAGATTGATAATGTAACCCTTTAGCATATGATGTAACAAGTTGTTATGGGACTTGATTTGGCTTTTACTCCGACCAATTGCTTTTCCCTGTCTCTAACGTATTATTTACTGGCAGGCACTTGTAGCTGAAGGGCGGTTTTACTCTGATCTTGAGCTTACTGAGAAGGAGATGGAACGTATGGTGATGGAAGCTTCTCGAGCCGAGTATATTGCCAATGACAAGTGGAAACTGCAAGTTGGCCGTAAAGAATCATCATCCTCGGGCGCAGAACCATCATCCTCTGGAGCTTGTAAGTTAACAGAACTCCTGCTCCGAACTGCCATCTTACTCTTCTCCATATTCGCTCTTCTACTATCAGTTGCCGGAAGTTATATACGAATCTGGATAACCTTTCAGTCTGGATTGTAACAGGGTCTTCCGGGAGCGAGACAAAGGCTGAAGGGGCCCGAGACCCCGCTCCCCCTGATGGTGGGGGACTCAGCAGTAGCATGCAAATGGTGCTGTCAATGGGGTTCAGCTATCTACAAGCAATTGAAGCTTACAGCATATTTGGGGATGATGTCGATTCCATGGTCTGTTACCTCTTGGAAACTGACAGTAGCAGCAGGCGCAAAGGCAAGGCAACTGAGTGACCCGTCTCTATTTTCCCCACTTCGCCTTTGCCGTTACTTACCACTGCCACCCCCAAGCAATTCAATCAAGCAGTTGGAGAGAATTGGTCGCTAATCTATTCGATGGTTTCATGCTTTACCACGCTATTTACCCTGTAATGTTAGAAACAAAGAGAGGCTTGGTCCATTTTCTCTAGCCGAAGCTTGTCAAAGATCTGAAAGATGTTTGCTGAGAATCTAATCAATAAAAATTTATGCTCTTATTGTCGAATCGACAATGCAACGTGCTCCTGTGCCATTTGTTGCATGTTCATGGCGCCTTTTCTGTATAAACATATGGACAAGGTCTCTTCAAGTAAAGTCACATATGCGCTTGGCGGCATCCAGGGTGTTGGCCAAAAGCATAGCAATCTCCCAGAACTCGATAGCCAAATTCACTGCTCGGATCCTGTCATTTCAACAAAATCCAGTTCATAGTCTGAGCTAGTAAGAAGCTGCAACCATTTCAACTGGGGATCGACATTATTTTACCTCAACTAGCCATGTCCCGACATCAATAATCACTGTGAAAAGGTTTAACTATCTCAGCTGAGATTGTTCAATAATTTAGTAAAGAATTTATGAACTTATATGAAAAAAATGGGGGGAAATAATGTATTATAAACAAGGTGGCGAAATAATGTATTATAAATAAGGTGGCGTTTTCGGTGCACTCACTTTTTTGGGTGCATTCAGTGTACTCGCTTCATAACCGTCATTTTAAACATGCAATTTATGTCAAAATGATGTCAACCATCATTTATGATGTGATGAACAATAACGCATATGAATTTGGACAAAACCATTATAGATTTACTTTAATTCGAAGGATTTAGAGTTTAGAGATTTAGGGTGAGGGTTAGGGTTTATAATTTGGGATTTAGAGATAAAACTCAAAATTGGAGGTCTTGGGCTTAGGGTAATTCGCTAATTAGTTGTTATCATATGTTATATAATCATATTACACTAATTCTACAAATTAAAATTCAAAATCCGACACATTAAGACTAGTTTTTGAGTTAGGTGCATTGAACACACTCATTTTTGTGAGTGCACCGAAGTAGTCACATTCTAAACAATGTATGTATTGTAACAATTCTAAAAAGCAACTATAACTTCCAAATTATTACTAAATATTTTAGTTTTGTATATATTAAATTATCATTTTTTTTATTTCAACTATCACCCATTTATATTTTACAAATTTTATTCCTTATTTATATTTAATATCCTACTAAACAATCATTTATAAACTGATTGCCTATTCGGTTTTAAAGCGTGTTATTTAATAAAACACGACTACTAATAACAGTTTTAACAAATATATATAGAGGACTTTTACAATGTTTCATACCATTGGTTGTCTCAATTGATGTTGTGGTACAAATTTAATTTGTACCTAAATCTTTTCATACAAATTCATTTACGATACAATCTGAAAGTGTACATTTAATGTTATGGTACTATTTGCACATATGCATATATATATACAAATTACTTAATGATACAAACTAAACTTATACTTTTACCATTATGACGCAAATTCAAATGGTATATGCAAATACCAATACTTTGAAGTATCGTAAATAAGCTCATATATAACATAACATGTTAATTCATTATAAAAAAAAACATAACATGTTAATTAAAATGATATATATTTTTTCGGTAATTAAGGTAGGCTTGGCAATGGGCCCGCGGACTTTGGATATCCGCCGGGGCCCGCCCGCCTGCATTGGGCTTAAACCCGCGAGGCCGGTCAGATTCGCGGTTGCGGGCAAACCCGCGACTCGTCGTACGCGGTGATGGGCTGGGCACGGATTCTGGGATCCCCGGCCCGTATCCGCACCGATAGCAAATGACGTCGTTTGCTGCGCATATATAATGCCTCATTTTTGGGGTTAGGGTTTGTGGACAGTCCATTTTCATCTTCCGCCGACCTTGTATCCCCGATTTCCTCTCAACCCATCCGAGGCGATATCGCCGATTTCCTCCCCAAATCCCTTCGATTCCGCCGACTTCTCCTTCTTCCCGACTATTCTCCCTCGCAAATCGACGATCCCATCATCCATAACACTACATCTTACTGTAAATCAACCCTCCAAACTCCGAAAATGTCTCAATCGACAGAAATCTTCTCTGAATCGTGCATGCAAAGGATTTCTTTCCCAGATCGAGATAAGTATTTAGTTCTTTATTACCTTATTCCAGTTTTGCTCTTAGACTTATAAATAGGTGACTAACTTCGACATTTTGTTCACATGCAGTTCATCGAACCCAAAATCCAGAAACCTTAGCCTTCCAGATTTCGGAACCCTACTTTGTTGCGTTCTCAGTAAGTTTGTTAGACATTAGTTAGTTTCATTAATTGATGTTGGTGCATGCTTAGTTCGACAAAATCAATAAATCCCTAATTATCTAAATTTCATCTTTTGCTTTTGTAGCTTGCTATTCGGGAGTCGCATCTCGCAACTGGTTCTTCCACTGCTTTCTGCCGAGGTAAATCGCCATTCCTTGTTTGATGGTTCTTGGTTGTTGATGTCTGTTCCTGGTTGTTGATGTCTGTTTTTGGTGCATGCATTAGATAATTGTAGACTAATCACCTTTGAAGTAACCATCGTATACTACTGATCACCATTAAAACTAAGAACTAAATGTGTCTGCTAAATGTTAATGGTTAGTGTGATTCTGTTCTTGGAAAATGTCACTGTTGCAAGTAGTTTATGTTATGGTTAAAGGTAATGGTCAATGTGATTTTATTGTACCTAAGTTCAAGAGACTGTAATGTTAATGTTCACTTTGTTTCTGCTAATTCATAAATCTGTTTCTGCTAATGAACCCAAATGTAAACTCTAAATCATCTAATGAATCCAAATTACAACTAATTATCACTTTGTTGTAAGTTAGTAAGTAGTCTATGTAATGGTTTATCCAGTTTGTGAGAGGATTTAATCATCATTACATAATATACTTGGTTAATCCTAAAACTATATAAAGTATAAACTCTAAATTATCTAATGCAGTAAATGCACCCAAATTATCTAATCCCAAAACAGTAAAACTATCTAAATTATCATTACAGAATAGACTTGATTCAATCATCAAACTGTTTAACCATGATCTTCTGTAATGTTGATCGAATCCAGATTGTGAGAGGATCCAATCAACATTACAGAATAGACTTTGGTTCATCATTCTTCTTTTTTATCTAATCTCTAATGGTCTAATCATTGAATTTTGATTCATTAGAACGACATTGGAATTCATTTTGAAACGTTTCTTTTATTTCTGTTTCTTACCCAGATGGAACCTGAACAAGTTGAGAATGCACCAATTCAGAATAACAATGGAAACCAACCTGGTAATTCTGAAAACCTTACTGAAGATGCTCTTCCCCAAAATCCCTTAGGTGCTAGTAGGTGCTTAAAGTCTGATGTGTGGCCTCACTTCACCAGACTGATAATTAATGGGGTTTTGAAAGCAAAATGCAACTATTGTAAGAAGATTTTGGCTGGAAAATCGAGTAATGGTACCTCCCATCTTAGGACTCATAGGAACCGTTGTGTTCATAAAAAAATTCATGATGGTAGTCAAAAGGTCCTTGGGGCTGACTATAGTGCCAAGGGAACAGCCGATCTGAGTACGAATCAGTTTAGTAGTGAGGTTTCTAGAAAGGAGCTCTGCACCATGATCTTGGTGCATGAGTATCCCCTTTCTATTGTGGACCACCTTTATTTCAAAAGGTTTTGTTGCACCTTGAATCCTCTCTTCAAAGTTCCAACCCGAAATACCATAAAGAAGGATATAGTTACTATATATGGTTTAGAGAGGGCTAAGATTCAGAAGGTCCTTAATGAAAATCGAGGTCGTATAGCTGTCACAACTGACATGTGGACTGCCACAAACCAAAAAAGATCTTACATGGCTGTCACTGCCCATTATATAGACAACTTTTGGAAGTTGCGAAACCATCTGCTTATGTTTGGATATTTCCCTGCCCCCCACACTAGTGAGAGGATGGCTGCAAAGCTAGCTCAATGCCTCCGATCTTGGAACATTGATAGTACATTGTCAACCATTACTCTTGACAATTGTACTACCAATGATTCCATGATAAATCTAATTAAACAAAGGCTAGTGTTATCGAATCTAATTAGGGATGGCACACTTCTTCATATGAGGTGCTCTGCTCACATCCTTAATCTGATTGTGAGGGATGGACTCGATGTATTGAAAGATGGTATTGAAAAAATAAGGGAGAGTGTGGTCTTTTGGACCTGCACTCCCAGGAGAGTGGAGTTTTTCCATGCAACTGCCCAACAACTCAAATTATCTGTTTCTAAGAAGTTGGTATTGGATTGTCCCACTCGTTGGAATTCCACCTACGAGATGCTTTCTTGTGCTATCCCGTATAAGGAAGTGTTCTCTATACTGAAAATAAGAGAGCCTCAATATAATTCTCTGCCTACCAACGAGCAGTGGGACTTTGCTACTGTTTTGGTTGACAAGCTTGATGTGTTCAAGGACATCACTTTAATTTTTTCTGGTTCAAACTACCCAACAGCGAATCAGTTTTTTGCTAAAGTGTGTGATTTGAGGTTAAAGTTGATGGAATGGTTAAGTGATCCTAATCTGCTGATTGTTTCTATGGCTGTGAATATGTGGAATAAGTTTGTGAAGTATTGGGATGATATTCATTTACTGTTGGCTGTTGCTGTTGTATTGGATCCACGGTATAAATTGGATCTGGTTGATTACTATGCTGGAAAATTCGGTATCACTAATACTGATCTAGTGAGTGAAAGGGTCAGATCAGTTATGGCCGAATTGGTTGTTGAGTATCAAAGAAAAGCCACCAAAAACACTTCTGCATCTTCTGCTGTTCATCCTTCTTCTTCGGCTACAGATCTGGATTTTGATCTGTATGTTAGCCAAAGAAAGAAAACCAAAATTTCTGCAGTAACCACCGAGTTAGATCATTATCTAGCTGAGGATGTTCATCCTAGAACACCAGATTTTGATGTGTTGGGTTGGTGGAAATTCAACGGTGCCAAGTATCCCATTTTGCAAGAGATTGCAAGGGATTTACTTGTTGTACCTGTTACTAGTGTGGCATCTGAGTCTGCCTTCAGTTCTGGTGGGAGGCTTCTTGATCCCCATCGGAGCAGACTTGATCCTGCAACAATAGAAGCGATGATGATATTAAGGACTTGGATTCAGGATGATAGCAAAGGTGAATTTTTTTTAGTTCAATTATGAATTATGTTTACTTTGCTATTGTTTCATTTTCTCGCTAATTAAACTGTTTACTTGAATGTTGCTATTGCTCCTAGTGTCTGCTGCTGAATTGAAAGCATTGGAGGGAGTTTTCTCTGCTAAGGCAATGGATGATGCCACGGTGGAAGAGAGCACATGTAATAAACTTCTCTTGTTGTAATTTGTTTATTCAGTTCTCCTAGGAATTTTACTAAACAGACTGTTTATGTTTCAGATGGAGTTGGAATGCAAAAGGAGCTAGAAGGAGATGAAGATGAGGTTGCTGCAGTCAACCTGCTCGACTAGCTATTGGTGTCTGTAAGTGTGTTCTGTTTCTTTTTTTACTGTTAAAGCTTTGCTACTGCTGAAATTTTACTAAAGCCTTGTAGAACATAGTAATCTGAAGTTGTAAATGTTGTTGGAATTCAGGAAATCTTAATCTCATTGAAAGAAGATGCAAGGACGAGAAAGAGAGACTTAGGAGTGAAGATTCAACACTGATTGTTGCTCTTCAGAATGGCTTCTGTTTTTGTTTTTTGTGTTTCAATCTTTCAGACTCGAAGTGTTATTTCAGAAGTTTGTTAGCTGGGATTTTTGTACACTCTGTGGGTTTCAATTCTGGGTTTGAGTGATTGTTATTTTTGGGTTTATTTATGGTCAGATTGTTGATTTTGAGTCAGGTTCCTGGGTTTGCAGACTGCAGTTCATGGTTGTTTGTTAGCTGGGATTTTTTTTACACTGTGGGTTTCAATTCTGGGTTTGAGTGATTGTTATTTTTGGGTTTATTTATGGTCGGATTGTTGATTTTGAGTAAGGTTTCTGGGTTTGCAGTTCATAATTTCTTGTTGAATGTTATAAGAACTTGTTTTTCAGAAATTCTTGTAATGCTTAGGGAATGAATTGAAATTGGTTGCCTTATATTTATGGACAGGTCACGGGTAACAATTGACCCGCGGGTTCACCGATACCCGTGTGGTCTTGGGCTTGGTCCAAAGTTTGTGCCCATTAAGGTTAATGGGGCGGATCCGGGTTTTACCCGCGGGCATATATAGCGGGCAACGGATATGGGGTACCCGCCCCGTATCCGACCCATTGCCAAGCCTAAATTAAGGGATATATTTTTTTAGTTGGAGTCCGCATTTGTTTTTAATTAATAAGTTGAGTGTTTTAAGTCCACGATATGACCAAAGAATCTCTAAATTAAAAAGGGATGTCCTTTTTTTGGTCGGAGTTCGGATTTGCTTTTAATTAATAATTAAAGTGTTTTAAGCTAGCAAATGATCAATAAATCCCCCCTCATTATGCGCAGAAGCCAGGAAAAGATTAACTGAGGTGGTGTTGAAGCAGAACCTCTTTATATTATATGGAGGCCAGTGGCGGAGGGAGAGGGTAACAAGGTGGGTCCCGGGACCCACCCTAGTTCGGGGCAAAATGGTTAAATTAGGTACGATAGTTAATTGTTGTGTTTGAATCTTGGCGACCTCATTTCTTACGCATACGGTATACAGATATGTGCAAACATCAATTTCGTATAAGTTGACTTTCTTATAAGGGAGCATGGTACTAGTAAATGGTATAATATATTATTGAAATCTTCCAACAACTCGATTTATTGTTACTAAATACTTTTTTTAAGATCATTCGAAAGCGAACGACCAGGTAAATCATGAATTATTGGTTGGTATGAGATTTATTATTAAACCTTTATCAACAACTCGAGGTATTGACACTAACGGTTCTTAACAAAGAACACCATTTGAAACACTACGACTAACTAAATCAATGATTGTTTGGTATATATGCAGAGTGATGTTCTTGATATTTTCGACTAACAAAAAATACCACACAATACCACCCTGGTACGGGGTGGTATCTTGTGATACACAATGTTAAAAATCGTAAATGACTAGTTACTATACTTCTACTATCATGTATCAATCATCATACATTCTTTGTTTGTTCATACCACCATGATACGCTTTTCAAACCATAAGTATGCTCTTATTTCAATACCAGTCAATACCATATGGTATAGAGTGGTAAAAAATGGCTCAATTTTTTTGTTAAAAAATATATCAAAGTGGATATCATTTTGAAGAGCACATTTAATCTGATCTAACTGTGCAAAAAAAACTAAATTTCGACTGAAAACGAGTGATAAATCGTCCGTCAAAGATTAAGGAGGGGAAAATTAAAGGCTTTCGAGAAAGAATTATGCTGATGTCATGCTAATGTGGACGGGTTACTCATGGTTACTCACCATAAGGTTACTGACCTGATCCGTTTATACCAATCCCCTCCACTAGGGATGGCAATTTCGAACTGACCCGTTTTACCCGACCTGTTTGACCTGTTTTGGGGCGGGTCCGACCTGCCCCGTAGGCGGGACGGGGCAGACATGGGTAGTCTCATCGACCCGACCTGCCGTGACCCGCCCCCATTCTCGACCCATTCTTGTCTAAATTACATATAATCTTAGTCAAATTACTTAGAATTTTCCTTTTATTGCTTCATATTTTAGCTATAATAAAGTTGTAAATTAGTAAAAACCTCAATTTCTCCAATAAATTAACTACAATTGTCATAATATTGTTTGTTTTCTTAGTCTTATAATAAAAACAACGAATATTTCTAATGTTTTCATATAAATTGCATACCCATTAGGTCGGGGCTAGGATCAGGTGACTAAGAGGGGGGGGCCTTAGTCACATGACTAAGTCAATCTCAGCCCTTCCACCTCATTAAAATCCAATGGTTCAGATTAATCCATTTTAATAAAGGACATTGTAGTAATTATACAAGTTATTTATTTAATCATTAAAATAAAAATAAAAATATGTTGGGCCGAGAGAGAGAGAGAGAGAGAGAGAGAGATTTTGTACTGTTAGTATGCTTTGTATTGTTTGTCGTTTATTTTGTAATGTTTGTACGCTTTGTTATTTTGTAATGTTTGTCGGTTTTTTTTGTAATGTTTGTACGCTTTGTTATTTTGTAATGTTTGTCGGTTTTTTTTGTAATGTTTGTAAACTTTGTTATTTTTGTGTATCGTGTTTATCATTTTTGTCAACCATGTTTGTAATGTTTTTTATGTCTAAAAAACACCCGGGTTGACTTTGGGAAGGAGCCCCTCTATATAGGGATGGAGCCTCCAAAGTCAACCCGAGTGTTTTTTCAGTTCGTATGGATTGTCGGTATAGTTTGTCATTTTTGTCCACCATGTTCGTACTGTTTGTATGTCTAAAAAACACCCGGGTTGACTTTGGGAAGGAGCCCCTCTATATAGGGATGGAGCCTCCAAAGTCAACCCGGGTGTTTTTTCAGTTCGTATGGATTGTCGGTATAGTTTGTCATTTTTGTCCACCATGTTCGTACTGTATGTATGTCTAAAAAACACCCGGGTTGACTTTGGGAAGGAGCCTCTCTATATAGGGATGGAGCCTCCAAAGTCAACCCAGGTGTTTTTTCTTTTTGTATGGTTTGTATTGTTTGTCGGTCTAGTTTGTATTGTTTGTACAGTTCATACGTTTGTAATGTTTGTAAATCTGTTTGTATGTGTTCGTACTGTATGTATGTCTAAAAAACACCCGGGTTGACTTTGGGAAGGAGCCTCTCTATATAGGGATGGAGCCTCCAAAGTCAACCCAGGTGTTTTTTCTTTTTGTATGGTTTGTATTGTTTGTCGGTCTAGTTTGTATTGTTTGTACAGTTCATACGTTTGTAATGTTTGTAAATCTGTTTGTATGTTTTGTCGCTCTAGTTTGTACTGTTCGTATGTTTGTATGGTTTGTACTGATTCTAAGTCCGGTTTGTATACTTCGTAATTTTCCATAATACCCAAACTACCCCTGTCATTAATTAAATAGCCCTTCCCACTTTTTAACCATCAGATTGATGTGTCCAGATCTAAGGGCTGGGAGGGGCTTAGTCAAGTGACTAAGCACTCCCCCTTAGTCACCGGATCCGCTCTCATTAGGTCGACCTACCACGACCTGCGACCAGTGATCAATTATCCGATCTGGACACAACCTGCCACGGAGCGAGTGTAAATACCAAAAAACCCGCCCCGGACCTGCCCATTGCCATTCCTACCCTCCACACACTGGCATAGTCCACACCATACTCTGCCGTTTCGTATCCTAATTCCTAATCCAACCTCTTCACTTTCATCTTCCTTCTCATCCCCGTCATCGCCATTTCCCCTCCGCTTCCTTCCTCTCGTGGGTCATCTCCGACCCCCTAGGGGTTTTTTGGATTTAAGGCCAAGGGGAAAATGGCGCGAAGGAAAATCATGTCGCAGAACGGGAAACTGATGCCGAATCTGGACCAGCAGAGCACCAAGCTCCTCAATCTAATAGTCCTACAACGAATTGACCCTTTCGTTGAAGAAATCCTCATCACTGCCGCTCACGTCACTTTCTACGAGCTCAACGTCGAGCTTAGCCAGTGGGTCCGTTCTCTCCTCTCTCTCTCTCTGTTCCTTTCCCCCGTTCCTGCTGTCTTTCTGCTTTCCCATCCTCTGATTTCTTAGCTCTTTGATAGCTTACGTTACTTGTTTCAATGGTTGTGGGTGATGGATATGTGTGCAGAGTCGGAAGGATGTCGAAGGGTCTCTGTTCGTTGTCAAGAGGTGAGTCCGTTGTACACAATTTGATAATGATACCTGCTAAACAGAATTGGGATTTAATCTTTGATGCCTGCTTATGCTGTGTATGTTAACGAATTTCCTTTACGTTACCATCGTTTTTGTTGGTTCGCTGGTGGTTCTTGCTTGCAGAAATGCGCAGCCGCGGTTTCAGTTTATTGTGATGAATCGGCGCAATACAGGTTAGTTTTATCATAGCTCATGCTATCTTCATTCCCTTTCATTGTGTAGATAGAGCAACAGAAGACGCGGTTTAGTGTGGTAAATGATTACTTACCGGGGATGATTGTGTGTTCATTTCATGTAGAACACTAGATTGCATGCCAATTGCACTAGATCAATGGATAACGTTGATATCAATTTTTAAGCAAGGGTTTGCAAAGCCATGGCAATTTGATACTTTGTTGGGTAGCTCTGTGGTTTTTCGAAGTACGTTGACAATGGATTATGGGAGGCTTATTTTTGTTCTTTCAAGCAGATAACTTGGTGGAGAATCTCTTGGGGGATTTTGAGTTTGAGATTCAGGTTCCATTTCTCTTGTATCAAAATGCTTCCCAGGAAGTTAATGGAATTTGGTTCTACAATTCTCAAGAATGTGAAGAGGTTGCTAGTCTGTTTAGCAGGTAGCATGATACTTGCATTACTCTTTGTCACCTTTGTTTGACCTTGTAGTTGATCAGCGGAAGTACCGATTCTCCTGTTGTTTCCTGCTCTTCTGATGAATTTTCAGATTTTGCATGCTTATTCTTTCCATTTTGTACACCCTTTCCATGCAATATCCTGAAACCTGAATGCTTATTGACATGTATTAAGCTTATGAGACTTGGTAATGCAGTGGATTATAGGGCACGTTTGTCAAGGTAATGACTCTATGTGCAAGTTACTAACCCCTATATGCCTTTGACCTCTTCAGGATACTAAGTGCATATGCCAAGGTTCCTCCAAGGTCAATGGATCCTTCAACTAAGAGGTGATAACTGAATTTGTTATCCATAATTAGAGATGATATTTCTTTCTGGCAAATCTTCTTGGTATTGTAATGATTGTCTATACAGCATTAGGCTGGTATCTCTTTCAATAATCATACATGTTATCTGTGATTGGTAAGATTTGTCCGGAGAAGGATCTTCGAACTTGTCCATTAGCATAACTTGTATTTACTGGACGTGCTAGCTTGGTCAAGTTCCCTGATAGCCTATTGAACTGTTATCTGCTTTTCAAATATTTCATGTTAGTTAAAGGATTCAAGAATGTCTAATGGGGTCACGTAACTATTTGTAGTGAATATGAAGAACTGGAAGCAGTACCAACTATGGCAGTTATGGATGGTCCCTTGGAGCCGTCATCTACTGCAGTCTCAGGCGTTGCTGATGTACCTGATGATCCTGTGTTCATCAACTTCTTTAGTGTGAGAAATTATTCTCTACATCTCTTATACTACTCGTGAAATTCTCTTACATTGTTATGTCCTGCTACTTACAAAAATATGCGAGTTTGGTATGTCCTTGCTATCTGTCTCTAAATCAACAGTCTTTACTAGGACTAAATTATTTTGCATTTTAATAGTCTAAACAGCTTAAGTATTGTCTCTTTACGAGATAGTGGAAGTTGCTAAAACTTTGGTGTTGCATCATCTGTAAGTTCTTCTAAAAAAAAAGACTGTATCATCTGTAAGTGCTGAACATGCGGATCATGCTTGTATGGTTGCAGACAGCTACGAACATCGGGAATGCCTCAAATGCAGTGGCTACCGGACAACCTTACCAGTCTCCTGCCCTTGTCCCTATACCTGCTCATCCCACCTCTGTTGTCTCGTCATCGTCGTCGCCGATCATGCAGACACCATCTCCACTACCAGCATCTAGTCCTTTAATGCCACTACTTGATGCCTCCCCTGAAATTGCTGCCAGCAACAATCAAACCGCCACTAATCTTGTAAACCCTTCTCTCTTCATTCGCCCCCCTCTCTCACGATCCTCTTCTTCACGGACGATTGTGCCTCCTGCTGCTCCTTCATCTGTTCCTACTGCTCCACTCAATGCCAAAGCTAGTCTACAGCGTCCTTATGGTGCTCCATTACTCCAACCTTTCCCACCGCCCACTCCACCTCCCTCTCTCACTCCAGCTTCTGTTCCGGGAACAAATTATGGGCCGGTAATCAGCAAAGACAAAGTCCGGGATGCACTGCTTGTCCTTGTCCAGGTCAGTCTCATACCAGCTTAGGATCTGTTTTATACAGATTTTGCTTGGCGATTTATATCTCTGTATTTTGTTTTCGTGATTATTGTGATTTTGTTTATATTGCTGGCACTATTCTTCGATCATGTGTCTGACAAGCACAGGGGCTGTGTATTAGCAGGACAATCAATTCATCGACATGGTCTATCGAGCTCTGCTGAATGCACACAGTTCTTGAGTAATCAGGAGGAGACGGTGAATGCTTTCGTTGGCTTGACTGTGTTTTTATCGAATGTGCATTTCGAGTTCTTTCCCCGGTGATCTGGGGTGCATATAACCTTCCAACCTGTATATCATTCTTTTTTATCCTTCTATTTGATAGTTGACTGTAGTGCTTGGAGGGAAAATGCCCGGATTGTTTTGTTCGATGCTCCCTGTTGTTTGCTGGTCTTTGTTTGTCTGATTAAGGTGTACCTAAGGCGTCCATTATCTTAGGGCGTAAACGGAAACAGGCGGAAATTAGATATTTATTGTTATTCTAACAACTCGAATTATTGAGATGAATTGACAATCTTCCTGCTAAACTCATATACATGACGACTTGGAGGGTTTCAGAAGCGTTGCGAAGTGGTGTGAACTAGAAGTTGCTATCTGGTAGCAGAATACAGAGTTTCTTCGCATGTATTGAAAGGGGACGAGTTCATTAGCTTCTTCGTAAGCTTCTTGTTCACCCAATTGTCCCCAATGATACTCGCTTAATGCATCGATTGCCTCTCGCCGCAAATACAAAGTGTTAGTAGCACTCCGCTGCAGCAGTACAATTATGTTAGTAGCTTCATTTAGCACTGGACCGATGAAGCAAATTGTTTGTGTTGCTTCATGTAACACTCGAATGATGAAGCCACATGCTGATATTGTTTCATGTGCATTCGACGAATGATGCAACATGTCCACTTTGCTAACTGCAAATTTCAGAAATAAAAGCTAATGTGTATAACTGTAAAGGAGAGGAAGGAGGCATGAAAATCGTCCCCTATTAACCTAAAAATAACTCTGCTTTAGCAAGAGCTATAGCTTCGAATTCGGATTCAGGTTATTCTCGCCTTCTTGTCTAACCTAATAAGAACTGAAATAAACGAGTTTTTTCTTACTTTCTAGAAAGAAGCCTATTCAGTTTTCCATTTCAAATCTAAATCTCGTCCATGCATATCTCCACATTACGGCATATCCCAACATCTCGGCGTCTCGTCGGCGATCTTAGCTGCTTCTTCGTTCGCTACTAAATGAAACAGTCAATTCCCATGTACCCAGAAAGACCTATTTCTATGATTTCTATGTAAATAGAATAATGTGCTTGGGAGTCCCTGACGATTAAATAAACCAAGATTTTAACCATGACTGCAATTTTAGAGAGACGTGAAAGCGAAAGCCTGTGGGGTCGCTTCTGTAACTGGATAACCAACATCGAAATGAGTTTCTCCTGCAGAATCAACCCCCAAAGAATCCAAATTGGAGAAATTAATATGTCGTCCGCCATGAAAGATGATTTCTTTTTTCTTCGCTCTGAAACCCCTTGATTTATGTCCATGAACCTTATAGTATGTGCCATCAAATACTGTCTTCTCAATGAATAATTAAAATTAAGTTATTATATTTTACATATTTTTAAATTTTGTATCAGAATTAGAGATGGCAAATGGATTGGATTGGTGGATTGGATTGGTGGATCCATGGATAAAATGGATTGGATCTAATGGATTGATGAATTTATGGATTGGATCAAGTGGATTGGTGGATTATCCATGAATCCAAATGATATCCTCAACCAAGGACCAATATGTAAAATGTAAAAAGTTTAGGTACTAAAATGTCATAATGAAAATTTTTAGGTACCAAAACGTAATTTTTCAATGATATTTTTCATATAAAAATTAAATTTTAGGTACCAAAATGTAAAAAATAAAAATTATAGGTACTAAACCGTAATTTGCCAATGATCCATGGATCCAATCCATGAATCCACCAATTCAATTGGATTTGGATAAAATGGATTGGATTTAAATGGATTGAATTAAGCGAATATTTTTAATGGATTGATGAATTGGATTGGTGGATTGGATTGAAATTGCCACCTCTAATCAGAATCTCAGGTCTCAACCATGAATGATGGCTAGTAACTAAAATAAATTTCCAGTAAAAAAAAAAAAAAAAACGAGTTCCATTCTCGGCATTAAATTATCAGTTCATAATATGGGCCAACCGCCAGTGGGCTGCAGAGTAGGCCTCGCCGCCTAGGGCTTAACATGGTCCAATTCCATTTTAATTTATGGCCCGCCGGACGGAAAATGGTAAAATACGCTATTCCCAGAAAATGGTAAAATACGCTATTCCAAGTCTCGGGAGAGAGCATCACTGCCACTTAAGCTTTTTTGGTTATCTGAGTGAAGCAGATTGGTCCTCTGAGCATTCTGAATCCGAAGAGAATTACGTTTCTTGAAGCAAGGTAACAGATTCCTGTTTCTGTACCTGCGACTATTTTTCGTTCGTGCTTTGGAATTGAGCAATTTAGAGTTTTTAGGTTGCAGAGTAGGAGGGAAGTGAAAATGCGGACTCATGTCTGCTCATTTAGGAACGAAATTTCGGCAGATCGGCAGCATCATTTGCTGGATAGCTTAGTAGATTAGCTTTTCAGGACCGATTTTGCGACATATTTTTAGGGGCAATGTGAACTGAAGTGGAATAAGATAGATAAAGATGAAGTTCGAGTCTGTAGTGATAGAAGGAAGCCCAAGGACTGAATGCTCCGATAACGTCTACTGCATTACCGAGGACAGTGCTGGTGTTTTACGGCAGGAAGAAATCGGAGGTGTGAAAAATGGTAGCGGGACGACTCCTTGCTCTGTGGAATTAGCTGACAGACGAAGTGAGAGTGATGCTGGTGGATACAAGTGGGTACCTGTTGCAGGTACTTCCTACTCCTCGGCTGAAGAAATATTCATGTTATATCAGAACTATGCGGTGGAAAAAGGGTTTGCTGTTAACAAGGATGGAACTACCAAAAACAAGAAAGGAGAGATTGTATATTGTAGATTCTGTTGTCATAGGGCAAGGAAACCTTCGGAGAAATTGAAACCAAAACCAAGCCGTAGAGTGAACTGTGGAGCTAGAATTTATTGCTCAAAGGGAGGAGATGGAAGGTGGAAGATCAGCAAAGTTAATGATCAACATAACCACGACATGGCACCTTGTAGGTCATGGCTTCTTCAGCAACATAGAAACTCGAGTCTTAGGGTCCAAAGTCTTCATCAGCTTGATGATTCTGTTGACGTGCATACTATTGCAGAGAAGGGGTATCGAACTATGGGGCAGCCGAATTCTAGGAGGTATGTGGGAGAAGAAAGGAACTTGTGGCTAGAGGGGAATGCTAATGCTATGTCAAACTTGTTCAATAGTATGCAAAAGCAGAGTAAAGAGTTCTTTTACGCTTATGATTTGGACTATGATGGAAGGTTGAGAAGTGTGTTGTGGGTTGATGCTAGAAGTAGAGCTGCTTATGCAGAATTCGGGGACGTGATCACAGTTGACACTACATATTTTACGAACAAGTATCATGTGCCTGTTGTCCCATTTGTTGGCCTGAACCATCATGGTCATTCCATTTTACTTGGTTGTGCTCTTATCAGTGATGGTGATACCGAAACTTTTGAATGGCTCTTTAGAACTTGGTTGGAGTGCATGGAGTCTCCTCCAACTGGCATTGTAACTGATCAATTTCAAAGCATTGGAAAGGCAATCACAAATGTATTCCCTAATGCTAGACATCGCTGGTGCATACAGTATATTCTGGAAAAGCTCCCGGAAAAGTTTGGCTGCCACAGCCGGTATGATGAGTTGTGCGTGGTGATGAAAAATTGTGTATATCAGTCTTTGAGCATAGCAGAGTTTCAAGGATCATGGAAGAACATGGTGAACGAGTTTAAGTTGGAAGACAATGAATGGGTAGAAGAACTGTATCTATCTGCTGAAAAATGGGTTCCAGCTTTTGTGATTGATACTTTTTGGTCTGGATGGCTGTTTTCTCAAAGGAGTGAGAGTAGGATTTCATACTTTGATGAGTCTTTGAACTCAAATACATCCTTGAAGCAGTTCTTAGAGCTCTATCAGGTTGTCTTGAAGGTTAACATCGAGAAAGAGATGGCTGCGGATTATAGCAGTTGTGTGGTACCCATTCAATGTGCTACAAAACTAGCGTTCGAGGAGCAATTTCAAAAAATATACACGAATTCAATTTTCAGATTGGTGCAAGAGCAATTAACAAATACAATATATTGTTTCGAGGAGGTTGCATCAGTTGAGGGGGGTAAGACGGCTTATATTGTCGATGATAGGATTCGTGTTGGTTATGGTGGGTTAAAGAATAAGAAGTTCAGAGTCGTACATGATGACGTAAGTGGGGAGGCTTCTTGCAATTGCCGGATGTTTGAGTTCGAGGGAATCTTGTGCAGCCATATTTTTCGGGTTTTGCTGAGAAGCGGCGTTGAAGTTATACATGACCAGTACATTATGAAGAAGTGGAGAAAAGATATACGCAGGGGTCTTTCAAACATTAGAGTGGGTTATGCAGGGGAAGTTTTCACTCCTGAAATGGAGAGATTCGAGAGGTTGGAGAAGAGATTCAAGGAATTAGCAAATGTTGCTTGTGGAGATGACGAGAAGTATAGATATCTGCTTAATTCGATGCAGGAAATTGAGAAATGCTTTGCTGGGTGGAATAATGGAGCGCTAAAGAGGCATAGGGTTTAGACCATAACAAAAAGAAGGGGTTTCCAACTGGGGAGATGAAAGCTTTAGTAACAGCAGAGAAGAACTAATCAAGCGCTTGCTGGTAACAAAGACAAGTGCTAGTGAAGATTGCAGAATGTGTATGTTTCAATTGGCCCATAACAGGAAATTGTAGAAGATAATGATAGTAATCAAGTTAGAAGACGCTGAGGTTGATGTGCAGGTATGTTTATTTTCAGAACCTTCCAATATGTGTATGGCAGTTAATGTTGGTTTTTTAGTGTAGTTACATACTTAGGGCAACTCCTCGAGTGGTTTCATTTGAGCTCTTCTAGAGCTCTGGTCTTCATTAGTCTCATTGAAGTGAGCACTGAATAATGGTGTTCCTTTTTTGAATGTCGACTGCATTTTGCTGAAACTCTTTCCCGAGAGCTGCATTCATGAATTAAAACCATAAGCAGCTTCATTGATGTTTGTTTGTTGCATTCAGCACCAGGGCCATAGGTTATCTGACTGCTATTTGGTTATAATCAGGCATTAATCGTATTAAATCGAGATACGATATGGTCTAAACAGGTAGCAGCCTGCTTGCTAAACCCGTATAAGATAATAGAGCACCCCCCATATTCAATATTCTTTAATATATGACAATGTTAAGCGTGAAGAACACATACATGATGACTTGGAGCTTTTCTTCGGGACTATTTTATAATGGCCAAACGACCGAAAATAAGGTTGGTGTACAAAACAAGTATATCTACACTTACTACTTGGTCTCTCAGAAATGTTGAGAAGTGGGGGAAAGAATGTTACAAATTGCTATATGGTATGCTATAATGCTTTGTTATATAGCTTGAAAGTATTCATAAACTCCTCATTCGTCAATGTGAATTCAATCGTCCTCTATGATACTATTCCATGCATTGATTATCTGCTGTTTCGAATGTCGATACGTCATGTAACATTCTACCTATGCAGCAGGATGGCCACGCTGCTGCGCGTAACAGTACCTTTCCACGGGTGGAATTGTTGCTTCGTATAACTCTTTACTGATGTTACTGGAATTGTTGCTTCATATAACACTCTACTGATGAAGTAACATCGTCGTATTGCTTCATGTAGCACTGAACTGCTGAAGCCTGCATGATCATGCCTCTTCGTGTAGCACTGTACGGTCGAAGCAACACGATCATGCTGCTTCATATAGCACTCGACGGCCGAAGCGGCCATGGTCATGCTGCTCCATATAGCATTCCACGGCCGAACCGGCATGGTCATGCTGCTCCATATAGCATTCCACGGCTGAACCGGCATGGTCATGCTGCTTCTTGTAACATTCCACCGCTCGTGGAACATGAACCTCTCTGTAGCACCAACTGCAATTTACCACAAAAGAGGGCTGGTAAGCAAACATATGCAGTTCACTGAGGGGAATGTTCAGAATCTGACTCCCTAATGTGCATAGGACGAACATATTATTGCTTTGTATGCTAACATCATTTCAGTGATGATGAGATTGATAATGATAGCATACCTTGAATGAATGTTAAGATTCAAGTCGGCTAACTTGAGGAGTGATAGCTTAGTTTGATACAAGTTCTGCAGGATGTTAAGATTCAAGTTGGCTAGCTTGAAAACCGGCTTTGATCGCGGCCCTTGAGCTTTCCATTGATGAAAAGAAGTTGCTCGGTGCTAGCTTTGAAACTTGGCCAGGATTTGGTGGTGAACTCACTCGCTTCATTTGAGATATTCAAATTCGTATTGATTTATCATATCTTTGTTGTCCTTCTGATTTGAGTACCTAGTTGAATACATCTGTAAAAATATATAGAACTAATGAGTGAAACAAACCGTGGGAAGAGTAATAATTCTTTTCTTAGGAACATAAGAGAGATGGCATCCGCATGATTTATCATTTACTGAGTGAATTCTCACAATGACAATATACATAATAAAAAAAACAGATAAATGACATGGAAAATTGAAGCAGTTCAATCTTTATTACCAGTGATCTAGTGCTCCAGTGGAGCAAAAGCTTGGAGATTTCTTCCACTGCGAATTTGCAAGTTAGAGAAGGCAGAAATATAGATTAGAGAAAGCGGGAATTATAACATCCATCAGGTTCGAATCCCTCTAATAGTACATAAGTATCAATTTGACTTGTTAAAAATGAACAGAATAGTGGATGCACTCTGTATTCCTTAGGAAAATAACAACCTCAATATCCCATACTTTATAAACACATATTTCTCTCAAAATAAAGCATATTTGACATATGATCCTCTACTAATCACTCAATTTACTATCAGAGAACTTCTCTGGAAACTGAACAAAGAAAAATAGCAAACTGAACAAGTGAAAAGATAGAAAAGATGGGATGAATAAAATGGAATGACGAAGCTTGCTTTTTATACGCGATGGTGGCAACGTGAATTCAATTTGAGTTGTTGGGAGGGGAGAAAGGTTTCTTTAATGCCCATCAAACACCTTTTTTGTCGTACTCTAAACACAAATTAACCTTCTTAGTTTAAACTCTCAATTTTAATCATGATTACTCACACTACTAAAGCTTTCAACTTTAATCATGATTACTCACTCAATGTACATGTGTTAGGGACAAACCTTTCAACTTTATCACGCCAGCCTTGTGGCCCTAGGAACATGTACATAGGGATAGGGTTATGTCCACGTAGTACTATAGTAAGAATATCATATTTACTAGTGTGCTATTAATAATTTGACCGACTGTACTAATTACAGTGGTAACTTCATTAATAACCTTCTAACTTTTTTTTTGGTAAGATAACCTTCCAACTTTATGTGTTGTTAACAAATTCTATCCCTCCATTCAACTACTATTTGCTCATCTCGGCGTGGTGGATAGGAATGAGAACGTGTGTGAGTATTGTGATATTCATACCGAGTGGGGAAATCTATCCTATTTGGCTCTGTTACGATCCACGTGACACAAGTGCAAAAATTAGTAATTGCCGCATGTATAAATGTTGATGTGGCTTGAATGGACTATTTGGGTGACCACCGGAAGTTACGGGGTTTTGCTAAATGAGGGTTTGTTTGGACTATTTAGGTTTAGATCCACATAAAAAAGTATAAATATTTCTCATCTTCTCTATAATCTGTAATCTTCTCGATATAGTGAAACTGACGCTCTCTTGCCCGTGGACGTAGCTAACACACATCGTGTTAGTGAACCACGTAATAACAATATATATGGCTATTTCGGTGCACTCAATTTTTTGGTGCATTCAATACACCCAACTCTAAACTAGTTAAAAAACATCGAATTTTGAATTTTGAACATTGACTAGTAGTATTAGTTTAATATGATGATATAACAAAGAATTACACCTAATCAATCCATTACCCTAACCCCTTAACCACTAATTTTGAATCCCAACCCAAAATCCTAAATTGTAAACCTAAACCCTAACCCTAAATCCTAAATTCTTCAAATTAAAATAACTCTTCAATGAATTTTTTGCAAATTCATGTGTTTCTTGTTCATAATATCATAAGTAAGGATTGATACCATTTTGATATGAATCGCATGTTCGAAATGACGATTATAAGACGAGTGCATTGAATACACCTGAAAAATGGGTGCACTGAATTAGGGATGGCAACAAAACCCGAATCCACGGGTACTCTACCCGACCCAACCCGGGTAAAACCCGTGTTGACGGGTTTTGGGTTGGTTTGGGTTTAAACCCATACACTATTCACCGTGTTGGGTTTGGGTTTAGGGGTACCCGACCCATGGATACCCGCCCACACTTATTTCGTCGCCCTACTCTCCCCAAACCCTACCCTAATTCTAATTTTCTCCAATCTAACTCTCACTACACTTTTTTCGTGTGATTTTATTTAGTGTAATTGTGATATGTTTGAATTTTCCAGAATGGTGTTTTAAGTATAGATAGTTTGTATGGGGAAATGATGTTTGAATTATATTTTGATAGGAACTTGTTATTGTAAATTTTTTACCACAAAAACCCATGGGTACCCATGAACCCGGGGATACTCAGCGGGTTGGGTTGGATTTGAGTTTTCCAAACCCAGTGGGTTTTACCCCGAGGTTTTTTGACGGATAAACCCATGTGTTTGGATTTGGCAAAACCCAACCCAACCCGACCCATTGCCAATCCTACACTGAATACGCCACCGTAGAATATTCATAGGTCGAGACAACATGGTTAGCCATTGTTAGAGGACACAAATAAATTTTAAGGAAAAAATTATATAACCTTATGTACTTATGTCAAGGATTGAACCCACCACTTTAAGATTGTTAATAGTGTTCTACTATAACTACATCTACATTATAACTCATCTACTGTCTCAACTTAATTTATTACACTATAAATGAAATTTCAATTTGGAATAGATCTCTAATCCGATATATTTTCTTCTTAAGGTCTATTCGATTTTTACTAGCATTATGAGAAACATGTGATTTTCTCTTCTCTTCGTCTCCTCCGATGACCACAATATTGTACTCCCCTACCAAGGTTGTCAACCCACGGGTCAACCCGGACCCAGTAGAGCTTGTGGGTCATGGGTTAATGGGTCACCCGTTTTAGCCCGAAAATATGAAAATCGTTATTATATTATACTTATCCTGAGTCCAATATCGGAAACTCTTGAATCCTAAATTCTTCAAATTAAAATAACTCTTGAATGGGTAAACCTAAACCCTAACCCTAAATCCTAAATTCTTCAAATTAAAATAACTCTTGAATGAATTTTTTGCAAATTCATGTGTTACTTGTTCATAATATCATAAGTAAGGATTGATACCATTTTGATATGAATCGCATGCTTGGAATGACGATTATAAGACGAGTGCATTGAATACACCTGAAAAATGGGTGCACTGAATTAGGGATGGCAAAAAAACTTGAATCCACGGGTACCCTACCCGACCAAACACCGGTAAAACCCGTGTTGACGGGTTTTGGGTTGGTTTGGGTTTAAACCCATACACTATTCACCGGGTTGGGTTTGGGTTTAGGGGTACCTGACCCATGGATACCCGCCCACACTTATTTCGTCGCCCTACTCTCCCCAAACCCTACCCTAATTCTAATTTTCTCCAATCTAACTCTCACTACACTTTTTTCGTGTGATTTTATTTAGTGTAATTGTGATATGTTTGAATTTTCCAGAATGGTGTTTTAAGTATAGATAGTTTGTATGGGGAAATTGATGTTTGAATTATATTTTGATAGGAACTTGTTATTGTAAATTTTTTACCACAAAAATCCATGGGTACTCATGAACCCCCGGATACTCAGCGGGTTGGGTTGGATTTGAGTTTTCCAAACCCAGTGGGTTTTACCTCGAGGTTTTTTACGGATAAACCCATGGGTTAGGGTTTGGCAAAACCCGATCCAACCGACCCATTGCCATCCCTAACTAAATACGCCACCGTAGAATATTCATAGGTCGAGACAGCATGGTTCGCCATTGTTAGAGGACACAAGTAAATTTTAAGGAAAAATTATATAACCTTATGTACTTATGTCAAGGATTGAACCCACCACTTTAAGATTGTTAAATAGTGTTCTACTATAACTATATCTACATTATAACTCATCTACTGTCTCAACTTAATTTATAAATGAAATTTCAATTTGGAATAGATCTCTAATCCCATATATTTTCTTCTTAAGGTCTATTCGATTTTTACTAGCATTATGAGAAAGCAGTGATTTTCTCTTCTCTTCGTTTCCTCCGATGACCACAATATTGTGCTCCCCTACCAAGGTTGTCAACCCACGGGTCAATCCGGACCCGGTAGAGCTTGTGGGTCATGGTTCAATGGGTCACCCGTTTTAGCCCGGAAATATGAAAATCTTTATTATATTATACTTATCCTGAGTCCAATATAGGAAACTCTTGAATCCTAAATTCTTCAAATTAAAATAACTCTTGAATGGGTAAACCTAAACCCTAACCCTAAATCCTAAATTCTTCAAATTAAAATAACTCTTGATTGAAATTTTTGCAAATTCATGTGTTTCTTGTTCATAATATCATAAGTAAGGATTGATACCATTTTGATATGAATCACATGCTCGGAATGACGATTATAAGACGAGTGCATTGAATACACCTGAAAAATGGGTGCACTTAATTAGGGATGGCAACAAAACCCAAATCCACGGGTACCCTGCCCGACCCAACCCGGGTAAAACCCGCGTTGACGGGTTTTGGGTTGGTTTGGGTTTAAACCCATACACTATTCACCGGGTTGGGTTTGGGTTTAGGGGTACCCGACCCATGGATACCCGCCCACACTTATTTCGTCGCCCTACTCTCCCCAAACTCTACCCTAATTCTAATTTTCTCCAATCTAACTCTCACTACACTTTTTTCGTATGATTTTATTTAGTGTGATTGTGATATGTTTGAATTTTCCAGAATGATGTTTTAAGTATAGATAGTTTGTATGGAGAAATTGATGTTTGAATTATATTTTAATAGGAACTTATTATTGTAAATTTTTTACCACAAAAACCCATGGGTACCCATGAACCCGCAGATACTCAGCGGGTTGGGTTGGATTTAAGTTTTCCAAACACAGTGGGTTTTACCCCGGATTTTTTTTTACGGATAAACCCATGGGTTTGGGTTTGGCAAAACCCAACCCAACCCGACCCATTGCCATCCCTACACTGAATACACCACCGTAGAATATTCATAGGTCGAGACAGCATCGTTAGCCATTGTTAGGGGACACAAGTAAATTTTAAGGAAAAATTATAGAACCTTATGTACTTATGTCAAGGATTGAACCCACCACTTTGGAAAAAAATGTGAATGAAAGATCCCACTAAATTGAATTGGGTCCATGAATCTAAGAAATAGTGAGAATTCTTGATCTCTCTCAATATCTCTCTCAATTCGAAAATCCAGATTGTTAAATAGTGTTCTACTATAACTACATCTACATTATAACTCATCTACTGTCTCAACTTAATTTATTACACTATAAATGAAATTTCAATTTGGAATAGATCTCTAATCCGATATATTTTCTTCTTAAGGTCTATTCGATTTTTACTAGCATTATGAGAAAGCAGTGATTTTCTCTTCTCTTAGTCTCCTCCGATGACCACAATATTGTGCTCCCCTAGACCCCTACCCATTGATTAGCTAGCACAATTAGGGATGTCAATCCAACCCGTAACCATGGGTACCCTACCCGATCGTAACCGGTCAACGAGGGTAATTACACGCTTTGACGGGTAAGGGGCGGATACAGGTAATACCCGGTTTCAAAATAAAGGGTAGGGTACGAGTATGGTAATTGATAATACCCGCCCTGTTATACCTGCCTCTCTAACCAAAGGGTCAATTTCCCTAGCCCTAACCCTACCCAGCAGTCGATTTTCCTTGCCCACACACAAGTGAGGTGATTACTCAGGCTCTTCTTGAAACTTTACTTTCTTGGGATATTGACACAAAGGTATCTATGATTACCTTGGATAATTGTTCTACTAATGATGCCTTGATGGATGTCATGAAGCATAAGTTAAGCAGTGAGCATTTGATGTGGTCTGGTTCTAATATTGTCTTTGCTGTTTTTGTTTATGAGTGGATTGTTTAAGCTAGACCAAATATGATGGATTGTGTTTTTGTTTGTGTGGATTGTAGAAGCAAGAACAATTATTATGTGTTTGTTGTTTTTATTTGTGTGGGTTGTTGAAGCTAGAACAGTTACAAGTATTGAGAATTTTTAATAGACAACAGTATGTATGTGCATATATGTGCATAAGTTCATATTTTAAGATTTGTACCCATGGTTACCCGAATACCCGTGGTTACCCAGTGGGTAAGGTATGGTTATCTCATTTTCATACCTGGTGGTTATTTGGTCGAATATTTTAGAAGGCTCTACCCGGCGGGTTAGGAGTTGGTATAGGGTAAACCCGCACCCTACCCTACCCTATCCCTAAGCACAATATTATTCTCGTGAACCGCACTATACTAGTGTCTTGTTTTGTTCCTTGCATTATCGAGTGCACGCTTACCGAGTTCCCGTTACTACATAGAATATAAATCTCCTCTTCATTGATTGATTAATTAAAGCTCACAATCTTCGCTCGCCACACAAGCAAATCTTGGTTGCCCGTTTAGTGGGTTAATTGCACCATCTACCACTTAACTTAACTATTTGTTGCACGTTAACCACCTAAGTAATTTACGTTGCAACTAAACCATTTACGTTACCTTCCTGTTGCAATTAAACCATTTTCGTCCACTGAACTAACGGTAGGTGCCAAACGGTAATTTTCCATGCCACGCGTGCTGCCACGTCGGCTCCTGTAGGGTGAGTCACATGTGAGCCACCATATATTTGGGCCCACAAAACCCAAACAATTCCTGCAATTAGCAATAGGAGCAGGTTTACAGCAGCTTTCAAAGTTCATTCCAGGAGGCAGGAGCTGAAACGTCGACGCCCTTCCCTGCACATAACAACAACAAAAACATCAAACTCTTACTTGGTGAGACTATCACCACAAGAAGGAAGAAAGATTGGCTCAAGTTGTTACGGTAAGTTATCTCTACCCTCTGCCGCAATACTCTGTTTGTTATCTTACGCAGGTTGTCGCAATTGTAATTATATGGTTCTTCCTCTGGTTCATTGCTTCTTATTGGCAGGGAATCGAAACGACAGACGAAGCTTTCTTTGGCTATGTTCTTCTTCTTCTTCGTTGTCGATTGATGGAGCAATAGGTGAGTGAATTCTGACTTCTCGGGTTGCTCTGTTTTTCGACTATGTTTTTCATCTTCATTGTCGGCTGATCAATGGGTGAAAAATGCAGATTAAACCACTCCAAGCTCGTGTTTTCTTTTTCTTGTTGTTTGAGTTTTAAAAATGCGTCCAAGCATTAGGGAAGTAGGGGAAACTGACCAAATTCCGATATATGGTGAGTTTTGCAATTAAAGGTTGCTGGGTTTTTCTTCTCCTGCCATTTTCCAGCTGCAATTTGCTCTTCTCCTGCCATTTTCCAACTGCAATTTGTTATCGGTCCATGAGGTACGGGGAATCGCTGGTTTTGCGCAACGACACAATGGAGTTGCTGCTGATGCCATTCAAGTGCTGTAAACAAGAGATGAAAATGCAGAAGAGAAGAAGATTGGAGAATGGAGGACGAACTTTTGCGTTGGAGTAGAGAAGAGAATAGAATAGAAGAGGATTGGAGTTAGAACAAGAAGAAAGGAAGAGATTTACGTCTCTGGTTAGGGTGGTTGGCGATTTTGGAAGGGTTTTTTGGGGGAAGGTTTTGAGGAAAAGAAGAATAATAAACGGGTCTGGAAGGGTTTTTTGGGGGAAGTTTTTGGGAATAGAAGAATAATAAACATGCTATATTTAGTGGACGGAAATGATGTGGCAGGAGTTGATGTGGCAGCCCGCGTGGCATGGAAAATTATCGTTTGGAACCTACCGTTAGTTTAGTGGACGGAAATGGTTTAGTTGCAACAGGAAGGTAACGTAAATGGTTTAGTTGCAACGTAAATTACTTAGGTGGTTAACGTGCAACAAATAGTTAAGTTAAGTGGTAGATGGTGCAATTAACCCCCCGTTTAGTTTAGACTTTAGTTCAAAGCATATGGAGATCCACGCTAGCTACTGTGTTCTCGTTGGTGCACCCAGCCTGCATCTGCACGTGCTCCACTATTCATTCGTAGCCAGGAGTAAACCACGTTCATGTTACACGATTGGTAAGTACGATTTAAAACTAGCTAGCTAGGGTAGCAATTTCGAAATCAAATGTGTCCCCGCTGCTAATTTCACGGGCGAAACCTTCGAGGTTTGAACTATGCAGTGATGTTCGTGGTGGTGGATGATGACTGGACATACGGTTGTTGTTATGACGTGTTTGGGACACTTTGAGACCTCAAAGGGATAAAGTATGCTGGACTAAGCTGGTATGGGGAAAGTATTGTATTCCCAGATACACTGTGTTAGCTTGGCTTGTTGTACTAGGAAGGATTACTACTTGGGAAGTATTCAATCCCCACTACCCTTCATCCATTCATTGCTACATTATTTGTCATTGACTGGAAGTCACGAGAGTTTGATTTATAATCTTTTCTTTTACAGGCTAGATTATGTTAGGTCGTCTGGAGAAGGTACTATTATATGCCTTCTCAATTTTGGAATATGTATCCACTCAAGTATAGTGAAACTGCTCTCTTCTGTCCATGCACGTAGCTAACACACATTGCGCTAGAGAACCACGTAAATATTGTGTGATCTTTACTTTACCTTATTTTGTTGAATTTTTTCGGCAATCCCAAAATCTTCAGACATGCCATAATCTTGGAGTTTGATTCGGTTCGGGAACTTCCAGTCAAAATAATAAAGCAAATATTCGAGGAAATAATTGCACGATATCAATTTCCATACTGAATGCTTTAAATAGGTTGAGTTGAGAATTTGAATATTTTCGTATTACCCAGGAACATCCCCCCACACACCAGTTAAGCAATGACAGAGCGAGACCAAACCTAGAGGTTCACTTGGTTGAGCAATGAGCACTTCAGGTCCTACATGAAGATCACATTAAATACCTCGGGAAACACCATAATGGGCCTCGATAAGATCTGCCACTTCCCGAAATGAGCTTCCACTAAGGATTTCTAGGCTATGTGACATTGGCAGAATTTGAACCTTTCTAATCAATGCAAGTGGAAAGCACTCCTAGCAAAACGCCAAACTATGTGTGTGCCATATCGTCTACGAAAATTGAGATAGGACCGTTCAAAAATGGGTTGTACATGTACTCTGTACATATCAAATGGGCCGAAAGGCCTTGCCTGTCATCTACATAACTATTATATATTCCATATTTCCATCATTCAAATAGGGGTTGAAAGTTACAATCTATTGTTGGGTTATTCCTAGTAGGTAGGATTAATTAGTACATGGCCGGCGGAAAATTCTTAGGTCCAACCTTGGTTGGACGCAAAAATTACAATCTGCCACATGTCAATTTATTATTGGTATACTCATCTTTCTTTTTTCTTAATATTTAATGTTCTTAATTATACTAAATAAATCAAGAATTAAAATATAAAAAAGAAAATGAACTCACTAATAAGAAACTGACATGTGACAGGCTGAACCTTCTACGTTCAATCAAGATTGGAGCTAAGAATTTTTTTGGGCGAATGGGATTAATACGAGTCTCGTTAGAGAATTAGAGTCTAATTAGGATTCTTCTTCTTTTGAGTGTTGCCGTGTCGACTTGGTTAGTAATAGGTTTTCGGCTATAGCTAGGTTAGGTATCAGGTTTTCTTCGACATATTAGTTCGGAAAGAATCAATAAAATAACAAATTAAACAAAACAGGTTTTAGTATTTTACAGCCCGCTTGTGAGTTACAAGCAAAATGCTATCTAGAATGGTGAGTTACGGTTCATCATATTTTGTGTATTGATGATTTATTTTCCGGACATTTCACGAATTATGGGATGTCTATGGAGGACTAAATTTCTCTAAATTTATAATTTGAGTTATTGAATTAAATAATAAGTTCACAATCATTTTGAACAATTTTATTGCAGCCGCCGACAATAACATCTAACTATTCCTATTGAGTATTGATGATATTTTGTCAGCAGTCACCTCAATAATTTGCCATACATATGTGTGTGAAAAGTCAAAAATTAAATCTTATGTACTCCTACAAATAAAGATTAATTAGCTCGAAGATTGAGATTTATTTTTCAAACTACTCCAACTTACTAAAAAGGAGGAAGATCACGATTCACGACCATGATATTTGGAGTAAAGAGATTATTAGTGGCAGAACCATAATATTCGAAATATTTAACAACACTATCCAACTTACTAAAACGAATGGGGAAGATCACGAACGCGACATTTAAAGTAGAAAGATAACTTATTCAATGCTGATAAAACCAAAGCATTATATATATATTCATTATTGTTTTTGACTCGAAACCAACGGAAAGAAACTGATAAAACGAAACGGATTCACGGTATAAATCCAAAAGCACACGGCACAAAACGGATACACAAGCACAAAACATTTCGAGGAAAAATTACACGACCATGGGTGTAAGAAGAAGAGCAATCAGAATATCCTTGGTCCTGGTGCTGGAGTGAGTGTAGCCATCATAATCCTTGTAGTTTGTATCCATAAAGCGCACCAGATTAAGGATCACAATAGGAACTCGTTTACAAACGTGAGAAGGAATGTTCAGCAACAACTCCTCGTTCATAATCATCCAGTCCTCATCAATCAGCTTGTTCAGTCCATCTATCGCCTCCTGTCTCGACGCGTCGTATTGCTTCATGTAACATTCCAGTGATGATGCAAAATGTGCGGTGTCCGGCTCTTTCTGCATTTGAAGCACAAATTCTTTTTTTAAGTAAGAGTACACATGTATTAAACGGAGTCGCGTATCACGTGAGTACGTACCATGTTGTCGGCAAGGTCGTCCTGAAAGCGACATATATCGCTCGAAATGATCAACATTTCGGGCGAGGAAGCTAACCATTCGAAGTCGCTCTTCGAGACCGAGTCACCCAAGCCGCAGATGGTGGCGTAGACTATCCATTCGAAACAAGTGGTCACGCAAGAAAGCTGCCTGTATTCATCTAGTGTGGGCACAAAACCTTTGTAGGATTGGGACCTCCTTTCTTCTTCCAGGTATAACCTTGCGACATTACTGATCTGCAAGATGCAGAATCAAGAAATGGAGGAATTAAAAGGGTATAAACCCTAGCTAGTTCATCCATTTCATTTTATAAGAATTAAGAACCAACACGATTTGATATAGTAGTACCCCTCGTTTCATGTAGTCCAAAACCCATGGCCTTCCTTCTTTGGAAGTGACAGCCTCGATTTCCTCATGAACGCCAACCAGTGCGTCGAAAAGGACAATCATGTAATCTTTCAGCCCTTTCGCGGTTGTATCCCACCTGTTATGTAGCAGCAGGGCTGAACAAAATTAAACCGTAACCCGGCTCGTTCAACTTGAACCGATCAACCTGTATTTGTTGGGTTGGGTGCGGGTTTCGAGTTATGCAACCCGTAGATACCCGACCCAACTCGTGTTACAACACTAGAAATATTCTTGTTATTGCTTCGACTCATATTCCCCAAAAAGTGGATCCCGCTCTAATAGCTCCGAATAAATTAAATACATGCATTAAGATACGAAGGCTTCTTATTCCACAACAACGAAAGTACTTTTTCACTCTTTCATATACTAGGGGATTTCACTTGGAAAAGAAAATGCTCCATACTAAGGGATTCGGGTTCAAAACGTCATTGTGTAGCATAAAAATAGCATATTTGTGAGCAAATTAAAATAATTTTGTCGTATTAGATGTATAATACCTTTCAATCGCATCGGTGTCGACCTTCAACGGTCCCATGAATATCGAATGTGTCGTCCACTAGCGTCCCGATGAGAGTGATTTTGGTAGCGAAGTATCTGGCCAGGTAGTGTTTGGGCTCCCAATACAATCCTAATCCCCAGAAGTAGGTCTCCACGAGCTTGTCTCGAGCATAAGGCAGCTTCGTTGGTGAATCCAGCTTAATCCACCACCTATATCATAAGATTGTTGATTAACAAAGACAAATCCGGCCAGAATGTTATTAATTATTACCGTTTGTTATTCTTAGTGCTATAGGGTTGAAAGCATAGCCCTAGATATATATCCCCTAAGCCGACAAGGTTTGGACTGTATCCGTTTGCGCCTACATGGTCGGTATATGGATTAGGGACGAGTAGAGGTGACAATTTTCAATTCAATCCACCAATCCAATCCACCAACACATTAAAAATAGCCACCTAATTCAATCCATTTAAATCCATTCCATTTGATCCAAATCCAATTGGATTGGTGGATTCATGGGTTGATCCATCGATCCAAATGACAAATTACGGTTTGGTACCTATACTTTCATATTTTACATTTTGGTACCCAAAATTTAATTTTTATACGAAAAATGTCATTGGAAAATTACGTTTGGTATCTAAAATGTTTCATTATGACATTTTAGTACCTAAACTTTTCACATTTTACATATTGGTCCTTGGTTGAGAATGTCATTTGGATTCATGAATAATCCACCAATCCACCAATCCATTGAATCCAACCCATTTGATCCACCAATCCATGGATCAATCCATTTGCCACTTCTAGGACGAGTCATCTTTTGTCATTGTAAAGGATTGAGCAGGGTCGGGTGATTTTTGATCCCGTGATCCATAACAACGACTAGTGGTATGGAATTACTCATATATACTACTAACATAGTCGACATGTTTGTAAAAGTTTCAAAAGTTAAGGTATTGTAATACAACATAAAAAATATAAAAGGTACTAATTAAAAACATCATTTCCTCCAAAATTTCTGGACCATTTTGTAAAAAGAATAAAATTTAGGTACTAAGTTTTAGGAAGAATAAATAAAATAGATACCCAAAAGTGATTTTCAAAATATCATTTTTGTTAAAATTCAGCTGACTCGATCCGGCCCGTTCCAACCAGACTCAAGCAAGTCAGACTGAGTCAAGGGGAAATATATAGGGTCGGACCGGGTCAACAGGTTTGTAGCTTGACCCTATAAAATCGAGTATTGTTCTATAATAATTCTAGGGTAAGGACTGGGTCTGACCCAGTTTCAACGTAACCTTACTCGGTGATGGGGTGCAGTTCGGCCTGATACATCTGCTGCAACACGTTGAAGTTCAGCTTGGCGAGCCTGAGGAGTACTGGGTCATGGCCCGGGATATGTTCATAGGCGGAAGAGATGAAAAACAGGTGTTCAACAATTGGCGCGACTTTGAGAAGAGGCCTTTCCAGAGCGCGGGTGACTCTTTCAGCAACGTGGGTTTCCATCTCTGCAACTTTTGCTCTTAGGTGTGCAGTGGTGAACTCAATAGCTTCTCCTAATATGCTTTCTTCCCGTGTCCTCAAGTACGCAGCTTCATATAGATTCAACATGCCTTCAATGTCGTCCGTTAACTCTTTCTTGAACCCTTCTTCCGTTCTGAACTTGTTGAACACATCTGCAAATATGGCAGTTGACGCACATTAGAGATCGATTGATCGATTTTCATAACATAAAATAAATTTTGCTTAAAATAAATTTTGCTTAAAATAAATTTTTTAGAAATCGACTCTACCGCTCGCCTGGATTGCGAATACCGGGTACCGGACTTTAAAACGGTAAACGATTTTAAAAATATAAAACAGTTGAACTACTATTTTAGTACAAACACCCTACCATTGAATTTTCCGATCTGTCCTCCAATACGCTTTAAAATATTCTGATGATATGCATGATTTTTTTTGTAGCAGATAATATATTAGTATATCACGATAAGCTGGTTGACAGTAAACCAACTACATGCAAAGATGGACCTTGGCAAGTTAGGGTGTGGATTCAATGGATGAGGCAAATCCTCCATGCAAATGGTGAGATCAAGATTGCTTTTTGTCCAAGAAAGGAGAACAAATGTGCGGACTGGGTTGCAAAAGAAGCTGCAAAAGGGTCACTTCACCAGGAGTGGATTCAAGTTCTTGACATCATTTATCCTATGTTGTAATAAGATTAGCTTGTACTACAATCACCGTTGAAATGAATGGAATTCTACCTTTGTTAAAAAAAAAAAACCCAACTACATGACAGAAAGATAAGTGGCCGGGTATAGTTGTCTAAAAACGAATCTGTGTAATGGACAAACGATGGAGTCATCATTCATCAATGATAATAATTTGAATAATTATGCAACACATTGATCTAATCAATTTTGCTACACATATATTAATCAAAAGCTACATACCACATGATGCTTTATAGCCGTGTTGCCTCAGCAGCCTGAAACGGAGTGCAACGGTGTTAAGGTCGTTATAGTCATCATCGCTCCAGATATTTTTGTCTCCACACACTTGTTCGAGGATTTGCTCTATTTCTTTCTCAAAGTGATAACCAACGCCTAATCGCTCCACCGCGTCGACGAGTCTCAACCTTTCCAGCACATTACTAATTGGATCTGATAGTTTCTTCTTTATATTCGGCTTCGAGACTTCAATTTCTTCATTCCAGCCTTTCACTACCTGTACGTACCACATCAATGTTTTTTTTTAAAATTTCAAAACCACTTGACAAAAAAATAATCCTGACTACGTCACTAACTAACAACACATGATGAGTTTTCGATTCAGAAAGCGCATATAATTAAGATCAATTGTTTACTTCCAATTAATCACTCTAGCTTATAATAGGAGTAAATACAATGGTTTACCTCATCAGTTGCAGGGACGACTTGGGTTATGAAGAAGTCTCCCCACACAGTTGGGTGGTAATTCTTCCATGGATGGGCGCTTTCAGATTCTGGAATAGCCATATGTAACTTGATTTCTTGATTCTTTTTCTCTCTTTCTAATTTGGGCTAAAACCAACCAATAGGCAGAAAATAAAAAACACTCTTCTTTTTAGCTACCGTGTACCACTACCACGTTTTGGCTCTCTGTGCAAGCTCCCGCTATATATAGCAAAATTAAAACACTCCCAATAATGCATACATATAGTTTTGTTTTCAGTGCCCTCCAGTTTTTTATGTGCGTCATTTTGATCATCGTTTATGATATAATGGACAAGAAAACACATAGATTTGCACAAAAATCGGTGACAATTTACTTTAATTTGAACGTTTAGAGTTGAGGGACTTAGGGGTTTATAAATTTGAGATTCAGGATTAGTGTTCTAACTCAAAGGTTTAGGGGTTAGGATACGTAATCGATTGATTAGTTGTGATCCTATGTTATATCATCATACCAAACTTAAGTGATTGATGTTAAATTATACATCAAACTATAATTAATGGTTATTGATTTTCTCTAAATTTTGTAGATTTTGATATTCAATTATTTTATTGTAATACTTTATGGAACATAATTTTATTAATATTAAAAATGAATTTTGACATACTAAAACAGTCAATCCCAACATCACCTATCGATCCAACCCACTCATAATGGTACGTATGGTATCACTCTTTCCATCACCCACTATCATAAACCCAATGGTCCCAATAATTCCAGTGATTGGGAGAGATCCATATATGATACGTAACTACTTTTATACACGCTTTCTTAAACGAAAATCAACTCATCGACTTTAATTAAGATAATGGTTTGTATTATGAATTGTGAGGACTTGAACACGTGATTAAGGATAACCGTTTGTATTAGGGTTAGGTATTTCGATCTGCACTGAGCTGATCAGGAATATATTATATATCAGCTCATCACATGGATTATGGTTTAATCAAGCAGCTGGCGTTTTATCAATAGGCCCATGCATGCATGTCAGGGAAATACGTGGCATCATCACGTGCGTGCAACAAAAGAGAATCAGAGGATCTTCTGCCGCACTGGTGGACAATTCTATTACTTCCAAAATCCTCCAGGATAGCGATATGCCTCTGCTAATTTAGGGAAAGATAAGTATAAAATCTTATCCAAACTAATCTGTAGCTATTTTCAAGGGAAAAAATTCCACTGTACACTAGTTATTAAAAAAAATTCCCAAAATACATAAGTTATAAAAAAATTTCCAAAAGTACACATGTTTGAGCATCACCGTTTTAGACAAAAGCGGTGAAGGTTATCACCGCGTTTAATAAACACGGTGAAGATTTCACCGTTTTAAAGTAAAACGGTGATGCCTTCACCGTCTTAGTCTAAAACGGTGAATGCATCACCGTTTTAAACTAAAACGGTGAAGGCATCACCGTTTTAATCAAAAACGGTGAGGACTTCACCGTTTTAGTGGGCCGCGGTGAAGACGCTGACGTGGCAGACACGGGTATTCACCGCGTTAGACAAACACGGTGAATACCCCGTGTTTGTTTGCGTCAGCGATCCGCGCCAGTGTGCTTTTACCGTGGCCGTTAGATGCAGTGATACGCGGATCGTGGTTTTCTTCCCACGATCCGACGCCTCACAGCACGCCACGTGGACGGGGGAACCGTTTTTGGGGAATGCAAGGCCTTCACCGCGTTCATCAAACGCGGTGAATGCTTCCCTAAAATTACTGCGCATCAGCTCCTCCCCCCTTCCCCCAACTATAAATACCCCCTTCCCCTTTCACTTTCAACTCACCCCACAAACATTTCACTTCTTTCTCCCTCAATTTATCCGCTCTAGTCTCGTTCTAAGTATGCTCTGTGGTTGCGGCTAAGTCCGATCTTCCACATCAGAAAGAATTACTAGAGTTTGACCCTAAAGCCCCCGTCCCGCTAAGTTCCCGTCCCTTACAAACCTAAACCCGTCGAACCTCTGTCCGGCTTCCGCCAATAATGGACGAAGAGGCTCTTCGTGTAGGTTTTTGGTTTATGATTTTTTTAATCGAAACAATTTGATTTTTTTTTATCAAAACAATCTCTGATTTCATTACTTTTTTATAGATGGGTGCCGAGATATACGATCCTCGATTGTATATCCATTATGGCCCAAGGGATGCGAGTCTCTTAACCGATCAACAAGCTCATCGCTCCCGTGCCATTTGGGATAACAATCCGGTAATTTGATGAACTGACTTGCTTTATTTTATTATTTTCTAATGTTTTATTTTGCTTTATTTAATCTAATAAATTGATGTTTTTCCTATTTTTTTTAGGAATCTCTTGTTCCCGTGGTTCATAAAGGGACCAATAACTTGCCCGCTTGGCATCCAAGGTTGGAGCCCTATATAGCGAGGACCGGTTTGGGAATGTTGCGCCATTTCTTGCGGATCGAGATCGACAACGATCTGCTTACGGGAATGTTGCCGACCACCACACCAAATCAAGGACGGGGGCATCCACCGTTGAATGCGGGGCAAGTGTCGGTCCCGTGGCTGGTATCTCACATCCAGCAAGAGGTGGAAATCAATGACGAGACACCGGAAGAACAAGTCGAGCGCTACGCCCGCATCTACCTCATCGGTTTGGTGGGTGGATTTTTGTTCCCCGACAAGTCCAACCGGTGGAGCAACCAATTCCACAAGACCCGCCAGCAGGTTTCAGGGAGCTACATGCTATGGACCTCCGAAACAATGCAAACTGGACGCTAAAGCATGGATTCTACATCAACATCTGGGAGAATCGATCCCAATGGGTGGTGCAAGGGATGCCGGAGACGAGACCAATGGGCTACCACGATGGGTACATGCAGTGGTATTGGAAGTTCACCCTGAGATGGGTGTCAAAGCAAGGTGCTGTGATGGGTTCGGTGGTAAGTCATCCTAATCTCCCTCATTCTAAAATATATTTATTTTAAGGTTTAGTTAATTTGATATATTTTGTGCTTTCCTTAGGTTGATGGTTTGGAACACGCGAAGTACACTCTCGAAAGTGCTCCAACCATGGATGAGCGGAAGACTACTTGGTTGACCCGACTTATGAATAACCTCCTGAGTTGCACCAGAGAGCAAAGGAGGGATGTCGTGGCCTATCCTCCCGTTCCTGCCCCGGCATGACCCTTATTCCGTGATGATGCAGCCATTGTGCCCCCGGTTGAGCCCCCACGAAGGAGCAAACGCAGGCCTCTGCCTACGTTCGATGAGGTGCGTACAACTCAAGAAACCGAGATCCCTGAACCGTTCGAGTACCAGTGGGCACCTACAGCGGAAGCCGGTGGAGGGTCATCGAGTCGTGGAGCATCTCAGGAGTGGGACACTTTCTCTCATGGGTTCTCTCAATTCCAACATCAGCAACAGAGTTCGATGTATCAGACCCCGCAACAACAAACTCCGCAACCTCCGATCATTCGCCAAGCTACCGCTCCATCTCAGCCACCACCACCGCCATATGTAACCCCAGTTGGGGCTCGGGTCAAGAGAAATCCGCGACCAGCCGTTGAGCGAGCCCGCCAAGAAGCAGCGGCGGAGGGGGGAAGAAGGGGTCGAGGACGTCGTGGAGGACGAGGAGGAAGAGGTGGAGATGGGGGCCAAAATGAAGCAAATGAGTGAATTTATCGTTTTATCCTGCAGTAGTGATCTATCCATGTTGTTTTGGTGCTTTTTAGGTGTTGTTATTTGAGTTTGCATTGTCTAAAAACTATCCTACGCACTTAAGTTGTCGAATGAATTTTCTGGATCATTTTATCAATAATCAGTATCTTCCCTCAACACAAAAAAGTTGGGAAAATCAACCACAATCGCATAGAATTTTACAGATCCCAATTCCGAGTCCAAACGAGTGAGATAAGTGACGTCAAAGCGCGATCGTATCGTTAAAGTAACTTTTGCGTACTAAAAACTAAAACGCGCGTATCTTATTCGTTTGAGGTCGAAATAACGAGCCGTTTGCGGCAGCGCGATCGTAACGACAAGGAAAACATTTTAGAGTTAACAAAATACTTGGACTTCAAATGCAAACGGTAATGAAAATTTAAACAAGCGATCAATTTAGTAGCAGAATACAAGTAAATGCAAATTAAGTTGATAGTTGTCCTGGGCAACGCCTCTTGTCGTGACCAGGTTGTCTGCACTTAGAGCATCGCTTCGGTCCCCTTCTCGTCCGTTCAACTTGATCCATCTCATTGTGTATCCTTTCAACTCTAGGACGGCCTTTGGTGCGTTTTAGGTGCAACGGTGGGATAATCAACTTTCCAGCGTATATAGGCCAATACGCTTCATCTGGGATGGGGCTCAAAGCTGCATTATATGAGTTTCGTATCGCTTGTTCAGTGTAGTAAGGACTCACCAGGCTGTTTCTGTTCATGGTTATTGACTTAGCAACCGCCATTGCATGTGAACAGGGTATCCTTTCGTTCTGATACTTTTGACAAGAACACTCCCCTAATTCGTAGTGCAATTTGACCGTTTGACGATTGTGACCACGTCTCCCTCCACCCCATATACCTGTTTCGACAGCGAATATTCCTTCACTGCGGTTAAAAAGAACAACCTTATGCTTACTTGATTTTTCATCGTTCTTCTGCATTTGAGCGAATACGTCATGTGCTACTGAATGACCTTGCAACTCCCTCCCTATAGCTAGCTGTAGCCGAGCAACTCGCCACTCGTTGACCTTCCAATAAGACATTTCCACGATGACAGAAATAGGCATCGCTCGAAGACCCTTGTACACATTATTTATACTTTCTCCATGGTTGGTAGTTGCAATGCCCCATCTGGCCCCGTTGTCCATATGGAACGTCCACATGGGCAACTCTTGACCTTCAGCCCATACTGCTCCAGCTCGGTGGGTCTGACGGATCGTTTTCATGATCTGCTCGTACTTTTTTGGTTGATGTGCAACCGCTAAAAGGTGAACAAAAGACTAACTGGTCAATACATGATGAATAACATCAGCTTATCAGCTTAATAAACACAAACTTATATCGCATAAGTACAACATTAGTACCTGCATTCCAAAGTAGATTTTTGATGTCTTTCTTCTTCCCAAATTTGTGTTGGAAATTGGCGAGCCAGTGTCGAATACACCATCTCCATCTCCACCCCCACTCGTCGGGAAAACCACCAACAGCATTCCTTATCCCCGCATGTCGATCGAATATAATCGTAATATCTTCCCGCTGTGTCATGTGTTCGTGCAGTTGGTCAAAGAACCAAGCCCAACTTAAGCTGTTCTCCCCTTCCACTAATGCAAATGCAAGCGGGAAAATCCGCCTGTTTCCATCAACGCCAGTGGCAATTAGAAGACATCCTCTGTACTTCCCAGTAAGGAAAGTTCCGTCAACCTGAATAAAAATTTAGAATATAATTAGTATGAAATATACTTAACAGCAAAGAATACAACATTTAAAACCGGAACTAGTTGGTAAAATACCTGAATAACCGGTATGCAGAACCCAAAACCGTCAATTCATGGTTTAAAAGCCCAAAAAAGACGATGGAACATCAGCTTATCCTGTACTCGAACTTGATTCTCAGTGTATACATTGTTGTATACTGGGACGAAAACAGTCCCAGGATTGGACTCCTCCATTGCTCCCATAAGTCTAGGGAGTAAAGCATACGAATCCTCCCAATCACCATACACCTCAGCCATGGCTTTCTGCTTACCATGCCATGCTTTTTTGTACCTTATCGTGTAAGAATGTCGATCCTTCACCTCTGCCATGATAGCTTTCACCTTGATATCTGGTTGTGCTTCTATAAGGTGCTTAATAGTTCTCCCAACCTTCTTTGCTTTTAGTTGCCTGTGATCTTGGGAAAGTATAGAAGAGGAGCATGTGTGGATCGTCTCAGCTGTGCGAATCACCCAAGCACCCTTTCTCTTCATATTTGCAGCCCGCAGTTGCCACGTACAACCCTCTGCATCATGCTTGCATATGACATGTAGTTGTTTACTGTCAGAATATTTTACCTTCCACTCGAAATTGCGCCTCAACGCCTCTTCTGTAAAAGCATCCTGCACAGCGTCTTTCGATGTGAACGCCATACCCACCTCCAAATTGGCCGTCGGATTGTACACTGGCATAGGGACAAAGTCGGGGGGATCATTCTGACTATGTAAAAATTGAGTTGGAACCTGTGTGTAATATGGCGTGGGTGCCTCACGAAATGCCGCCTCATCATCGTTATCATCAGTATCTTCCTCCTCCTCGCTCACTGATATCAAATCTTCCTCAGTATCCTCGTCGCTGGACTCGAATGGATAGCTCGGGCTAGAAGGATCAACATGACCACGATCACCAACATCGTCCTCTCGCTCATGTGAAGTACGCCCTGATCGAATGGTATTCTCGATTCCATACCACTCTGGCCCCCAAGCAGGCCATTGAACACCATCGGCCTCAACAAATGGGGCTGGTTTAGGAGGTTGCGAGTATTTGTCCCATCCTGCACTACTCGATCCACCGTAGTTGATTGAACTACCACCCTCTCCATAACCTCCTGTATAACCACCTCCTTCGTAGTTGCTCGAACTACCACCCCATTCGTACCCTCCTGCAAAACCATCATCATAAGAATACTGGTGAGAATGAGATTCACCGACCGCCTCGGTCTCAACATACACCTCTGCAAGCCGGACTTGGTTATCGCTTAGGAACTGTAACATCATCATAACCACGTCATCATCGTTTATGACAACTTCTTGGAACACGACCCCGCCAGCACTCATGTCTAGATACCGGTAAGTAATTTTGCCAAGTCTCGTCTGTCCGCTCGTACAAACCCTTTCTGCACAAAGATCACAGAGTTCTTGAAAATTGAATCGGGAATCAATTTTCAGCATAATGGATTCGCCGTCCTCATAATCAATGCCTATGTCAGAGTTTGTCACCCTTCCATTCCACCGAATAGTAAGATGAAACTTCTTGAATTTACCCATATCTACAATTTACAATAAATATCTATTAGCTTAAAGACAGTAAAATTAACCAAAATCATATTGTACAACTAATATTAAATCATACCATAACTAACGAAAATAAATTCAACTAACTAACAACAACATAATACGAAAATTAAATCATACTATAACTAACGAACATAAGTTCAACTAACTAACAACAACATAATACGAAAATTAAATCATACTATATATACTAAAAACATAATTAGACTATAATACGAAAAGTCTCAACATACCGAAAAATTTCTGTTCTGTGTATTATGCTCGATTTTGGCTGCTGAAATTTGAAGAAAGGGGAGTGGTTATGTTTTTACAACTGCTGGTGGTGTGCAATTTATAGGAAAATCTGCCTACTATTCACCGTTTTTGTCGAAAACGGTGAACACAATCACCGTTTTTGTCTCAAACGGTGAATAGGTGGTAGCTGCGACCTAATTTTGACCTACCAGGGGTGGGAAACGTGGGAAATGATCACCGCGTTAGTTAACAACGATGAATGGGTTCACCGTTTTTGACCAAAACGGTGATGTGTTCACCGTTGTTAATTAACGCGGTGAAAACTTAACCGGTTTAGTTTGAAACGGTGAATACTTCACCGTTTTTGTTTAAGACGATGAAGTATTCACCGTTTTTGACAAACACGGTGATGCCCTTCACCGCTTTTGTCTAAAACGGTGATGCTCAAACATGTGTACTTTGGGGAATTTTTTTATAACTCATGTATTTTGGGAATTTTTTTTAAGAACGTGTGTACAGTGGGATTTTTCCCATTTTCAAGAGGGTTATATTGGTAATTGTCGATTCAGTTGATGTCACCTATTTTCTTTATTTTAAATAAAAAATTTTAAAAATTGCATAGAAAGAAGGGTAATGACTATTGAAATACTAAGAATTAGCCAAACCTATCGAAATACTAAGAATTAGCCAAATGTTAACTTCCAGTTAGCAATTTTGTTAGTAATATTGATTTGCCAATATGATACTGACTTGGAAGAGACACATGAAGATCATCATTCCAAAATTTTAGTATTTTAACTAAGAAAAGAGTTACAAAATTATTAACGATAACGTAAAAATGGCTAATATTTTGATGCATTACGAAATATTTGACTAATTAATAGCATTTTAATAGGTTTGGATAATATAAAAGAATTTGAAAAGGGCTGGGATAAAAAATAGATATTAGCCTAGAAAGAACGCATTCATTAAGATTTTCACAATAATATCCATTTTGTTTTGTCAAACATAATATCTCATACCAATTAGCAACAACATATCACTATCATATTATGTATTATCACTGTGGTATATGACAGTGATAATGTGATATGATGTTATCATCAAATTATTTTGTCAATCATAAGATCTCATACCAACATCATATCACTATCATGCCAACATTATACTACTATCACACCACCATGATATCATGCCACTGTAAGTAATAATATCGTGATATTAGAGTTGTACGATGACCTGAAATTTGTTTATCCTAAAAAAAATATCAAAACGAATATTATCTTGTAGAGCACAAAAATATGATATTTCTATTCAATTTTTTTTTAAATCCAACGTAAAACAAATAAGCTATGGTGCATTGATTTTCTTTGAAGATTTGAAAAATGCATTAGCATTCGCCTGAAAATCCGTGCCTGCCCCCTAAATCCGATCAACTGCCCCAAAAATCTGGTTAGCCCTCTCCCAAACTCTTCATTTCCCTCCTTACCCCTACTAAACTATAGGGTTTTGTAGCCTAATCCAATCTCAAATTTATTATGGCTTAACTTTAAAGTAGAATGTATATTTTTGAACATTCAATTAATACTACAATAATCAAACTTTTTTTTATTAATAAAAGATGCTGTTTCTAGAATGAATTAGGTGTAATGTTTGTCGTCATCTACACTATGATTGTCTAGTAATTTGTGTTCTTATGTTTTCCAATTAGATTATGATATCTCTAGCTATTTTTGTTCCATGTATATGTCACACCATCGTACTTTATTATTCTTTTCCAATTAAAATTTATCTTCTATATTTTTTCCATTTAAAATATTAACTTAGGGGAATTTCATTATCTACCTTTTGAAGCAAGTCTTTATTTATGTACCCACTAGACAGTAATTGGCAAATTGATAACTATGCAATTATTTTCTAGGATAACTCAAAAATAAATAATGGTGTTTCAACGTTGCAATAATAACTTGTAGAATGAGCACTATCTTCATATTTGATTAGGCATATGGAATTCGGAAGCTTGTTTTTCTAACTTATAGATGGCAATCGATATAGTTAAGCTAAAGATCTTCGTCTGGCAAATCCTCAACCGTCTATTGCCTACTACTGAGGCTTTGATTGAGAAAGAGGTTGACGTCCTCCCTAGATGTCCGGTGTGTTGGGCTGAATCTGAAACTTTGGAACATTTGTTTCGGGATTGTTCAGTGGCCCGTGCCCTCTGGGATATGACCGGCCTGCAACACCTTGGGGAAGGATTGCCAAGATGTAATTTCCCTCTTTTCCTAAAAACCCTGTTGGCTAGGATTCGTCAACCACCAGTTGTTATGGTCATTGTCTCGGTCCTCTGGCGGATTTGGCGATCTCGGAACTAGGTGGTGTTTGAGGGAAAGCAGTTTGCGTTTCAGTCCCTGCTACGGCAATATGAGCAACAGGTTTGGGAATGGACTTCTCTGCCTAAAAACGATTCAGCCATCATCCCTGGGGGTGCAGTCCCATCCCTTTTCCTTGAGGGTATGGGTGTGGCTGTCTGTGTGTGGGATGGGGCTACCAAAAGTGAATCGCACTCTGCAGGGGGATGGTTATCTTGACCCCTGCTAGGGAAATCCTTTTGGCTCAAGGAGTCCAGTTTGAAGGCTTAGATGATCCAATGGTGGCAGAGTTGCTTACTCTTCGAGAGGGCGTGTCTTGGGTCAGGGGCCTTGGTTTTATGGAGATGAGATTTGAAGGTGATGCCAAAGTGGTGATTGAGAAGATTCTGCGGCGTGATACTCGGGATAACCAAGTGGGAGCTATTCTTGAAGAAGTTATTCATTTGCTTGGTTTGAATCCGGGGTTCAGTCTGCGATTTGTAGGTCGGCGTAACAATAGGGTAGCTCATGTAGTAGCTAGGAAAGCCCTGTCCTTGTTTTCGACTGCAAGTCGCTCTTTTGATTTTCAGATCTGGCTGTCCTCCAGGATGTAATTATCTGTGTTTCAATCTATATATATGATTATCTTTTGTAAAAAAAAAAACATAAGCAATGGCAGAATCAATAACAAATTAAAGCTAGTTATGCATGCCTGACCAATGACTGCAACATCTTCCACGTACATACTTGATCAATGACGGCAACATAAGCAACTAGCTTATAACCCGGTCCATTGGCCGGAATGTTCTTATTTGATTATTTATATTTTTATGTTATGTTTAAGCCAACCGGTTTAATTTTATTGACAATCCTTCGATCGAGATGATACACAAAGAAAGAATATATAGGTCTAACATTTGGAGAAATACCATCATCATTTAAGAATATAAATATAAAATGTATCATTAATCCATTTTCATAATAATAATTAAGCCCTCGTTAAAATACTATTGGTTAGTTGATTGTCAAGAAAGAGGGTATAAAAGCTCAGTGAAATTCCACACGACCATTAGATAGTTTGAAACTAAATCACCTCACAATCTTACATAAGGGTTTAATGCGCTCCATTAATGAATAATATGCCACTAATAAAAAAGAAATGGAGAGTTGTTGATTCAAGTCAACTATATACTAACAACTCAGCTAAGAGGGGACCATCAAAACTTGAGAGCAAACGACAAAATAGGGTTATCTAATAGACTCAATCAAAGTAATAATGCACAAAATTACACACTCCTTGTCTATCAATTCCAGTAGGTTGAATAAAGAATCGACCTACTTCAATAAATCAATCAATGATTCATCGTTTTAAGATAGAAATAGGTTGTGATAGATGTAAAAACCATAAACATAAAGATCCAATAGCCACCACTCTTCGTTGTACAATCAAATTTTTATCTCAAGAGACATATGTTTCAACCAAAAATTCAATTTCGAATCCTCCTTCTGCAACTCCATTATTGATTAAACTCTTTTACTTGCCCAACTTAAATCCCCAACAATAAAACCGCGTGCCAAGAGATACCGGATGATCGATTTTCAAAGGCGGCCTTGTACTAGGAAGTGAAAGGGGCACAAACTATTGTACGATGGAGGAAATTTTCGAGGAAGTTAGAAAGAGATAAAAACAAAGATAAAAATCACAAAATTTAAATTGAAAAATGCAAGGACACAACACTTAGTGACAAATTAGTTTTTTCCATGTTAGCCAATTACCAATTTACCTTTAGCAAAAATTAAGGAGAGAGAAAGAATTTTAAAATTGTGAAAATTACATGAAACTCTACTATGAAAATTGAAGTATCAAGCACCATATGAATACATACGGTATACTTAGTGGGCTTGCTAATCATGATGGAAAGTCCTATGATTTTCGGAAAGTTGAATTTCGTGTATATTTTGTATTCAAAATGACACAACAAATTTGTTCAGTGTAAATGGTTGTGATTGTTGTCTTTGTTTGAAGAGACCCGGGTTTAAATCCTGATGTTGATATTTTTAATGTGAGATAAATAATTAATTGTAAAGACAAAAATGTCCTTCCTATTTTCACTCTCGTTGCAGGAAATTTGAAATAGAGAAAAGTACACAGATTTGTACTATATATTATTGGGGATGGCAGAACCAATAAAAAATGTAAGCTAGTTATAGCTCATTTCAATTCATTGGCCGAACGAAATCAATGAAAAGATTAAAAAAAAAGAGAGATTTGATTGAACATTGTGAAAGTGAGAGAAAGAGAAAAAATTATAGTTAATATATTTATGGGCTACTTTGGTCACTTGAAATACTAGTAAAGTTCACGTTAGCCACTAGAATTACTTTATATCATCTGTAGTAACTTAAATTAGTTTAACAATTCAAGTTTGGTCACTCTCAAGGGCATAGCCAGGATTTTATCAAGGGTGGGTCCATTTTTAAAAAAATTACATACGATAAAATAATTTTGTTAGCTTTTCAAATTATTCTCTATATATGTCGAACAATTATTCATAACTTAGACATTTGCTTTGGAACGATGTTCTTTGCCAAGACCGTTTATTATCAATAACTCTAGTTGTTGGAAAAGATTTAATTATGGATCTTATACTATTTAATATTTACTAACACTTCCCCGCTAATGAAAACCAACTTATAAATGCTTAAAGTTTCCGCAAATCTGAATATCATGTTCTTAACAAATGGGGTCGTCAAGATTCAAACACATGATCTCCCATCAATCATTCTCAATTAACTATTATACTCATTTACTCTTTTTCGTCCTTAGGAGCCACGTTACAGTACTCTACCTACAACTGATTGAAATAAAATAATTTTACAAAGTAGCTATGATTTGGTGGAACTCTGTTGTAGATATTGAATAAGTACATCTTTAATTTTAGGCGATCATATACACCATTAACATATGTACATAGCTCGGTATAAAAATATTGAACATGTCAATACACAACTTATAAATCAAACATCATAATCCGCTGTGACTAAAATTGATTATTGTCATTCCTTCCCTTCCTCGATCGCTTCCCATATGCTCAAACCAAACTCATTATTATTCCCCCAAACTAACAATCAAGTCCCCGTCTTATCTGAGGGGCTGGAGTTCCCCAAATCGACGGTGGGCGGTCCGGCGAGTCAGCGGCTGTTTTAACGGACAAGGAAGAGGCGCACAGCCTCATGTTGTTGGCGACGGTGAGGAATCTCCTAGGGGCCTTTATTTTCTTATAGAGATTAGTAATAAAGTAAAACACATACGTCAATGTATTATCGAGGTGGAAATTTTATTATTCTATTTTTTTTAAATTCTCACTTCACACATTTAACAGTCAAATACAGGCAAAGTTAACGGAAAGTGACTAAACTTGAACTGTTGAACTAATTTAAGTGACTACGGATGGAATAAAGTAATTTTAGTGACTAACGTGAACTTGATCCCTAGTAATTCAAATGACCAAACTTGTAATTTAATCTATATTTATGTAACTTTCTAAAATATAATTTATTAAAAAAAATAAACTAATAAATATTATTTTTCATACCCAATTTATCTTTAGTAACCATAATGATTACTAAATATTATTTTTCATACTCAATTTGCCCTTGGTAATCAGTAATCACCATAACCCAACCTCTCACCTCTCAGTCTACAGCCAACAGCCGAATAGCACTACTTGACCTCAATTATTGGTCTAACGGAGGATTGTTTCTATAATTGTCCTTGTCTTGCGAGGTAGGCAAAAGCTATAATAACTGATATAACCCACTTTCTATTATTGTTGATCTCGATCTCTTGTCTTGCCACGAGATTTGGTCAGTAATAATTGTGGTGTCACGCTTAATTAAAAATGGCGGGTGAAGATTTTGGCCGGGGCCGAAGAGATCTCCAATGACGTCTCACCGGATACGCTACGTATAATGAAGCCAAAGGTGCAATGCTAATGACATTCATGCAAGTTGAGTAAACTATAAGCAAATTGGTTCTCCATGCAGTCTCAATTCGAAGAGAATTACGTTTCTTGAAGCAAAGCTAACCGATTACTATTTCTGTAGCTGCGATTCATCGTTTGAAAATGGGAAGTTTAGAGTTTTTAGCTAGGTTGCGAGTAGAAGTGGAGTGAAAAAATGTGGATTCTGTTCGTTTTAAACACAATTACTTGGGCAAAAGCCGTAACCTGGGCCCATCATTTGCTGGAAACATGAAGTGAGAGTGATGCTGGTGGATGCAAGTGGGCACTGGTTGAGCAAAGGGGTTGGGGGTTAATGGTCCGATCACTTTAGCCTGTATATATGAAAAAAGTCATTATATTGTTCATATATTTATAAATTACATCAAATCTCATCTAACATTTGAGTAACAACCTATAATATTACACCAAAATAACATATCGTACCTAAATCCAAAATATAGTGAGAATTCACACACACTTACATAACATTAACATTCAAATGTTCAACTTAGAATTCCAAAGATTGGATTAGGTGGGAGAAAAAAACAGGAAAATAGGCACATTTCGCAAACCAAAGAAACAAAAAGACACAATTTGACCTTCAACCCGATACCTTGCAGCGATTGACCCGATACCTTCTCATCGGGTCAGAGTCAAAATAGATCAACCGACGGATCGATCCGCTTATAGCAACTCGTTCGATAGGTAGGCTTGGGTGTTTTCTTTGTTACGTATTATGGTTGTGTGGGTATTGGGTTTAGGTTATTGTTGGGTTAATTAGTGTTTAGAGTAGTCATTGGGAGCTAAGTCTCCGTTTATGTGTTGGGATAGGAGAGTGGCCGAGTTTGGGTATTGTTAGGGTTACGTATTAGATTTGGTTATCTATATATTGTAACTACGGCATTATTTCGATTAATCAATCAATAATAAACCTAAAAAGTCTTTCGACACTCTACGTCGTTCTCTCGCTTGTGAGTTACGAGCAAAACCCTAACCCGATAGCAACGAGTTGCTATCATCGATCCGCGCATTGACAACCTTAGACGCAACAGTACCACTCCACGGCTGGAGCCGGCCGCGCGGTGGTATTGTTGCTTCATATATATAACACTCTACTTACGAAGTGACATCGTGGTATTGTTTCATGTAGCATTGAACTAGTGAAGCCTATGCACGATCATGCTTCTTCATGTCGCACTGTACGGTCGAAGCAACACGTACGGTCATGCCTCTCCATATAGCATTCCACGGCCGAGCGGGCATGTTCATGCTGCTTCATGTAGCATTAATTCCACCGCTCGTGCAACATGATCCTCTTTGTAGCACCAACTGCACGCAATTTAATTACACAGAAGAGAGCTGGTAAGCATTACATATTCAATTCACTAGGAATAATTCCATAAATACACATAAAAGTAAAAACAAATTCCTAAACTACCACACTTATAAAAAAAATTACCAAAATACCTAAGTTTGAAGTGGTTCGAGTTTGAGAAACTCGAACTACTAACCGTTTCAAGTGTAGGAGACTCGATCTAGTCGTAGATTGATTATAGAAGTCTCGAACCATGTGGGGCTGAAGTGGTTTGAGTTCAGTGAACTCGAACCACTCCTTTGAAATTTCCAACAACCTTAACTTTGTGCTCGGTTATCCGATCGCAACAAACTTTTTTTTCATTTCGCATAACTTTTCGAGGACTACAACTTTTATAATAGAAATATTTTCAGAATATATGTGAAATTGTGAAAATTAAAGATAAATTTACTCCAAAACCCCTTATATTTAAAAATATTCCTATTTTGAGAATTTATTCCTAGTAAATGTTGTAGTACTCAAAAAATTATGCAAAATAAAAAAAAAACTTTGCGACGTTCGGATTGCGGAGCACAAAGTTATGATCCTCCAAAGTTTGACAAATTCAGAAATTTGCTTGTTTATGGGTAGCAAATGACGTTTTCTCGGAAGATAGCCATCCAAAAATTTCTCGTGTGGAAAAATATTGCTCTTTTGGCAGGAATTCCCTATATATAAAAAAAAAATTTCCATACCTTTGCCCCGAGAAAACGTCATTTGTTACCCCTAAACGAATATTAAAAAGAGAATATTTAGGGAATTATCCCAATTCACTAAGAGAATATTAAAAATTGACTCCTTACTATTGTGCATAGGACAACGCGCGGTAGCATTACCTTGAATGAATATTAAGATTCAAGTTGGCTAAGTAATAGCTTAGTTTGGTACAAGTTCTGCAGGGAGCACTTCTACTATGCTATATAGCATTAGTGCTTTAATGTACAACTCAAAGTTGTACCATAACATTAAATGTATAAGTTTAGGTTGTACCATAAAGCAATTTGTACCATTATGTTATGGTACAACTTTACAACTAGAAGTTGTACCTTCACATAAAGGTACAAGTTCAAGTTGTACCATAAAAGAATTTGTACAAAAAGTATAGGTACAATCTGAAGTTGTACCATAACGTAAATGTACAATTTTAAATTGTACCATAAAGGCAAAAACCTATAGCACCAATACTATATAGCATTGTAAAATTTCTCGTTCTGCAGGATGTTAAGATTCAAGTTGGCTAGCTTGAAAAGGGCTTGATCGCGCGGCCCTTGAGCTTTTCATTGATGAAAAGAAAGTTGCTCGCAGCTTCTCCGCGATTTTGTGGAGAGGCGTTTTGGAGCCAGAGTGGCATGATTTAAACTCACTCGCTTCATATTGATCGACCAAGAAATGGCCTAATCATCCGCTGGCCAAACAAACGGAAAGCTCTCTGTCTTAGTTTTTCTCCATCTAAACAAACGACCACGACAACCCAGAGCTCGTCGTTATCTTTCGCGCTCTTCCCTCCAGCTAATTGTGAAAGAAATACAACGTTCTGACAAACTTCTCTACCGCCGATGCAATCTCTAATACAACCTAGCTACCCAATTCACCTCCACTAAATTTCATCACCGCCTCTGTCCTCTTCAAAATCTCATCTTCGTATGATTGAACTCCGATTCGAAGTTCTCGATCTGAATTCCGATCGGTTTATTTGTTCGCTCTATCTTGGATTTTTTCCCCATCTAACCTCCAGGAACAAACGACCAGACCAATTGGTGGTCCAAGTGGTAAAAATATAAGGTATTTAAAATAGAATTGCTCCCTTAGTCCCTTGGCTTTATTATCGTCGTCCGGGCACTCGTCATAGCTAGTAGATCTCTTCAAAATATCCATGCCTCATTCTCCTAGTTATTTAACCATATTATCAGCACAATTATTGACCCAATCACTTTAAAATTAATGAAAGTTATAAGCAACAATAATAGAGAGATACTCCTACGTCACAATTAATGACCCAATTGCTTTATAATGTATAGAGCTTACAAAAGGAGAATGGAGGTCTTGATGCAGTTTTAGCAGCTAAGGCTAGATAATTAGTCCTGTAACCAAATCAGTAAGATCCTGTACCCTTCATTTGCCTTTGCTGCTTGCTCTAAAAATTTCAATTCTTTGGATTATTGGAATTTTTTTTAAAAAGTTTCATTGTTTGGTAACCGCGCAACGTTGAAAAATTCTATTTTTTTATAGCAAATGACATGTTTAGCCTTAAAAAGAATGAGAGCGACTCAATTTCCAAACTACTCTAATTAGATATTTTCGATTCTTCTGTGTGGCTGGCTGTATCTCTCTGTCAAGCATATAACTACGATTGCAATAGGTTTTATTTAAAACTAAAAAATTATCATGTATCTTCGTCATCAGTGGATTAATTTACAGGCATCCTCCTTCAAGCATTTTGGAACTAGCTAGTGGATTTGTCCGCCGTTGCAGTTGACATTTGTTATTCCTTTCTAATTGCAGTGGTTAATAATAGGGTAAAGTTCATATTTGGTCACTAGGTTTACTAAAAAGTGTTATGTTTAGTCACTATAAATATTTTATTTTAATGTTGGTCACCTGACTTAGTCAAAAAGTCCATGCATGGTCACTCGAATTAGTTAAACAGTCCTTGTTTGATCACTCGAATTAGTCAAATAATCCATGTTTGGTCACTAAAATTAGACAAACAGTTCGTCGGAGAGTAGGGGTGTTCAAATAGTGTGGTTACCATGGTAACCGTTTTAACCAGTACTATTTGGATAATTTGGTTTGGTTAATTTGGATAATTGGTTTGGTTTGGTTTGGTTGAAGTTCTTAGCTTGTTTGGTTTAGGTGGTTTGGTTTGGTTTCAGACACTTCTAACCAGCCAAACCAAATTAACCAGATAAATAATTAGCCATATATCTAATATATACACATACTTAATACTTTGAACAACCACTCAAGACTCAAGAGTTAAACATATTCATCCCTTTTAGACTCATAAAATATAAAGCTTGATATTGTTCCTATAATGTATATTTGTATATGTAGAGTGTAGACCACAACATACGACACCTAATTTAGATAAATCTCATACATTATGTTGGATGAAAACTTGAAAACAAGGTCCTTTTCAGCCTATGAAAATTGCTAAAAGACTAAGTCAATTCAAACAAACACAACAATTCATTAACCCATACCATTGTGATAAAATTTTGTTAGGTGAATACTTCTATACTAATCGTAAGATAATTATCTTAGTTGCATGTATTTATGTTAAGGATCAACTATAACTATGTGTTGATTAATATGTTTTATTCATTATATAAATTGTGAATTGATAAATTAATCGAAAATTTTCTCACTTAATGACAATGTGATTTTATATTGGTTAATCTGGTTAACCAATTAACCAAACCGATTAAACTTTAGTTTGGTTAATTTGGTTGTTGTATTAGTTTGGACGGTTTGGTTATGATGTTGTATTCCATGGTTAATGAAATTCAGCCTTATTTAGTTTGGTAATAACCATAACAACCATTTGAACACCTCTATCGGAGAGTGACCAACATTAAAATTAAATATTTATTGGAATTAAATATTTATAGTGACTAAACATGATACTTTTTAGTAAACTTTAGTAAACTCAGTGGCCAAACCACGAATTTACCCGTTAATTATATGTCGTACCCACAGCTAGTTTCACTCTTTCACCATGGAATTCCTCCGCGCCAAAAACATGATCTCTATCTCCTCCGTCGAACCATTCAACAATCTCCCCTGCCTCCTCACACTCGCAACCATTCTCACAGTCGCCTTACTCTTCATCCGAAACAATTCGAAACCCGCCGGTCGTCCAAACCTGCCGCCGGGGCCATGGCGGCTCCCCATCATCGGAAACATCCACCAGCTCGTCGGCCACCAGCAGCCCCACCGCCGGCTCAGGGAGCTAGCCCACAAATACGGCCCCGACGTGATGCGCCTCCAGCTCGGGGAGCTCTCCTACATCGTGATCTCAACCCCTGAAGCAGCGCAACAAGTGATGAAAACCCATGACTTGGCTTTCGCTTCGAGGCCTCCTCTGCTGGCACCGAACATACTCTTCGACGGCTGCAAGGACATCGCTTTCGCGCCCTACGGCGAGTACTGGCGACAGATGCGCAAGATCGGAGTCCTCGAGCTCTTCAGCGTCAAGCGGGTTCAGTCTTTCCGCCGCATAAGGGAAGAGGAGGTGTCGAATCTCGTTAGTGCTCTGTCTCTGTCGGCAGAGGCAGGGGAGGCTGTGGATCTCACCTCGATGCTCTCGGCGGTGACGAGCGCGGTCACGTCGAGGGCGGCGTTCGGCAAGGCCCCGGAGCTCAACGATGCTTTCATGATGGTTGTCGATAACATATCGGATGTGATTGCGGGTTTCAAGATCTCCGATCTATATCCTTCGTTCGAATCGCTCCCTGCTCTGACCGGGTACAGAGCAAGGCTCGATAGGATGCGAGACGCGTCGCATTCGATACTGGACCGGATCATCGAGGAGCATAAATCGAGGAGAAGAAGGGCGGGATTAATCGATGATGGTGAAAAGGAGGATCTGATTGATGTCCTTCTGAATTTTCAAGAAAACCAGGATCTTGGGATACCCATTACCAACGGAGTCATCAAAGGAGTCACTTTAGTAAGTATACAAATAACATTTACCAAATGCATCTATCCATGAACAAAACAGCAATTGTCACTTCGATTTTGGTCTCACATGTGCAATTTTTAAAAAAAAATAATTGGTAGGAACTGTTTCTAGCTGGCATTGAGACATCAGCGACGGCGTTGGAGTGGATCATGTCCGAAATGGTATTGAATCCTCTGGTACAGAAAAGAGCCCAAGAAGAGGTCAGGCAGGTATTCGGTGACTGCGGGAATAATGTCGACGAAGCGGGGCTTCATCGATTGAAGTACTTGGATATGGTTATCTCGGAAGGTTTAAGATTGCACGCTCCGGTCCCTCTACTTCTTCCAAGAGAGAATAGAGAGAAGGTGGAACTCGGTGCATATGATATCCCAATCAACACCAAAGTCATTGTGAATGCATGGGCAATCAATCGAGATTCTCGTTATTGGACCGAACCGGAGAAATTCTACCCCGAGAGATTCGTGAACGATTCCGTTGACTATAAGGGGACTGACTTTCAGTTCATACCATTTGGTGCTGGAAGGAGGATGTGTCCCGGAATGTCCTTTTCACTTGCGATTGTCAAGCTCACTCTAGCGAGTTTATTGTTTCACTTCGACTGGAGGATTCCAACGGAAATGGCACAAGAAGGTCTAGATATGACTGAAAGCTTTGGGTCGTCGTTGAAAAGGAAAAATGCTCTTCGTTTGATTCCAGTGCTATGTGATGGCATCGCCTGAAGAAGGGGGGAAAGTAACAAACGCAAAAATCTTCATTGCGAGAGCCTTTTACGTTCTTCGTTTTACTTCCTATCAGTATTTTATTCCTTAAGACTGTAATATGAAAGATTTTAAAGTGAGACCTTTCTCTTAATTATACCAAGAGTAAACTTTGGGTTGCTACACATTGTCGTATTCTTCTACGAAACCTGAGTTCTTGAATTTTTTTCAGCGGGTGCATCCGCCAAAAGTTCACTAAAATATTCACTCAGTTTTGGAAGAGAAACCCCAATAAACTCAATGGGTAGTTGTGGGTGCTTCATTTTTTGTTAGGTGGCCGAAGGAAGTCTGTTGGAGGAATATGATCAAAGGAATTCTATCAATAGAAAGAAAAGAATCCGCAGGAAAACGAAAAATGAGATAGAGGAAAGAAAAACTCCAGAACTTAGAATGACTGGCGTGTTTTGGACTGTAGAACGGGAAGAGGGGGAGTCGTGCCCATTCTCTCTCCGAGCACGAGCAGGAACATCCAAATTGAAGACCGAATACATGTACATGACGAAACGACATATTCAAAAATACGTGATCTGATTTGATAGGCTGCCTGCAGAAATAGTTTACCGACCGCATAACAATTCATTCTTGTGTATAGCGCGGGGGACATGTCACCCGGACGATCATAGTACGGCCGTTCATCTAATATCAAATCAATCGGTAGATAAATGTAATAAATGTAGGATTTAAAGTAAAAAAAGTTATGCAATTAAAATTGAGTTTTTAATTTCCTAAGGTGTAATTGATAAAAAAAGAATTCAATAACCAAATTATCTTTGGTATAGAGGGGTTGTCAAAAAAATTTGACAACCCCAGACTTGGGCCAAGAGGGTTTGCACGTTAACTCATCCTTCCAAGAAAACTATATGCTATATCAAGTGCATTAATACTCTAATACAACTTCAAGTAAGAAAAGTCAGTCATCTAGTGGTATTACCACGAGCATTCCGAGCCACCCAATAAGTCAAACCATTAAGTCGCCTCTGAATAAAATCCACCTTGATCCAAGGGGCTTCATGGAGGAGTAAAATGGTACATGCCAAAGTCGCCTGACATTGCCAAGGTTAGAGATCCGGGGCCTTCTTCAAAGTACTTTTTTTATTAAATGGATGCAAACACACCCTACCTTTCATCCAAAACCACCCGGGGTTCGGAGAGCCCCTGATATCGTACAATATCAAATTACAAAGGAAATCGGAAAGCGAAAACATGTGTAGTCCCAGGGGAACTGAATGCCCACAACTAGCAAGATAATCGGAACACTTATTACCTTCTCTGAATATATGGAAGATAGTCACATCCCATTGTCTGTGGAGTAGCTCATAAGCTCTATCCAGTATGGCTGCATGGTGATGCTCGCTGAAATCGGCACTCCGAAGCAGCTGATAAACACATTCGGAGTCGAGGTCCAGCCTAACATGTCTGAAACCAGCATCCCAGGCTAACTGAAGCCCTTCTACAACGCCCCTCAACTCTGCCTGGGTGATAGAGCAACATCCCAGGTTCATAGCAAATGCCCGAAGACATTTTCCATTGTGATCTCGAATCAGGCCACCAACTGCGGCATGACCTGTGCTATTGTGAACGGAGCCATCCGTGTTGAGGGTAACCTACTCTGGAGGTGGTGGCTTCCAATAAATCTCCACCTCCGTCCTATCGAGCGGATTAGGCTTGTGGAGTAGCCTATCATTGTCCAAGGCTTGCCTCACGACAGTTATCCATACCTGGACGCGCTGCAAAAAAGCTTCAGTCGTGGTGATCTTGATTGCAAAGTCTCGATCATTTCTCGTCTTCCAAAGAGACCAACAGGTAAGGCCAAAATCAAGGCCAGTGTGCTCATTTTTAAGGTTGTACTCGATCCAATCCTGTAAAGTAGCTCCAAAAAATCGGTGGTAGTTAGTAGGAGGGATAGTTTGCATCCAAGTTAACCTGGAAAAGTTGCAGTCCCGCAACACATGCATGACTGTCTCTAGTTCAGTGTTGCACGCTCCGCAGTGGGTCATCGTAGTAAACTTTCGTCGTCCGCATTCACTGTTGGTGAGCAGCCTGTCCGGCATCGCCAGCCACAAGAAATGGAGGACCATCTTCGGTCCTTTCTAGCTCCACACCGTCTTCCAGTCCACCATCGTCTCGCCCTCTACATAACTCGATGCCAGGTTGTGAGCATACCAGACGCTAAATTGTCCATTCACCTCCGCCCCCCAAATAGGCCGATCTTCACCCGCATCATTAATCGATGGCTGGGTCCCTGCAACTAGGGAGAGAATATCATCGGGCAAATAATCAACAAGGGAGGTGAGATTCCACATACATCGGTCAGCAAAAGCAACGACAGGGGTATTAGGTGCAATCGGTGGGCTGCCTTCCAACAAGTGGTCGATAAGCCGAACTCCTGGTGCTACCCACTGATCCATCCAAAAATTCGTAGTTGTTCCATCCTTTAGGCTCATCATCATACCCGCCTCCATCAACGGCCACACCTTCCTAATTCCCAGCCGCAAATTTGATGCTCGAGCCATCGATTTCGCAACCATGGCACCGTTAACGGTCTTGAAGTATTTAGCCTGTAAAACCTGCACCCACAACTCATCCGGATTTTTTAATTAAATTCCAAACTAGCTTAGGTTGAGCTCATGAGCCTTTCTGAAACCGAGGCCTCCATCACTCTTTGTCTGGCAAACACCATCCCTGTGGACAAGATGGACTTTTCTGCCGTCTGTCGAGGAGCCCCAAATGAACCTACGAACCCGACGGTCTATCTCGTCACAGATTGAGATGGGGACAATGGTGGTCTGCATCACATAAGTGGGGAGTGAGCTAGGCACTGATTTTGCCAAGGTAGTCCGCCCTGCAAGCGATAGGCTGGAGGCCTTCCATCCTGCAAGTTTATTGTCAAGATGGTCCAGAATATATTTATAAGTTTGTGTTTGTTACCCGACCGTGTAGCACCGGGACCCCCAAGTATCGACCAAGATCATGTGTCATCGGGATACCCATCTGGCTGGCGATAATAGTACTCCGCTGCCTCGTGACGTTCGCCGAGAACAAGACGGACGATTTCTCCTTGCTAACTTGTTGTCCGGAAGCTAGACTGAACCGATCCAGGCAATCCATGACAACCTGTCCCCGTTCCTCGCTAGCTTCTGCGAATAAGACCAGGTCATCTGCAAAGAAGACATGAGAGAGCGTCAGTCCTTCTGGTGAGGTCCGTACCGACTTCCATCTTCCTTCTTTCACCGCTCCCTGAATTATATGGCTCAGTCTCTCCATGCAGAGTGTGAATAGGTAAGGCGAGAGCAGGCACCCCTGCCGGAGTCCTCTAGAAGGACTAAAAGAATCCGTGCAGCTCCCATTCCAAAGTACCTGCATAGACATAGAGGTTACACACTCCATAATCACTTCAATAAAATGAGATGGAAAGCTTGCCTCCACCAGAGTTTCCTTGATAAACTGCCAGCTGAGTCTGTCATAGGCTTTTGCTAGGTCAATTTTGAGGACCATCTGCCCCTTCCTTCCCTTATTTTGTCCCATGGAGTGTACCACCTCTTGAACTATGACAATGTTGCTCGAAACATGTATGCTCAGGACGAAGCTAGTCTAGGACGGATGCACCAGCTCCCTCATTAGAGGTTGGACCCTTTGCACTATACACTTTGGAAGGGTCTTGTAGGCAACATTGCAAAGGCTTATGGGCCAGAACATCTTCATCGAGTCAGGGCTCTCGCGCTTCGGGATAAGAACAAGGAGTGTCTCATTTACAGTTCGGATCAAACACGCCTCCTTGAAACACCTGGAAACAAACCCAACAAGAGCCTCTCCCACCGTTCCCCAACACTTCTTGAAGAAGAGAGGTTGAAATCCATCCTTTCCCGGTGCTTTGAAATCTCCCATGCTCTTCAGAGCATAACTAACCTCCTCGCCGATGATATCCCGCTCCAAGCTCCCATGCTCTTCAGAGCATAACTAACCTCAATGCACGGAAATCCCCCTGGCAACTCCTGAGCAATGTCCGTGTCCGCTTTATAGAGCATATGAAAGAACTCTATCACCAATCTCTGCAGAGCTTCCTCGTCCTGGATCCATTCCCCCGAGTCATCGTGTAGAGCCAAAATCTTGTTGAACCGTCTACGCTTGAGAGTTGAGAGGTGGAAGAAACGGGTATTGTGATCTCCTTCATTAATCCACAGTACTCTCGATTTTTGGAACCACAATAACTGCACCTGCCATAAAGTGTCTTCCAGTTCTCGTCGCACTGTGTTCTCCCTTTCCAAGGATTCTTGACTCGCTAGCTGCTCATTTTTAACCTCAAGCTTCCTAAGCTGTGCGATTAGCCTCCGCTTCCTCTCCTGTATGTGTCCGAACACCAATCTATTCCATTGTTGCAATTCAGTGGAAAGTCCTGCAAGGGCTTCCAGTAGGACCGCATCCCCCCCGTCAGCTATCATGCAGTACATGTTCGAAATCTTCATGCACCAGCACTATCCACGGTGCTAGGAACTGAAAAGGTCGGTTCCCGCGACTTGATCTCTCCGCTGCCTCGGTTTGGATAAGAATTGGTTGATGATCTGAATCAATCCTCTCAAGATGCCAAACCGTTGTTTTGGGATAATTTGTCAGCCATCGTCGGTTAGATACTGCTCGATCCAGTAGTTGATATAACCCTCCTCGCTTCCAAGTAAATCGGGGTCCCGAAAATCCCACATCGAGGAGGCCACAGTCATCAAGGCAATTCCTGAAAGCCCGGGTTCGAGCTTCTTGGTAAGGAACTCCTCTCTTCCGATCATCCGGTCCCAAAATGGAATTAAAGTCGCCTGCCAGTAGCCAGGATTGGTTAGTGTTCCGACACACTCCCTGAATCTCCTCCCACAGCTCCTAACGTCTAGCTGCGTTTGGGCTGGCATAGATTGCCGAGACAACCACCGCCTCACTGACCTGCTCCCACAACTCATGTGGATCATCTTAGCTGAGGCAGACAGCTGGGTTACGTCCAGATCAGTTTTATGCCAAAGTACCAGAATGCATCCTGTAAAACCAACAGCGTCAACACCCAGCAGGCCATCAAAAGCGGTACGATCAATCACACCACGCGCAATATCACCACTAATACGAGGTTCACTATGAAAACCAAGTCTGGTCTAGACGATCTACAAAACGAAGACATATAAGCTAGAAAAGAATCACTACCTGCCCCATGGCAATTCCAAGCTAATATACTTAACATAAAAAATATGTAGAAAGGAAAAGGACTTCCCTAGGACGACGTTACTAGCAGGGCTCTGTATGGGACAGAGCACCTTCTGGTGGATGACATTCACGAAGGGCCTGCCCTCCTAGATCGACTTTGAGGAGCCCCTGCTGCGTTCGCTTTACTGGTTGGCGACTGGTAGTCGTCGCACCACTATAAACTGGCAAATTTAGGGTCGCGTCTTATTCAAGGTTGTATTGTCTAGAGCCTGTGGATTCTGAGCCTGCCGCCCCTGCTTTGCTTGTCTTCCCCCCGGCTGCTTGGATTTGGTTGAGGAGTTCGGTTTACGTTGGCCCTCTTCTTTACTCGGCTTACCCATTTTTTGAGCAGGCCCAGCAACCTTGGCCGCCATTACCTTGTTACCATTCACAGGCTTTGCGTAAAAGGCAACATATGTTCCCACCTGCACGACTGGAACGGTCACCAGGCTGTTTCCACTCTCAATCCCTCTGATGCCTGCAGACCTCCCCCATGTGGTGTCTCAAGTTGGGTCATGTTGTTGACTACTTGCTGAGATGGTTGCTCTGAAGCATCCACCTGAGTAGGACAGATATCTTGGGCCGCAAACTGAACTGCATTGAGAATTGTAAACGCTTCCGCTTGAATCAGATAGGAACAAAAGAAAGTCTATACCTTTCCGTCTAACATCTTACCATGATAATTAGCAATAGTAATCCCATACACAACCATTTTCTAGTGATTTAGTAGATAGAAATGTCATTGAGTGAACAAATAGATGCAAATAATCAGAGAACTTTATTTTCCAAAAGTATATCATAACCCCACTTTCTATTATTGATTTGACGAAAGATTATTTTTATAACTGTCCTTGTCTTGCGAGGAGGTTTAGGGGAACGGATCAGGTCAGTAACCCTATGTTCAGTAACCATGAGTAACCTCTCCACATCAGCATGACATCAGTATCCTCTCTCTCCTGGAAAGTCTTTTATCTATTCCCCTTTAATCTTTAACGAACGATTTCTCTCTTGTTTTAAGTCAAAAAATTTTTTGCACAGATAAATCAGATTAAATGTGCTCTTTAAAATGATATCCACTTTGATATATTTTTAGTACAAAAAATTGAATAATTTTTTATCAGTCATTACCATATGGTATGCTCCTATTTAATACCATATGGTAAGAAAGCGTACCATGATGGTATGAACATACCAATATGGTAAGAAAGTTGAATACATGATAGTAGGAGTATACTAACTATCATTTACGACTGTCATCATTGTTTACTACAAGTTACCACAAGTTACCACCCACATACCATAGTGGTAAAGTATGGTAATTTTTTATCCAGTATTTTTTTCACCCAGAAATTTATAGATCCAATAGATCATGATGAACTCGTTCCTTTGGAGCAAACGTTTCAAAAACGACTTAAAAATGAAGAAGTTATCATATGGTATGTAGTTGGTAAAAAAAAGTTTCTCGAAATATATTGAAAAGTGATCTCATTTTGTAGAGCACAACGAACTCGTTCCATCTGTACAAAAAAAAAAATTTGAAATCCGAATTAGAACGCAGAAGATAAGAGCCAATTAAGAAAACTAGGGAAAATAAAATGCCTTTAATTGACAGCCCTTAGATATGAATTTTCTGTATCCATTTAGATCTAAAGGTCCAGATTTAATTACTCATATGTCAGTAACCAATGGTTATTGACCCTATCCTAAGCCGAGGTTTAGGCAAATTGCAAAAGACATAATAGCTGATATAACCCACTTTCTGTTAATGTTGATCTCTGAAACTCTGTGTATAGAAAAAAAAAATGGCGATCCTTTGTTATATATACAATAAAATGTAGTAGGTTGTGCAGTTATATATACAATAATGTACCGTTTTTCATTCTATCACAATCCGTAGTAGGTAGTATATATATACAAATGTATGGAAAACTACATTTTCAAGTGATTTAGTCAATAATAATTGTGGTGTCACGCTTAATAGAAAAATGGCGGGTGAAGATTTTGGAGCCGAATAGATCTACAATGACGTCTCACGGAACCGTGACCTACAATGAAAAGCCAGAAAGGTGCAATGCTAATAACATTTGACATATTGGGTTTGTCTAATGCAGGGGCGGAGCTAGGTGGGTCTTCGGGCCCCGGGCCCCGGCCCCCTCGAGAATTTTGAAATCATGTATAAAATTATCGAATTTAGGGTAAATTACGTATAAAATGAAGGTTGTTTAATAAATATATGTCGCGTACATCTATAGAACATGAATCCGAAGGTAGTCTAGCGGAAATGACATTGCATGTTTCTCTAATTAACCTAGGTTCGAGCATGGCCGAAGGTAAAATTTTACGTTTTTAAACTTGTTATAATTTTTTTTTTCGACAATAAGCTTTAATGTGATGTAACCGAAGGCAATTACTTTCATAGTTTGTAATTACATGTCAAGTGCTTTGAAAGTAGTTCAAGTAACTTCTTCAATTTTTAAATTCTTATTTTTAAAAAATCTCTTACTTATATATATTAATCATTGCATTTAATCCTATAACTTTCTTAATTTGTGTTTATAAGTCATGTGACTTCAAAATAGATCAAGTACTTTTCTGGCTTTGAAATTTGTACAGATTTCTGTCATAGTCTGTAAAAAAAAAAAAAACACTAGAAGGGAATAACCACGACAATGGGGGACAAATCTACAGTCAATTCATGAGTTTGAAATTTGTATAGATCTCTTCATATCATGTACTTTAAGACAACAATTAGTATTGAGGATCGTGAGCACATGAACACGTGACCTCAAAGACAACGCATCTCTAATGCCGTGTCATAAACCAATTGGTCCCAATAACTCGATTTTTTGGAAGAGGTTCATGTTTGTACTTAAAACTTGGTGAAAGTTGTGGTATCCATATATATATATATATATATGGTGGCTACTTCGGTGCACTCACTTTTTTGGGTGCATTCAGTGCACCCACCTCTAAAAGTAGTCATAATACATCAAATTTTGAAATTTAATGGGTAGCATTAGTCTCATATGATGATATAACACAAAATCACAACTAATCAACCCATTACCCTAACCTATTAACATTCAATTTTGAATCTAAACATAAAATCCCAAATTGTAAACCCTAACCCTAAAGTCCTAAACCCTAAATCATTCAAATTAAAGTGAATCTTGAATGATTTTTGTACAAATTCATGTGGTTCTTGTTCATCATACTACAAAGGATGATTGACATTGTTTTCACATGAATCGTCTGCTCAGAATGACGATTATGAGGCGGGTGCATTGAATGCACCCAAAAAAGTGAGTGCACCGAAGACATAACTATAACTATATATATATACCAAACACAAGAATTGAAAATCAAAATCGAAATAGAAGTAGTGGAATTGTATTTCCATTTATTATAATTGATTTCAACTATTAGTTTATGACGTAGGATTATCTCTCTATTATTATTATTATTAATGTCGCTTATAGCTTACATTAATTTTAAATCAATCAGGGCGATAATGGTGCTGATATGGTTGATTAATTAGGAAAATGAGGCATGGAGATTTTCAAGCTAGCAAACCAGATCTATTAGCTATGACGACATTGACGAGTGCCCGGACGATGACCCCAGAATAAAGCCAAGGAGCAATGATGTTTAAAAACCTTATATTGTTACCACATCAAGCCATCAATGCATATTAGGAGTATCAAAAGAGAGAGAGAGAGAGAGAGAGAGAGAGAGAGAGAGAGAGAGAGAGAGAGAGAGAGAGAGAGAGAGAGAGAGAGAGAGAGATTGAGAAGGTCGTCGATGGTGCCGATAATGGAACTGCAGCATCTAATCATCTCTTTCTTCAACACCTTCCTCGTCATCGTCTTCCTAACCATATTCCTCATCGCTGCACTCAAAAGTCTGAAAAGGTCAAAGAAGTCATCATCGCCGTTGTCGTCCGTCCCATTACCTCCAGGCCCATGGAAGCTGCCCATAATAGGAAATCTGCACCAGATGGTTGGGCCCCAGCAGCCGCACCGCCGGCTAATGAACCTGGCAAAGAAACACGGCCCAATAATGCACCTTCAGCTCGGGGAAACCTCCAACGTCTTCGTCTCTTCCCCCGAGCTCGCCAAGGAGTTCCTCAAAACCCACGACCTCAACTTCGCCTCCAGGCCCATCTTCCCCATCGCCGGGATCCTTTCCTACGCCGGCCGGAGCATTTCGTTCGCGCCCCACGGTGAGTACTGGCGCCAGATGAGGAAGGTTTGCGCTCTCGGGCTGCTGAATCCCAAACGAGTTGCCTTTTTCCGGCCAGTCATGGAGGACGAGATCGGCAAGTTGGTCGCCTCCATACAGCTGCAGCAGCAGGTCATAGTTACTATATATATTCTATTTAATACGCGTATATATAAACGTACATACTACTATTTTTATGTATTTAAAATTTGGATTATAAGTATAATATATATATATATACCTCTTTATTACGCAATTTTGTCAAAACATGTTCTACTTTACGAAAATCATCAACATGCCCTTATTTTAAAATATGCAACAGGTTGCTACAAACGTTAGCCGAATGCTCATCTCGCTGGGGAACGCTGTCGTTTCAAGGGCAGCTTTTGGGAAGCTGCAAAAGCAAGAGGAAGCCTTCTTACCCGTCTTCATGGAGATGGCAGAGGCGTATGGAGGATTTGATGTGGGGAGCATATTTCCGTCCAGCAAGTTACTCCGCCGACTCACCGGAGCCGAGAGACGGGCACAGAGGATTCACAATGAAGCAGATGCCATCCTCCAAGCTATAGTCGATGAGCATATAGCAAGGATAGAAGCTCAAGGTCATGATGTTGATGAGGCAGCTGAAGATCTTGTTGACGTGCTTTTGAAGTACAAAGAGAATCAAGGACTTGGGTTCCCTTTCACTAATGTCGAGATTAAGGCGGTCATCTCGGTAAGTACAAGTACGCATGTGTGTGGTATAAGATTCATTACTGAACCTATTCTACCAACTCGAGTAACTGGAACCAGCTGATTTCTGGTACATGCGCATATGTGTCTTTTACAAAAGAACATGTTTTGAATTCATAGAGTACTTCTCTTTATGGAAACGATAAAATTTATGCATAGTTGTTTTTTTTTTATTGAACGCGCAGGACATCACTCTTGGTGGCAGTGAGACAGCAACTACGACCGTGGCATGGGCTATGTCCGAACTGATGAGGCATCCACATATCTTGGAAAAAGCAAACAAAGAGGCGAGGCAAGTTTTCGATGGAAAAGGAACAGTGGACGAGGCAGGACTTGCTGAGTTAAACTATCTCAAGTCGGTTGTGAAAGAAACTCTGAGACTGCACCCTCCTGCCCCTTTGTTAGCTCCTAGGGAATGCCAGGAAAGGGTTGTGATAGCTGGATACGACATACCCGAAAAAACAAGGGTCTATATCAATGTGCTCGCAATCGGCCAAGATCCTTGTTACTGGGCTGAACCAGAGCAGTTTTCTCCGGAAAGGTTTCTCGATCGTCTTGATGCCAGCGATTACAAGAGAACATGTTTTGAATTCATCCCATTTGGTGAAGGAAGAAGAATGTGTCCGGGTATCCTCTTCGGCTTAAATTTTACCGAACTTCTGCTTGCTAATTTGCTCTATCATTTTGATTGGCAACTCCCAAATGAAACCAACCCTCAAGACCTCGACATGTCGGAATGTTTTGGCCTTACCGTGAGAAGGAAAAATGATTTGTATCTCATTCCGATTCCCTACCAACCTAAAACCGTGTAGTTGTACTTTATGCCTTATGGCCATTAAATCATCTGCACCAATAACATGTGCAATTTCTTGCCCTGATTAATTAGGATGTTCTTCAGCCAATTAGTTTGTTTGGCTCATCTGCTTTTGTTTGTTTGGCGGATTTCTCGAAAATATAGAACTTCCTTATATATAATCTTATTTTTAAATAACAAATTAATTAAAATATTGAAGAAATAAATGTGGTTTCACTGTATTAATGTCATCGGAGATATCTCACAAGTACCTCAAAATTAAGGACTTTGCCATGATGACTTGCAAGTCACCTTGATTTGGAGAAAACGATCTACCTCTTTCACTAATCGATCGAGCACTTGTCAAAATATCGGTCTACCGCTTCTACCATGCAGTCTAGCTCTTCTACCAAGTGGTTATCTTCCATAAAGGGGAACAACCTCTATGGGATGGGTGGCATCAAAACCCTAGTCCGCACCCCTGGCTCGATTGGCCACCCCATACCGGGTTGCTATTACAGGGTTCATATGAAGATATCCACATATGCCCTCCTTTCAGGCTGTGAATATGCGACGACTGGTCAAAAGAAAATGTACGATGGCGTAATGGTGACACCTTCACATCCGTAAAAAGAAGATTTGGTATGCTTAAGGCTTACCAAATCCGAAGAGTTAGAATCTTTAGATTGTTGACAATCTATAGATTTAAACTCATATTTTTCAAACGACCCTTTAGTTCCTTCCATATCTAAACCACGAAGGAGCTTATGTGTCATGACACAAGTAGAGACCACCCATCCTCGATCCATACACATATAACAAACATCCACAACACGAAGCAATCATTCAACATCCATCTCCTCTAATCCTTGATCAATTGTATGATAAGTTGGATTAAAGTATGAATTATATCCTGATGAGATAAGATTCCTGATAACTAGTGTGCTATTATTTAGGGTGTTATTGGTTACTATATATATTATCATCATAATACCTGCTACAAATGAGCCAGCCATCTTTTGGCACTGCTCCTTGGCTTGATTGTAAGATCGTTGTTTATGGCTGTGTGCACTCGAGTCATAGTAGATATCCTTTGCTTCAAAATCTTCATTGGTAGTTTTATTAACACACCCTCTCAAACGAAAGCCACCATATACGGACGTGAAGTTTGCACAAGTCCGGACAGGACACCATGTGCTCAGTGGCGGATCCAGGACACGGTAGAGCACTGGGCCGCATTTCATTAGAAAATTAGATATTGTAAAAAAAATCAATGTTTTTTTTACATTATCAATTGTACACGTCGATCTATTAAAATTTAATGTAGTGAATTCATCAATAATGGAGTCTACATCCATACCAATAACATATTTTCTTTCAGATAAAATAGTTAACCAATCAACGAAAAATTCATCGCTCATTTTGTTACGCAATAATTTTTCACCTATATTATTGTTGAAAAGCTCTCCATAATAGTTGTTGAAACGAGCAATGTCAACACTAGACAAATCAATCGATTAATCAATTTGTATTGTGTGTCAATCTCTATTTCCACTACCTACTTTAGTAATTTTTCAAGGGAACAAGCCTCGTATTTCTTTTGGTCTTTTACGTTTTAGACTTTTAGAATATTATGTTTCATTGTTTGTTTTTCTTTAGACGAGAATCATTGGAGCTAGAATTTTCAGGATAAATTTAGAATTGTGATTTGAATATGTTCATCTGACCCATTTTTCTATTTGCACATAATTTTATTATAAAATAATACTGGGCCGAATGACTAAAATCGATAAAATCATAAGGACTATACTAGCTCCGGATTCAGAGGAGGGCTGGGCCGTGGCCCAGGGTGGCCACTCATGGATTCGCCACTGCATGTGCTTAACAGAAACATATGGGGTTATCGGGATTCGAACAAAAGATGACCTCTCGATCACAGAAAGCTCTGAAACCATGTCAAGAACCAGTTGATTCCAATAACGGAAGTGAGAGAAAGAGAGAATTTTAATTAATAGATTTTTGTAACTACCTAAAATGTAATTTATTAAAAAATTAATTAATATAATTTATTTTTCCATACCCAATTTACCCTTTGTAACCACGGTGATTACTACTTTGTAGTAATCACCGTAACCTGTCCCAACATATACAACTACCTAATCAAATCATTTCCGATACTATGCCAAAAATCTGTTGATGTCAATAATTCGAGTTGTTAGGATAAGACTAATTATGAATCATATATCACTCTCTTACGTGGATAATGTCAAGAACCAGTTATTAACACACTCTCTCAAACGAAAGCCACCATATACGGGCTTGAAGTTTGCACAGGTCCGGACAGAACACCATGTGCTTAACAGAAACAGATGGGGTTATCGGGATTCGAACAAAAGACGACCTCTCGATCACATAAACCTCTGATACCATGTCAAGAACCAGTTGATCCCAATAATTCGAGTTATTGGGAGAGGTTCATGTACCATTTTATTGACAGATAACATAAAAAAAATATATGTGACAAGGGGAGCGGTTTGGCTATATATATAGCAAGTGGCAGAGAACGATTTGCATAGTTCTGGTCACTGCTGCTTTGCCCCAAAAAGAAGAGGAGGAAGAGAAGAGATGGCCGCCACCGCCGTCGTCGCCGCCGCACTCAAAAGCGCTTCTGACCGGCGAACTATGGATTATGACCCAACTGTGTGGGGTGACTTCTTCCTGACCCACGTCCCCCAAACTGTTGAGGTAACCTTAATTAATGTATAAGAAGCCATGATGAATTAGCTAGCTAGGTTTAATTAGCTGCTGAACGTATGTGTTAATTAATCAATGTTGCTAATTAGTGACATGTATACATATATGTAGGTGGTGAAGGCTTGGGAGGAACAAATCGAAGTGCTGAAGCCAGATGTGAAGAGGAGATTATCAGCTCCGATAGACCATTTAGCAGAAAGGCCGAATCTCATCGATGTAGTTGAGCGACTCGGCCTCGACTATCATTTTGAAGAAAAAATCGACCATGTCATGCGACAGCTGGTTCATCAAAACAACAATATTGACGATACTGACGATGATCTCAACACTGTGGCGCTCCATTTCAGACTGCTAAGGCAACACAGTTACAATGCCCCAAGTGGTACGTACACACACAACTTCTAAACCACTGTTATTGTTGCTTGTCTGTTAGTAACATATATCGATCGGTCAATCACTAACATTTGGTGACATGTTAAATATGAAGATGTATTCTACAAGTTCAAGACGAATGGAGGAGGGTTCAAGGAAGAGATGGTGAATGACATAGAAGGGATGTTGAACTTGTATGAAGCTGGATATCTAAGGATCAAAGGGGAGGGTGTATTGAACGAAGCTATTGAGTTCACAAAGTCACATCTGACTGCAAAAGCTGCCGAGTTAGAGTCCCCTCTCGCAGGCCGAATCGCTCGTGCTTTGAAAAGACCGCTTCGGAAGGTAACAGATAAGTGTGAGCACCTGTTTTTCATCTCGTTTTACGAGAAGCTCGCGAGCCACGACCTAGCCCTCCTCAGACTGGCCAAGTTGAGCTTCAACGTGCTGCATAATTTGTACCAGACCGAGCTGCGAACTCTCACCAAGTAAGTTCACTTGTAACAACGTATTAATTTATTATTCGGACTATGTATCTTCTCTTCAATTACCTTATGAATGGATGATTTCAGGTGGTGGCTGAAGTTGGATACTCCAACGAACCTGCCCTATGCAAGAGACAAGCTGGTGGAGCGCTATTTATGGGCTTTGGGAGGACCGTGGGAGCCCAAGTATTCTGTAGCCAGACAGTTGGCTGCCAAAATGACTCAATTCGGCACGCTAATGGATGATGTAGACACCACATTTTGTCCGGAACATTCATGCTAGTTATATATATACATAAACAACTAATTGTAGCATCACAATGATATTTGGGGAAGGAAGTTTGAAATAATTTGGTTAAGACTAGCAGTAGCAAGTCAATATGAACCCCGCTCATATACAATCCAAGAATCAATTCGAATGGACACGAGGATAAGTACTATTTTGAAGCTTAATACGCTTTAGGTTTGGGTTTGAATTTGAGCATTGGTTTACAATGCATAGAAGAAAAGAACAAATCAATAAATACAAAAAACATACTTCGCCATTTTATTTCTTCCATGATACATTTGATCGGGAATTACATAGATAACAAAGGAAAGATAGTAATTAAATATATGCAATTAAAAGACCACTCCTTTATAAACCGTGGACCTGCAACAGAAGAGAAGAACTAGTCAGTTCTCAAACCCATACACCAGGTCCACAATTTAAGCCCAAACCAAAGTAGTTCAAGTCCAAGAAGTATAAAGCCAGTTTCTTTTCAAGCCCAAACATAAATCAGATCAGGCCCAACTCGGCCCAAACCCGACAGGCCCAACTCGGCCAACTGGTTCGATCCAGAGACCAGCCCAACAATCCGACCCAGACCAGTTTGGTCTAACCAAATCCTATCTACAACCGACCAGGCACACTCTTCAAAGTCATATTAAAAAAAATTGGACGAATCAAATAGTGACAAGTGGCGGTTTGATTTAGCTATAAGTAGAGCTCTTCAGCTCTTGATTTGGGGGGACGAAAAAAAGACAGAATGAGAAATTTCTAAACACACTGATTTCTTCATTACAACAGCAAACTCAGTCAAGAAATCTCAGGGGAGCAGCAATCAACGAAGTGTTCTTCGAGCAGAAATCCCAACAAGGTTGGTGCTTTTAACTCTACTTCCATGATTCGCGATTTATTTCATCTCATCTAGCATCGCTTTTACTCTATCGTTGTAATCGTCCATCAACTTGCCTACTCATATTAAAACGATTTACTTCGTGCAAACCCCTTTTCATTCAAGCGCTCTATTTATTCATACCAAGTTCACTCATGTAATTTCTTTTCGGATTAAGATGAGTTCAATTAAGCGCCTCCATGCTTTTACATCAATTTCTTATTTAAGTTTTGTCGATTGATTAGAATACTGACTATAACAACTAACAGTAGAAAGTAAAGTAGACAAACTTTAAAGAACCAAAACCTTTTTCTCTTTCGTATATTGGGGGTTATGATAGGTGTGATCTGGATCCAATAGGATCACCCTACATAATTATATTTCATATTTCGAACTCCACTTTGGCAAAGTCACAAGCAGAGGCAGTGATTTTTAGTTGCCAAAATTATCTATTTTAGAGCATATTAATTACTTCCCAGTTATAGAAAATTCATTTTTTTTTCTTTTCTTTGTCATTTTTAGAAAAATCTAGCATCCCACGAGTTACTTCTAAAATTATCCATCAAACCACCAAGCATGAAAACATTCGAGATCATCAAACGCACATACAACATATTTTCGAACCACAGATCTGTAGGCTAAATCTAAACCGCACACAATCCTTTCCATTTTTATTTTTTCAGTTTAACCTCCCTAGTCATACCAAAACCGAAGTTAGAAGAGCCTTACCCAGATCTGGATTTATTTCTCAAACCTACAAAAAAGAACGAACTAAATTAATTATTTTTGTTGATAATAAAAATGATAGATTAACATATATTAAGGAGCCGAAGTCCTACCTTTTTTTTTTTTTTTGGAGACGAAGATCGTCATCGGCAGGATCTCGCCGCCGACCACATCCAAAACACAAGAAAATGAAATAAATATTAGTCGAATCCCAAATAAATCACCTAAAACGAATTGAAAAGATTTTGCATGTCAAGAATCTTACCTAGTTCGTCTATTTCCGATCGAAATAGGGAGGTAATAGTCATCCTTTTGCCTGATTCCAAAGAGGAGTCTTTCCTCATCTTCTTCCTTTTTCTTCCTCCTCACCGAAACCAAAACCCAGAAACCCTCGATTCAAAGAGAAAAAGGAAAGGTCAGAATCCCATAAAAAAAACAAAAGTCCAAAGAAAAGAAACATGCATGTCGAGTTTTTACCTTGATCGATTTCCCCCTTCACCGTCGATTAGGATTCCCAGTCAGACACGAGAGCGATGGCGGATTGAGGGGGTAAGAGTAGATAGCGACGGTTTTGGAGAGAGGAGGCTAGGGTTTCGGTCTGTGGAGAAGAGAGGGATGAGGGCGGCGGCTAGGTTTCTCTGGAGAAGATGAGGACGAGAGGGAGAAAGGCGAGGGTGAGAGAGAGGCGGAGGGTGAGGTTGGCTAGGGTTTCCTTTTTTTTCTCTGAGAGTGAAGAAGAGAGGCGAGAGTTAGAGAGAGGAGAGAACGGCGGACAAAAAATGAGAGGAGAGAGGTTGAGCGGCGGCCGCTAGCTCTGAATAGATAGGGTTTGATTTTTTTCGACCTAAGAGATGAATATATACCCCCTAATTTTAAATGACAAAAATGCCCTTAGGGTTTCCAAATATTAACGCGGCCGTGCCACCGCGTTTTTGGGTAATTACCACAATACCCTTTCCCCTTCTCTGCTCTAAAACGCGATAAACAAAAAATTTGTAGTTAGCGCGTTTCGAACCCTTGTTCTCTCGGTTAAACGCGAATTTGGTCTGGCGTTTTAGCCAGTTGGGCTGCTGGCCCTCATGCGTCAATATTATAATCCCGTATAGTTTTATTCATTTAAAATCCTTAATACGAAATGTAGAATTGCGGATTAAGTATATCTCGTTTCTTTTCTAATACATCAAAACTCCTCTTAATAATTGAAATTATTACATTATCTTTTTATAATTTCATAATACCAACCTAAATTTTACTAACAATAAATTTTGATACGAGAACCACGATCAGTGGAATGTGGTAATAACTTTACTTAAAATATTCAAAGTCCTAGCGAACTACGTGGACTTTGATCCCGTCTAACGGGTACGTAGGCAACCAATAAGGTTCGAGTCCAATTAATCAACTAACTTTATCTCTAAATCTTTACGTCAGTGGGCGTATAATTAAATTACAACTAATATGATTAAATCATTAAATGGTCCAGTGGGACCCCTAAAATTACAAATTATTACTAAAATACACCCAACTCGTATAAAACTTATCGACTTAAGTAGTACCGATTTAGGGCGTTGTGGGGGTGTTGCTTAACTTCCCCACACGTAACCGTACTCCCGAACCCAGAACTTTATTTTCGCAGACCATGCCTCGGTTCTGACACTAAGGTTAGAGCCGATTTGAAGAGTGTTCGATCCACTCCAACTAAGATCGATGGCGACTCCCAAAAAAACGCCGACGCGACGACATACGGACCCCCCGGACGGGACGGTTGCGACAGTTGGCGACTCCGCTGGGGAGTTCGAGAGTCGAGCTACATAATTAAGTTCGATAAGTTTTCTATTTTCCTATCAAATGTTGGGTGTTTACTTTCTTATTTGCGCAATTATATTTTCGCAATTTAATTCTGCATTCATGCATAAAAGCTCTATACCCGAGCTATCCTATTAGAAACGGAAAAGGAGTACCGTGACTTTCACAGTAGTGGAAAGCACGCAAAACTTTCCAACCAAGTTGAACTCAGATCCGAGGTTGATCTTGAGGTATCCAGCCAGTTCGTAAGGGCTGTGGCAGGATACAACTTGGGAGCCAAATCCCTAGGAATCCCTCTGCCAGCATATAGTAAGCATAGAGGCCTCCCTAAACCGTCCAAAATAATCCTGAGACAACCCTAGCACCACGTCATTATGCCCTCTGAAAGCCCTAGGTTTTCCCAAATAGGGTTATATTTTTATTATCTATATATGTGTGTTTTCTAACGTGATAACTTATAGTATGTTCTCCCAAGTGCAATATATTTATTTGTGAGAACAATGTGAATTCTCTTTTCTTCTTTGAAAAAAATAAACTCATAAGCATCATTCTCTTTTTGTGTTTTCATTTATGCATTTAAAATAAATTATGAAAACATTTTCAAAATGCACGTGCATCTGTGCATCGCATAAGCATCATACATACTCTCCATGGTTCTTTCAAGTCAATTTAATAAAAGTAATTGGTCAGGGTTCCTTAAAATTGCTCGTCCACAAGGAAAAAATCAAGACTTTAAGTACTTAACTAGATCCAAGCTCGCGGTCGTCATGGAGGCATTTCAAAAAGAGTTGAACGACATCAAAGGAAAGCTGACCGGGTTTGACGAGAAGCTAGTGGGGTTCGATGAGAAACTAACGGGCTTCGATGAGATGAAAGGCCAGCTCAACACAATATTGAGCATATTGTCAAGAAAAGGAAAGGAGGTTGCAACGAACGAGGAAGAAATCATATTTGACGACGACGATCACTATGAGCAACCTCAAGGAAACGTCTCAGGTAGTAAATTCATCCTCATACCTTCGAAGAACACAGGCGATAAAGGTGATATTGGATCATCAAAGCATGACAAATCCGGAGAACCCGAGAAGCAAGAGGAACATAAAATCGAAGCTATGCTAGAAGAAAAATTAGAACACATGAATGAACGAATAAGAAGCATAGAAGGAGTTGAGTCGTACGAGCCTATGGATGCATCAAAACTATGTCTAGTCCCAGATGTCGTGATTCCTCACAAATTTCAAATGCCAGAATTTGAAAGATACAATGGCACCACTTGCCCAAAAAGCCATCTGGTCATGTACTGTAACAAAATGGCCAACCATATCCGAGATGAAAGGCTAATGGTACATTGCTTCCAAAACAGCCTGAGTAGTTCTGCCCTACGATGGTATATGCAACTAGAGAAAACAAAAGTGAGAAGATGGCAAGACCTCGCTGATGCATTCATGAGGCACTACAAGCATAACCAGGATCTGGCTCCAGACCGAGAAGATCTGAGGAATATGGAAAAGAATGAAAAAGAATCTTTCAGGGAATATGCTCAAAGGTGGAGAGAGAAAGCTGCAGACGTTCAACCTCCTCTGTCAGAAAAGGAGATGGTGTCAATCTTCTTCGGAACACTAAGGGCTCCATACTACAACAACATGGTCGGAATTACGACAACCAACTTTGCGGATCTGCTTGTAATCGGAGAGCGAATAGAAAAGGGTTTGAAGCAAGGTCGGATGGAAACTCCAGAAGCCTCCAAGAAACCACACCAAGCCCGAAGAGGAGAAGCAGATGTCCATTATGCTCAAACAGAATCATCTAGAGGAAGAAGGTGGGATCATCAACCTCAGCCAATCAAGCCCATCCATGTGTTGCAAGTGCTGCAATAATTAACCAACGTCCAACTTTTCCTACTCAACGAGCCATCCAGAGCCCGACACGAGTCGCACCACCACCTAATAACCAAAACCAGAATAATTATGAGAGGTTCAGGAAACCCATCCAAATCGATCCTATCCCTATCACATACACTGAACTTTTTCCTCAGCTAATTCAAGGTAACCTAATCTCCCCAATACCATGTGAACCTATGAAACCTCCTTATCCAAATTGGTACAAAACGACCAGCATTGTGCTTACCACTCGGGAGTAGCAGGACACTCAACTGAGGATTGCAGATCGCTCAAGATCAAGGTCCAACAAATGATGAATACTGGCTGGTTAAAGTTCGATGATGAGCCAAAGCGTCCGGATGTCAACAATAACCCACTGCCAACTCATGGGAATTAGTAGACATACTACAAGGCAAAGCTCGATTTAAGGATGATGTTGATCCTATCTAGTAAATAAAATATCGAGATAATTTGCCATAGCAAAATATGTATCACTTTTGTTTTTATCATCATAAATAAAAGGTCTCTCGCGTTTCGACCTCTTTGGAGCATTGTGTGAATGGTATCAATCTTAATTTAAGAGTTTGCATCAATGTTTTATCAAAATAACGAATGCCACTTCCGAGTTTCTTTAAAACAGATTTATCCTCTACGAAAATGAAAGCCATCAAAATCCAGTTTTATTTTCAAGCTAAGCCATGAGATTGTCATGCCAAGAAAATGTGAGCACCCCACTGGTGCTGAGATTTGGGACACCCCACTGGTGTCAAGAGATTATCAACACCATGCCACTGTCCTAATTTTGAACACCCACTGGTGTTACGAGTGTACTTGTTTTGCTAAAATCGAGAGGTGAACACCCTACTGGTGTCCATGAATTATGTGAGCTAATAGTCAAAGGGTGTGATGAGTATACGACATCATGCTATTTGTAGAAACTCGTCACCATTGTAGTAGACTTTTGCCAACAAATTGAGGTTTAGTTTGCGTGAAGTCAAATAGCCAAATCCCGATGCACGGGGAGCCTAACATTACTATCATAGCAACTAAATCCTCACAGAGTCTCTTGACTAGAATATCGAGGAAGATCAAGGACATAATTTATCATGCAAAGGATTCACACGCAGGAAGTAGTCATGTCCTCGATTCAGGAGCTTACATCCTTATAAGCGGAAAGCGTCCATTAAACTCACACGTCAAAGTCTAATTGTGAGGTATTTGCGCAATACTGGCAAGCAAACGGCGTCCGCACCCCCACTTTTACCAAAAATACCCACTAGTTATTGAGAAGTGGCACTCACATCATCAATCATCAAGAAGACACTCTACCTTTCGATAATCGTCCTACCAATTGAAATTGCTAGATCAGGGAAAATGTGAAACTTATATGGGGGCATGACAGAGTCAAGTAAGTCCCACACACAAAAAAACAAAAAACAAAGACAAAAGAAAAACAAACAAAATGTCGTGGGACTTACAATCTGGGTGCCCCCGGTTTAGCATTTGAAGTACCAAATACCTGCACC